TAACCCTAACCCTAACCCTAACCCTAAACCTAACCCTAACCCTAACCCCTAACCTAACCCTAACCCTAACCCTAACCCTAACCCTAACCCTAACCCTAACCCTAACCCTAACCCTAACCCTAACCCTAACCCTAACCCTAACCCTAACCCTAACCCTAACCCTAACCCTAACCCTAACCCTAACCCTAACCCTAACCCTAACCCTAACCCTAACCCTAAACCTAACCTTAACCCTAACACTAACACTAATGTTGATACCTCATACCAACACTAGTGCTTTGAAAAATTTGACCATGAAAGACCCCTCTTGGCCTCATGAAGAACAAATTTTTCACTTACCTTACCCTTACTTACACTGTGGACATTCCTGGTTGTAAGATCCTGATTATGCTTTCTATTAAAAAAAGAAAACTGTCAGAATAACTCCTGAAATCTGCTCATATTTTACCTTGTAATTGCCTCGGACTTGTTCTGTGGGACAGCGGCTTCTCTTATGGGAAGGGTTATAAGTAGTAAAATATATAGTGTTTTCAAAATAAAAAATGTGGGCGATAAAAAATCCCCAATTTTTTGCAGGGTATTTATATATTTTTTCACTATTAGCCTCGGCACTTAACACCGAGTCTAAAAAAGGATCTCGGCACTTAACGCCGAATCTCGGCACATAACGCCGAATCTCGGCACATAAACGCCGAATCTCGGCACATAACGCCGAGTCTAAAGGGATCTCGGCACTTAACGCCGAGTCTAATCTTTCCTTAAATTTCCGGATCACGTCTTTCACCCGACTTATTCCGGCTTTCGTGTGAAAAAATAATTTTTCAAAAAGATATATAAAGAGCTAGTATAATGCACCTGAAGAAGCTACATCTCATTGTAGCGAATAGATTCAAATCTAAGTGTCTCTAGACTCTCAACTTTGTTGCTTCTTTATCGGTTTTTGGATATATTCTTATTTTTATTCCTATCTAACCCTAACCTCTCTCCAACAAACGCTCTTTTTGGTTACCGCTTCTCTCTGCCGTCGCCATCTCTACAAATATCTTTTTGATTCTGCTACTACTGTACTCTTACAAGTTTCTCTCTCTCTTGTCTCTCTCTCTCTCTCTGATCTCTCCTCTTTTCGTACTTGACTGTCTTTCTTGGTATATATAAATGAATAACAATATTAGTAACTCATTATTTGCCGAGATTAATGAACAGGGCTTCCCTATCTTGCTTCATCTTGATAATCTCCGTGTTGCCACTGAGGCTCTGATCTTTTTTCCTGCTGTCGCTTCTGTCTGGTCCTCGTTCCCCAAGTGGTGCCAAGAAGCCATCATGTTCTGCATGAATGATGTGTTCAAGCCACATCATCATGCCCAACTTGCCTTGACCAAGGCCCTGGACTCTCTTAAGGCCCATCTCACCAATGGTAGCTTTCCCCAGGTTGTTCTCTCTGCTGTTCCGGGAGTTAAGAATTTTCATATGGACAAAACCCTGTCTAGTGAGGATCAAACGATGTTTTCTACTTCCATTGAAAATGCGTTACTTTCGGCTCGTTCTGCTATTCTTAAAACCCTCATAGAAAGCAAAGAACGTGCACTTCAGGCTCATCAATTGCAAGCGTCACCAGCTTTTGTCTTAGCACAATGCCGTGATAGAATTTTTGAGTCAATTTTGGCCATGGGCGGTTCGATTGAACATCTTACCGATGCCCAAATTCATGACGTGGTTCGTTCTTTGTGTCATCTCAGATACAACATGAATAATGTACTGGAAACCCAAGCTTGGGCGAAAGTACAGGCCGATCGAAAACAGCAAAAGGCAAAGTCTGCTGCAGATACTATCATGGACTCCACCTCTGATCTTCCCTCTGCCCAGATGACCGAGTCAATTGAGAAACTGGTCAACAAGACTGTCCAGTCTAAAATCGCGGCTCTTGATAAGAAATTATCAAAACTTTCTGTCTCCGGTTCTTCCTCTCGTCGCTCTGCTGCTTCCGCTTCCTCTTCCCGCCGTCCTCCTGCTTCCTCTTCTGCTTCGTCAAACAAGCAAGGCAAGTCCAAGACTTCTCCTTCGGGAAAAGGTTCTCGACCTTTGTCCGGCCCCGCCAAGGGTCGAATCCAGAAAGGGGCTCCAAACCCTCCTCGTCGTCTTGCTCCCGGTCCCACCCCCTTCAACACCCTGAAGGGCAAAAGAGGCTAAACCCTCTTAGTGGCCGTCATTATTTTTGTGAACATGGTACGTATAGATCTGCTACAACTTGTAGACACTTTGATGTTCGTAGAGTACACACTTACCCACCTTGGTTTTTTCATAGTGCTCGCCTCAAAGATCGTATCCACTTTATTATAAAACATTCATCACCACTTTGGGCTGATACATATATTTTTAATAAAGCTGTTCATAATTACTCTTCTATAAATATTCCTACTTCTGTTAGAAAATATTTAGGATTTGGTACCAAGTTTGTTCCTAAACCCAAAGCAAATCCTCGCTTAATTTTACCAAGTGTAGAAGACTTTACAAGACGCATTCGTATAAAGGAAATTTTCAAAGATACTCGAGATAATCCTGACTTTGATATCAGATTTCATGTCAAAACTTCTAATTGGCAACCTGATCCTTCCTCTAATACTTTGATTGAAAAAGGACTTAGACTTGTCAAAAGTAATGTTCTTCCTCTTAATCATCCTACACACTATCAACTTTATAACAATAAACTTAATGATATTGTGCCAAAGTTCTTCAAGGATTTTATTAATAATCCAGATATACTTATCAAAGCTTCGGACAAAAATCTTGGACTTACTGTTCTTGATACAAGCTGGTATATTCAAGAAGGACTTCGACAACTAAATGACCCCTGCTTTTATAAGCAACTAGACAAAAACTTTTTCTCTCCTGAAAACTTTGATTCTAGTATTCAGAACATTGTTAGTACTGCTAATAGTTTATTATCTTTACTATGTTCTCAATGGGGTACATCCATCTTTAATAAACAACATGAGAAATATCTTAGGCATCGACTCCTTAATGATAGAAAGTTACCCACCTTTCATCTGTTGCCAAAGATTCACAAGACACCTATGCAAGGTCGTCCTATTGTTCCTTCTCATAGTTGGGTCACGACTGGTTTCTCTATTTATATTGATACAGTCTTACAAAAAGTACTTCCATACTTACCCTACATTATTAAAGATACTAAATCCCTTGTTAAATCACTTGATGGAATTTCTATTCCTCAGGATGAAAGACCTTTATGGTTAGTTACTGGTGATGTGTCTTCAATGTACACGAATCTACCTACTACTCCATATGCTTTCGATGTTATTGCCAACACTGTTAATAAATATGTTCCTCTTTCTTCGAATGACCCTACACTTATTCGAGAAACACTCAAATTTATTATGGGCAATAACTACTTTACTTTTCAAGGCTTACCATATCATCAGGTATCAGGTATTGCAATGGGTACTGCATGCGCTCCTGCTTATGCAAATATCTTGATGCATCATTTCGAAGAACGTTTCTTTGAATTTAATCCTGAATTTAAACTGATCTTTTATGGTCGATATATCGATGATATCTTTATCATTTTCAAAGGATCTAAACAAGAACTTGAAACCTTTTTGTATACTTTTGACACCAAGCGTGCTTTTAGTAACAAATTAAAGATATCTTGGGACTATTCATTGACATCTGTTAGCTTTCTTGATCTTCATATTCATGCAAAGCATAATAAGATTGAATTGTCCACTCATCAAAAAATGCTTAATAAATATTTATATATTCCATTTTCATCTTATCATCCCAAAGATAATAAAGTTGGTTTTATTAAAGCAGAATTGATTCGATACATTCGTAACAGCTCTTCTTACCGAAGTTTTGCTATTACTGCTAAACAATTTTTTACTCGATTACGACTTCGTGGATATCCCCCTCGTTTTTTAATTTGGGTGTTTAGTCAAGTATGTTACGATGACAGACCAAAATATCTTGAAGATACTCCTCTTAGTACAGATAATACTCTTGTACCTTTTGTTACAACGTATAATCCAATTTGGGAGACTTTACATCTTCGAAAAGGACTTAGGTTATTTTCTGATTTAAATCCACACTACCGACCAGTAGTTGCTTTTAAACGAAATAAAAACATTGCTGATTTATTAAATCGTGCCAATGTACAAAAATTAACGGGAAAGAAGTTCCATTCACTACAACAGGATGGACTTTGTTGGACTTCGTCTAAAAAACGTAACCTGAACCCTAACCCTAAACCTAACCTTAACCCTAACACTAACACTAATGTTGATACCTCATACCAACACTAGTGCTTTGAAAAATTTGACCATGAAAGACCCCTCTTGGCCTCATGAAGAACAAATTTTTCACTTACCTTACCCTTACTTACACTGTGGACATTCCTGGTTGTAAGATCCTGATTATGCTTTCTATTAAAAAAAGAAAACTGTCAGAATAACTCCTGAAATCTGCTCATATTTTACCTTGTAATTGCCTCGGACTTGTTCTGTGGGACAGCGGCTTCTCTTATGGGAAGGGTTATAAGTAGTAAAATATATAGTGTTTTCAAAATAAAAAATGTGGGCGATAAAAAATCCCCAATTTTTTGCAGGGTATTTATATATTTTTTCACTATTAGCCTCGGCACTTAACACCGAGTCTAAAAAAGGATCTCGGCACTTAACGCCGAATCTCGGCACATAACGCCGAATCTCGGCACATAAACGCCGAATCTCGGCACATAACGCCGAGTCTAAAGGGATCTCGGCACTTAACGCCGAGTCTAATCTTTCCTTAAATTTCCGGATCACGTCTTTCACCCGACTTATTCCGGCTTTCGTGTGAAAAAATAATTTTTCAAAAAGATATATAAAGAGCTAGTATAATGCACCTGAAGAAGCTACATCTCATTGTAGCGAATAGATTCAAATCTAAGTGTCTCTAGACTCTCAACTTTGTTGCTTCTTTATCGGTTTTTGGATATATTCTTATTTTTATTCCTATCTAACCCTAACCCTAACCCTAACCCTAACCCTAATCCTAACCCTAACACTAACACTATTCCTAATCCTATCCCTAACACTAACCCTAACACTAACACTAATGTTGATACCTCACACCAACACTAGTGCTTTAAAAAAATTGACCATGAAAGACCCCTCTTGGCCTCATGAAGAACAAATCTTTCACTTACCTTACCCTTACTTACACTGTGGACATTCCTGGTTGTAAGATCCTGATCATGCTTTCTATTAAAAAAAGAAAACTGTCAGAATAACTCCTGAAATCTGCTCATATTTTACCTTGTAATTACCTCGGACTTGTTCTGTGGGACAGCGGCTTCTCTTATGGGAAGGGTTATAAGTAGTAAAATATATAGAGTGTTTTCAAAATAAAAAATGTGGGCGATAAAAATCCCCAATTTTTTCCAGGGTATTTATATTTTTTTCACCATTAGTCTCGGCACTTAACACCGAGTCTAAAAAAGGATCTCGGCACTTAACGCCGAATCTAAAAAAGATCTCGGCACTTAACGCCGAATCTCGGCACATAAACGCCGAATCTCGGCACATAAACGCCGAATCTCGGCACATAACGCCGAGTCTAAAGGGATCTCGGCACTTAACGCCGAGTCTAATCTTCCCTTAAATTTCCGGATCACGTCTTTCACCCGACTTATTCCGACTTTCGTGTGAAAAAATAATTTTTCAAAAAGATATATAAAGAGCTAGTATAATGCACCTGAAGAAGCTACATCTCTTGTAGCGAATAGATTCAATCTAAGTGTTTCTAGACTCTCTCCTTTGTTGCTTCTTTGGTTTTTGGATATATTTTCTATTATTATCTCTCTAACCCTAACCTCTCTCCAACAATCTGCTCTTTCTGGTCACCGCTCTCTCTTGCCGTCACCACTACAACTATATCTCTTTTGGATCTCTCTGTCTCGCTCGTCAAAACTTTTTTTCTCTCTCTCTCTCAAGTCAACCTCTTTTTTCTCCTGAACTGTCTTTTTTGGTATAACAAATGAACAATAATTCTGATAACTCATTGTATTCCAAGATTAATGAACAGGGCTTCCCGATTCTCATCCATCTGGATAATCTTCGCGTTGCCACTGAGGCTTTGATTTTCTTTCCTGCTGTTGCTTCTGTCTGGTCCTCGTTTCCCAAGTGGTGTCAAGAAGCAATCATGTACAGCATGAATGATGTCTTCAAGATACATCATCATGCTCAAGTCGGTTTGGTCAAGGCTTTGGATAGTCTCAAGGCTCACCTGGTTAATGGTACCTTTCCACAAGTCGTTCTCGCTGCTGTTCCGGGAGTTAAGAATCTGCATATGGACAATTCCCTGTCTGATGCAGATAAATCGCTTTTTTCTTCTTCCATTGAAAATGCGGTACTTTCGGCTCGTTCTGCTATTCTTAAAACCCTTATAGAAAGCAAAGAACGTGCACTACAGGCTCATCAATTGCAAGCATCACCCGCTTTTGTCCTAGCACAATGCCGTGATAGAATTTTTGAGTCGATTTTGGCCATGGGTGGTTCGATTGAACATCTTACCGATACCCAGATTCATGATGTGGTTCGTTCCCTGTGTCATCTCAGACACAACATGAATAATGTGCTCGAAACCCAGGCTTGGGCTAGAGTACAGGCCGAACGTAAACAGCAAAAGGCCAAATCTGCCGCTGATACCGTTATGGAATCTTCCTCTGACCTCTCTTCTGCCCAGCTCACTGACTCCATCACCAAGTTGGTTAACAAGACTGTTCAGTCAAAAATCTCGGCTCTTGACAAGAAATTGTCAAAACTTACTGTCTCTGGTTCCTCTTCTCGTCCGTCTTCTCGTCGTCCTGCTGCTTCGTCTTCGTCAAGAAAGCAAGGCAACCCCAAGTCGTCCTCTTCTTCGGGAAAAGGCTCTCGACCTTTGTCCGGCCCCACCAAGGGTCGAATCCAGAAAGGGGCCCCCAACCCCAATCGTCGTCTTGCCCCCGGTCCCACCCCCTTCAAAGCTTTGAAGGGAAAAAGAGGTTAAACCCTCTTAGTGGGCGTCACTACTCTTGTGAACATGGTACGTATAGATCTCCTACTACTTGTAGACACTTTGATGTTCGTAGAGCACACACTTATCCTCCTTGGTTTTTTCATAGTGCTCGCCTCAAAGATCGTATCAACTTTGTCATAAAGCATTCGTCCCCTCTATGGGCGGATACTTATATTTTTAATAAAGCTGTTCACAATTATTCTTCTATAAATATTCCAACTTCTGTTAGAAAATATTTAGGATTTGGTACAAAGTTTGTTCCTAAACCCAAAGCAAATCCTCGCTTAATTTTACCAAGCGTAGAAGACTTTACAAGACGCATTCGTATTAAGGAAATTTTCAAAGATACTCGTGATAATCCTGACTTTGATATTAGATTCCATGTCAAAACCTCGACTTGGAAACCTAATCCTTCCTCAAATACCTTGATTGAAAAAGGGCTTAGACTTGTAAAAAGTAATGTCATGCCTCTTAATCATCCTACACATTATCAAGTTTATAATAATAGACTTAATGATATTGTACCCAAGTTCTTTAAGGAATTTATTAATAATCCTGATATACTCATTAAAGCTTCTGATAAAAATCTTGGACTCACTGTTCTTGACACTAGCTGGTATATTCAAGAAGGACTTCGACAATTAAATGACCCCCGCTTCTATAAGCAATTAGACAAAAATTTCTTTTCTCCTGAAAATTTTGATTCTAATATTCAGAACATTGTTAGTACTGCTAATAGTTTATTATCTTTACTATGTTCTCAATGGGGTACATCCATCTTTAATAAACAGCATGAGAAATATCTTAGGCATCGACTCCTTAATGATAGAAAGTTACCTACCTTTCATCTGCTGCCAAAGATTCACAAGACACCTATGCAAGGTCGTCCTATTGTTCCTTCTCATAGTTGGGTCACGACTGGTTTCTCTACTTATATTGATACAGTCTTACAAAAAGTACTTCCACACTTGCCCTATATTATTAAAGATACTAAATCCCTTGTTAAATCACTTGATGGAATTTCTATTCCTCAAGACGAAAGACTTTTATGGCTAGTTACTGGTGATGTGTCTTCAATGTACACTAATCTACCTACTACCCCATATGCTTTCGATGTTATTGCTAAAACTGTTGACAAATATCTTCCTCTTTCTCCAAATGATACTACCCTTATCAGAGAAACACTCAAGTTTGTCATGAGCAATAACTATTTTACTTTTCAAGGAATACCATATCATCAGGTCTCAGGTATTGCTATGGGTACTGCATGCGCTCCTGCTTATGCAAATATCTTGATGCATCATTTCGAAGAACGTTTCTTTGAATTTAATCCTGATTTTACTCTGATCTTTTATGGTCGATATATCGATGATATCTTTTTCATGTTTAAAGGTTCTGAACAAGAACTTAAAACTTTCTTGACTACTTTTGATACCAAACGTGCTTTTAGTAATCAATTAAAGATATCTTGGGATTATTCAACTACCTCTGTTAGTTTTCTTGACCTTCAAATTCATGCAAAACATAATAAAGTTGAATTATCCACACATCAGAAAATGCTTAATAAATACTTGTACATTCCATTCTCTTCTTATCATCCCAAAGATAATAAAGTTGGTTTTATTAAAGCTGAACTGATCAGATATATTCGTAACAGCTCTTCCTATCGAAGTTTTGCTAACACTGCTAAACAATTTTTTACTCGTTTACGACTCCGTGGTTACCCGCCACGATTCTTAATCTGGGTCTTTAGCCAAGTGCGTTACGATGACAGACCGAAATATCTAGAAGATGCTCCTCTTAGTACAGATAATACTCTTGTTCCTTTTGTTACAATGTATAATCCTATTTGGGAGACTCCACATCTTCGTAAAGGACTTAGGGAATTTTTTACTTTAAATCCACACTACAGACCAGTAGTTGCTTTTAAAAGAAATAAAAACATAGCTGATTTATTAAATCGTGCCAATGTACGCAAGTTAACGGGAAAACAGTTCCATTCATTACAACAGGATGGACTTTGTTGGATTTCGTCTAAAAAACGTAAACCATAACCCTTACCCTATCCCTAACCCTAACCCTAACACTAACACTAATGTTGGTACCTCACACCAGCAATAGTACTTTGAAAAATTTGACCATGAAAGACCCCTCTTGGTCTCATGAAGAACAAATTTTTCACTTACCTTACCCTTACTTACACTGTGGACATTCCTGGTTGTAAGATCCTGATCATGCTTTCTATTAAAAAAAGAAAACTGTCAGAATAACTCCTGAAATCTGCTCATATTTTACCTTGTAATTGCCTCGGACTTGTTCTGTGGGACAGCGGCTTCTTTTATGGGAAGGGTTATAAGTAGTAAAATATATAGAGTGTTTTCAAAATAAAAAATGTGGGCGATAAAAATCCCCAATTTTTTCCAGGGTATTTATATTTTTTTTTTTTTTTTTTTCACCATTAGTCTCGGCACTTAACACCGAGTCTAAAAAAGGATCTCGGCACTTAACGCCGAATCTCGGCACATAAACGCCGAATCTCGGCACATAAACGCCGAATCTCGGCACATAACGCCGAATCTAAAGGGATCTCGGCACTTAACGCCGAGTCTAATCTTCCCTTAAATTTCCGGATCACGTCTTTCACCCGACTTATTCCGACTTTCGTGTGAAAAAATAATTTTTCAAAAAGATATATAAAGAGCTAGTATAATGCACCTGAAGAAGCTACATCTCTTGTAGCGAATAGATTCAATCTAAGTGTTTCTAGACTCTCTCCTTTGTTGCTTCTTTGGTTTTGGATATATTTTCTATTATTATCTCTCTAACCCTAACCCTAACCCTGACAGTTATCCTAATCATAACCCTATCCCTATCCAAATTCTTAATCATAATCTCCTGTCCTAATATTAATCCTTAATCTGTTCCTAATCATATTCCTGTTTCTGATGCTGACTCTAATCATATCCCTGATTTAAACCCTTACACTAACATTAATATTATCCTTATTCCTATCCTCTATCTTATCATATCCCTAATATTAACTGTAATATTAACCCTAATATTTTTATCGTGACCCTAACATTATTCTTAGTCATAATCTTATATCCCTTCTTATCCTTAATTATATGCCTATATCTAATTTTAACCATAATTCAAATATTGTCCATAATCCTAATTAAATCACTATTCTTATCCCTTTTGATCTAATAATTAATATTAATCAATATTCTAATTATATCCCTGATCATAACTCTTTTCCTAATAGTAACCTATTTTTGATTGTATCTTTAATCTTAACCCTGTGTTTAATCCTAAATCAGAACTCGTTTCTTAATTCTAACCCTAATATTGTTTATAATCCTAGCCTTGAATATTATTACTATTTTTTGTTATCTCACACTATTATTATGTGTATTACTTTATTGTGTCTTCGTGTTGTGAAACTGTTGTTATGCATTTATGTATTCTATTTTGCTATATAAATATCATCGTGTTCGTTGTATAGCGTTAATTATTTTTCTCTGTTATGTTATTGTATTCGCTCCGCTATGGTAATGTATTCGCTCCGCTATGGTAATGTATTCGCTCCGCTATGGTAATGTATTCGCTCCGCTGTGGTAATGTATTCGCTCCGCTATGGTAATGTATTCGCTTTTTATTTTCTTTTATTTTTTTTTTTTTTTTTTTTTACTGTTCATATTCTCTTTGTTTTTTTTTTCTTTATCTCTGTTATTATTTTTATTATTTCTTTCTACTTTGTCTATTTCTTTTCTCTACCCCTTTCCCCTTTTCTGTCTTTTTTTGTCTATTCTTCTCTCCTTTTCTGTGTCTTTTTTTTTTTCGTAGTTTCTTCGTCTGTTCTCTTTCTATAATTTTTCCTATTCCATTTCCTCGTCTCTGTGTATTTTATTGTCTATCCCTTCTCTTTTTTTCTTGCTTGTTTCTCCCTTCTCTCTGTATATACTTTGTTTTTGTTATTCTTTCTTTCCGTTCTCTCTACCCCCCTTTATCTGTCTGTGGTTTTGTCCACCTTTCTTGTTTTCATATATCTTTTCTCTGTTTATATTTGCGTTTTTGCTTCTCCGTTTTTTTCCTTGTTTGCTTGTTTTCCCGGTCTCTTCCTGTGCTTTATCTTCATATTTCCCTTTTCTGTTCTGCTTATATTCTTTATCTTCCTTTTCGAACCTTTTTCTTTTCGACTTTTTTTCTCTATTTATTCCTTTCTGTTTCTTTATCGCATTTTCTTTCCTTGACATTGTTTCTTTCGCCTTTCTTTTATCTTTGCCTATTTTCTTCTTTCATGTTTTTTTTTGACTTACTTCTCCTTTCGCGTTCTTTCCTCCATTTCTCTTTTTTTTTTCTCAATTTATTCCTACTCTTTTCTTTGCTTCTTATTCTTTACATTACTTCCATTTCTTTCGTCTCTTTGCTTTCCTACCATCTCCTTTTATATATCTTTTTTTTCTTTGTCTTATATATTACATTCTGTCTTTTCATGGGTTTCTTTGCTTTCCTTTATTGATTTTGCCTATTATTTGTACTTTTTTTCCTTACTGTCTCAATTTTTCTATCTGTTTTGTTTTATTTACTCTTTTGCATTCTTTTCTGTTTATTATTTTTGCTCAATTTCTCTCTCTTTCTATGTATTTATTTTTAATCATTTTAATTCCTATTTTGTCGGGTCCTTGTTTATCCAGTATTCGTTCCCATACTTGTTGTTGCTTCTTTTCTTATTATCTCAGTCTCATCCTTTCCCTTCTTTGTTCTTTTCTTAATATCACAACCTTTTCTTATTCTTTTCATTGTTGGTTTGTTCTTTTCTGTTTTGATTTGTTTCTTTTAATTGTCACTATTCATTTTTTTATCACATTCCCTCTTTTATATATTCTTTGTCTAATATCCCAATCTCTTCTTGTGATGTTCTTACTTTTTGTCTAATCCCTCCTTTTTTTTCCCTTTGTTTATTCTTCTGCCCTAATATATCAACGGTTGTTTTGTCGGGTATCATATTGAAAGCCGATGATAAGTTGTATCTTGTTCATCATTTTCCTCAATTGCTATTTTTCATTATTGATGAGTGATGTTGATGACTTATTTAAGGCTTGTGATAACATATCAAGAAAGTGTAATGCTAACTAACCACTGACGCTTGATAGCATATGTATAAGTTGGCTGGTGCTCTCTCGTTACTGTTAAGAGCTTTTTATATTTTTTTAATAGTAAAACTGATATTGATTATAACAGTTTAATGATATAATGATTTCAACCTATTTTTTTACTAATTATTCCAGAGCACGCTCTATGTAGTGGTATATATGAGACCGCTCAGTGAAGCAATCTCTGGTGTGATATTAACTGGATAACATTTTCTATAAGTTCGCATACGCGAACTGGGCTATCTTCGGCTATCTTAGGCTACTTTCCCCTATTTTTCAAACACCGAGCTCCTCGGTGTTTGAAAAACGTTATTAGGAATGATACCTCATGTATCAAGGTATCCAAGCACCGTGAGTCTTGCTTCTGATTGGCTTTTAGCATAATGCTCATGATACCCATGGTACCTGAGATACCATTTCTCGACGACTCACGGCGTGAATCGCCCAGAAACGATATTAGGCAATTTTGAAAACACTTAAATGCCGATATCTCTCGCTCTAGTAATGCGTTTGAAATTTTAAAACGCTGGTACAGTCTGCTAGTTCCGAGCTACCAACTGACTAAATTTAAAAGCAGTGAAAGCAAAATTCGTAGACTTGTAAGCTCCAATTTTTAGAACCTAAAGCACCATACTTTGAAGGCTTATATCTCAACATTTACTAATTAAATTTTCTTGTTTCAAAGTATGCATAGCTATTTGGAAGCCTCAGTTACTAGTTCAAGCTTTATACGGCCACATTAAACGCGTTTTTGGTTTTGACAAGGGTGAAAAAAATGCATCGATACAAATCTCATATTAACTCTCAGGAATAAGTCTAAACTGCTTTTTTTTGAAATTTTTAATACAATTATACAAGCTTTAGGTTCTTATCTGGCTAGTTTCAGCACAATTGGCCTTGTTTTAACGAATTTTAATGTGAGACGTTCACAGCTCCCGGATTTTAAACTCGTATATCTCGTCATCCAATAGGCCAACTGCTAAGTTTCAAATACTATTCTGTCTTTAAATTGCGCCAGCGTTTTATCGGTGTAGTTTATTTTCAAAACCTCTGACTTTTTTTTGTCGCCCCTAACCCTAGACGGGGTATTACCCTATCCCTATTTTCTCCCTTTTTTTTTTATTTTTTATTTTTTATTTTTTATTTTTTCTATTTTTACGCTATCCCTGTTTCTTATCTTATTCTAAGATATATATATTTCGCACATGCGAACTTTTAGTGTGAGACGTTCATAATGGATATCTCAGGCTACCTGAGAATACCTGGGGTTACCTCCCCCTATATATATCAAACACCAATTACCTCGGTGTTTGAGAAATGTTATTAAGAAATACCTGGTTCCGTGTTCTTCATCACAAGATCTCTACCAGAGAACGTATTCAGTCTCGTCTCAAGACCTCTTTCAACGCCACCTGTACCATATGCAACTCATCCACAGAAACTGCTAAGCACAAAGAATAAAAGGATTATTATTTGTAGCTTATAAAAAATGTTCGATATTATAAAAACAAGAAAAGACTTATTTGAATAAGATCAGACACAAAAACTAAAGATTTATTGATGAAGACAAGAGTTATTCTATTTATACTAAGTTCTGAATGCCAAAGTAGCAATTTATCTTGTACAACGCTTATCACATCTGGTGAACCTCAGTATTTAGATAGCTGAGATGCACTTCACTTATCATAGCTTGTCCATGTTGTTGCACAACACAGACATATCTACCCATCAAGAATACCTTAATCTTTATAGACAGTTGTAGCCCTTCTGGCACAACAGAAACAACTGAACACTTTTTATTCGCTTGTCCACTTAAACGTTTCTTCTGGCGCACCGCTATCCGTACTTACATGCCTCCCCGGATCCAACAAGACACCTACTCAAACTTTCAGCAACTCCTTCATTTGGAACATCCTTCATCCAGGCAACAGCACCCTCTGTTCCCATCTCTATCCGTACATCAAGTGTTTGTCTGCATGTTGCAAACAGTCTGGTATTATCACTATCAGCACCAATTCCATCAATCCACATTCTTACCTTTTATCCTCCTTTCCTATCTACGAATCTCACTTACAACCTTACACTCCCAAGAAAACTTTCTAATTTGATACCCCATTATATCCAGTCTTTTCCCCTCTCCCTTTAATTAACACTGTGACTAAAAAAGATCTGAATATTGCTGAATATTTCTGAATCCATTTTTCGGAAAACTGCCACTTTACGAAAAATTTGTCGAAATTTTTCTGAATGGCATTCTTAGAAATTCGGAAAAGTGCTCACTTAATTCAGAAAAATTCAGAGAAATTCATTCTGGAAAATTCAGAAAAATTCATGTAGTTTAGGGTGGTTTGCAAAATATTCATAAAAAAATAAATCAGAAATATAATAGCATTTAGTGCTATTATAATAGAAACCATTGTTTATTTCTTGACATATAATAATTGCGCTACTACTACAGAGAAACATGATGATATTACATTACGGGCAGTAACAACAAAGCGTAGCCTAATCAGAATAAGCATAGAGATCAGAATTCCTTACGACTTGCGCACTCTCTTATTGTTGGGTCCCTAATACACAAAGATAAGTAGCTCCATCTATGATATCAATGCCTTACGATTACCTTTATGTTTCTACAATTTAAGAGATAGAGAGAATATCAGCATAAAATGGCTAACTCCAGGTGATGATGAGAAACTTACTGTCTTTGCAAATCTTGCGTTTCTGGTGATGAATATCTTCTGTGCTTTTCATATTCCTTTGCCTTTGATTTGTTTGATGCATATACATTTTTTGATACTGGAGATGGCTGCATTGGCTATAGTGATAGTGCACATTATAAAATGGAAAAGAAATGTGAGTTACTGCGCTATATCTATGAAAACTTAATTACTTGTTCTACTAGAGGCATATGTTGCGTGCTGATTCTTCTATAATATTACGATTAGTATCAAAGAGTACTTTTCTCTATGCAGCATTTACTTTTGTGATCCAGTATTTCGAGAAACATGAAAATTGATCTTGTCTACAATCGAATTTTCGTCATCGTCGACAGAATCTTCTTCGGATTGCGCTTGGGATCCCTCAGAAAATACCAGATCATCTTCATCGAATTGGGTTTGGTAAGTTGCGGTGTCATTGCTTGGCCTGGCATTGTATTTGTAATCGATTATGCCAGACAATGATTTGGAGACAGCAAACTGCGGCAACCAATCTTTGAAGAACCCAGAGATGTCAACGCCCTTTTTGGCTACATCGTCAATGACGGTCTTGATTAACAAGGCTTGAAACCTGTTGTCCAGCTTGCTAAAAGTGATATTTGGGAACTGTCTATCAGCTTTCTTTGCCTGGTTGTATGCTGCATCTTTGACAAGCTCCCAGACCTTCTTGCCATCAAGGTTTTCCCCACCTAATCGATGCTCCTCAAGGACGTTGATGCATAGCTCAACAGAAAGCTCCTCCAGATGTTTGCTATCTGCTTTGCTTGGACGGCATATCACTCCATCTAGTCTCGCAACATTGGCCGTGCTCGAAGAGGTAGATTGTTGAACAATATGCTGCAGCATAGCTTTTACTTCGGTCTGGTTGTCATTACATTCCTTGACCTGTTTGCTAAGATTGGACAACTCCTGTTCAATGTTCTCCAATCTTTGTAAGAATAGTTGTTGTGCTTGATCCATTTTTGAATAAGTGATTAGTGTAAAGTGTAAAATAGAGCAGTGCTTTGAGATGGTTGTATCAATTGCGATAAATGCGTAACAATCTATGAAAGACAGAGAAAAACTGGTCTAGTAATGTTTCCAATAATTAATAGCACCCGCTATCACAGACATTGATGTTTCAATCATGCAGATTGAAACGCATGCAATATAAGGAGCATAAAAGACAATCCAGACAGATTTGTGTTTAACCTTTATTTCTAATATTATTTACGATGCCATTTTTTTGTGCCCAGTGTTGCCGAAGAATTCGCAATAGACATGAAAAACAGCATAAACTTTGGCACTCTTCAAATGACACAACAACTGTAGACTTGCACAACCTGGAGACTAATCAGTATCAAAGAAAGAAAGCAAGAACTGAACATGATACTCAGGCTGGACCTTACACTGAAAGAAATAGTCAGCAAGAAAACAGCGATGGTGAACCTGGTAGCGATGGTGAACCTGGTAGCGATGGCGGATATGACTTTGGAGACTCTGATGGACTCGGCGCTAACTATAGTGACAATCAGATGTCTGACAGTTGCGAGGCATTACCACCACTGGATGCTAAAAATACTGAGATCCACAAGATCTTCAGGGAAGAAAACTTGACAAACTCAAGCATCCGAAGACTTGTTCAATGGCACAACCAAACGTATCCTTGTAAGTAACCATAACAAAGTTGGTTGTTTCAAAGCGCTAACATCTACTATGATAAGTTGCAACGCCTATAGTCTCAACATTCAAGGCCAGCTCTGCTAGGAAAAGGGCAACTTCTTTTGCACCTTATACAGTCGATGTGTGCATCAGGTATTGCTATGCCTTTCAACCAGAGGATGGGGACGAATGTCCAGTGTGCTTTGAAAAGAGATTCGATATTGATGGTAGCCCCAGAAGAACCATCAAGATGCTGCCAATCGGTCCACAACTTGCCACGTTGTTCGAAAATCCAAACTTTATCAGAGTGCTTGATGACGAGAATTCATCCATCAGAGCAAGGTTCAAGGGCGATATAATGCAAAATTTAGTGAACAACAAGCATCTATTCAACAATAGATACGACATTGGCCTGTCCCTGTACGTAGATGGATTCCAATCACACAAAAAAGGCGGTGCAAAGTTGAACTTGGTCATGCTACAAATCTTGAACCTTCCTTCTGCCTATAGATACAAAATGGAGTTCCTGATTGATTTCGCCATTATCCCAAACACCAAGAGATTAGACAGTTACCTTCAATACCTTGTCAGCGAATTGGAAAAATTGGCTCGTGATGGACTACAAGTGCAGAGAAACAACTCAACAAATATCTCGCTCAAAGTCCACCTCATGGGATCCTTTGGTGATATCCCCAGCGTCAGCGAACTCAATTTCCTCGCATCCCATACGTCGCTTCAAGGCTGCCGTTTTTGTACGATCATTGGCATCAGCAAAAATGGTGTTATTTCTTTTCAACTAGCAGCTAATGATGAAGATCGACCACTACGATTGCTAACAATTGAAGAATACAAATCCAGTGCACCAGAACTTGGTATCGAGAGGCCTTCTTTGTTTCGAAACCTGCCATCATTCATTGATCCAACGTTTGTGGGCTTGGATGAATTTCATTTGTTTGGACAAAACATGGGACCAAGAATCAAGAAAATGTTTACGGACAAGGAATCGATTCTTTGCTTGAAGCCGCGACAAATAGAGAAGATTAGCATTTGCTTGAACCAACTTGCAAGCACATCACCTTTGATCTTCGAAGGCAATTTCATGGATGTCTTCAGCAAGGGAGGGACAGCTCGAGGAGTAGATTGGTTGGTGTTCCTGAAGTACTTTGTGCCCACAGTTCTTATCGACCACGTTGATTTATGCCATTTGGATCCTACTGTCTCTGAAGCTGCCAAGGAAGCCCTACGTACAATATCTCTGATTTGCTCAGTATGCTTGCAGCAGGATATATCTGAGAGCGAGATACAAAAGTTGGAGGAACTAATAACCAAGTGGCACCAATTTCTTCGTCTTCACATCTCAGCAAAATTCTTTCCAATCAGTGAACATTATTTGGAGCATATCACGATGGTGATTCGAAAGATAGGCCCCATGCCTCAGTACAGTTGCCGTGTTTTGGAGAGAAGGATCCAAATGATCAAGAAGAGGATCCATGGCTGTAGTCAAGTTGCAAAACAAGCGGAAAATATCATGCTGGATATTGCATGTAACAGCTATGAAAAAAGAAGGACAATTGCATTTGACAATTCGACGGATACTGCCATCACCTTCTCGAAATCATTGAATATGGGCGACATCAAGCTGTCACCGTCTATTGCTTCTATGTTGTGCAAACATTACAACACTGCTCGTGTCAATCCGCAGATCAAGTGCGCTACCTCACTACGACTTGGCAACAACATCACGATCGACTCTACTTTCGATCCACCAAGTAGAAAGAAGAAGCTGTCAGACCATGCCCTGGTCAATTGTGCTCGCCGCAGTTCGCTACCATTGCTGGTAAAGGTGTTGCTCATCTTTGAGCACAACTTCTCTGGTGCAACACATGCTCTAGCCGTTTGCCAAGTCTATCAGAACGTAACGGTATCAACGTCCGGCATCCCTGAATGTTTCCTTGACAATGCCAACTCGGATACTTCCAATGGTGCATGGGATCTGGATATAATAGCTGTCGATGATATTTTGTCTTCAGTTGTAATTCTGAAGTCTGCCATATCTGGGAAGCTCTTCTTTGTTTGGCCTGATATGAAAAGAATTGGTTTGAAAGTATACAATGATGATTCTATATTTGACTTTGCATAAAATAAATATACGCCAACATCATGGTCACCTTTCTCTCAAACTGATGTTTGTACATCCTTCCAAATTACTAGCCATCCCACTGTTCTATATCTTAATGCTCATTCTTTTGCCCGGTCGCATGCAAAGCTGAAAATTCATTCCTAATAATAATAACTAGTTAATATTGTTTCCTTTCTATTGTTGCTCTGTAATAATATATCTTCTTTCTTTCTTCTTCCTATCCTATTATGACATTCAGAGACCTCTAAATAAAAAATGGAGCACGACTCCCTTACAAGAAAGAATCTGAAGCAGTTGACAAATAAGAAATAAAAATGGCGTAGCGATGACTACTCGCTTTTCTGATGAAGATCGTTTCGTGGTAAAAAAAATCGCTGAATAATATCTAAATTTTTCTAAATTTCTCCAAATTTCTCTAAGCTTAATTTATTAATTTTCATCTGCATGAATTTATCTGAATATTTCCAAAGGGATTTGGACAAATTCAGAGTGATTAAGACATTTTTAGGATATTTCAGAAAAAATTGGTCAAATTCTAATATATTCAGATAAATTTGAATCTTTTTTAGTCACAGTGATTACATGATAACACTATATGACTACAAGAATGATACCTGAAATGAATAGGATATCCTACTATTAGAAATGATACCTGAGGTACCATGGTACCTAAGTACCGTCAGTCGTGTTTGTGATTGGCTATAAGAATGATACCTCAGGTACCATGGTACCCAAGCACCATGGTTCTTGTTTGTGATTGGCCAACGCAATAGTACCTGTTACCAGCCTAAAAAATAGGATATCCTATTCTTGGGTATCATCTTTCCTGCTTTCTGATTGGTTGTTAGCATGATACCCATGGTACCCATGGTACCTGAGGTACCATTTCTGGGCGACTCACGCCGTGAGTCGCCCAGAAATGTTATTAGTCTCTTATTCAATTGTTGTATATTGTCTTATGTAATATGTGTTGATTTATTCGTTGCTTTAGTATTATTTTCTTTATGCTATACCTATTATTATCTATTATCCCTTATTTATATATGTATTATGAGTATTTCCTTTGTTGTATCTTCGTACTTGCGAAATGTTGTTATGCATTTATGTTTACTATTTGCTATATAAATATCATCGTGTTCGTTGTATAGCGGTAATTGTTTTTTTTTCTCTCTCTCCACTACTGTGATATATTCGCTCCGCTATAATAATGTATTCGCTCCGCTATAGTAATGTATTCGCTCCGCTATAGTAATGTATTCGCTCCGCTGTGGTAATGTATTCGCTCCGCTATGGTAATGTATTCGTCCCACTACGGTAATGTATTCGCTACGCTATGGTAATGTATTCTCCCGTTTATTTGTATAGCTTTTTATTTTCTTTTATTTATTTTTTTTTTACTGTTCTTATTCTCTCTTGTTTGTTTTTTTCTTTATCTCTGTTATTATTGTTATTATTTCTTTCTACTTTGTCTATTTCTTTTCTCTACCCCTTTCCCCTTTTCTGTCTTTTTTTGTCTATTCTTCTCTGCTTTTCTGTGTATTTTTTTTTGTAGTTTCTTCGTCCTTTCTCTTTCTATGATTCTTCCTATTCCATTTCCTCGTCTCTGTGTATTTTATCCCCTATCCCTTTCCTTTTTTTCTTGTTTGTTTCTCCCTTCTCTCTGTATATACTTTGTTTTTGTTATTCTCTCTTTCCGTTCTCTCTACCCCCTTTCTCTGTCTGTGTTTTTGTCCACCTTTCTTTTTTTCATATATCTTTTCTCTGTTTATATTTGCGTTTCTCCTTCTCCGTTTTTTCTTTGTTTGCTTGTTCTCCCGGTCTCTTCCTGTGCTTTATCTTCATATTTCCCTTTTCTGTTCTGCTTATATTCTTTATCCTCCTTTTCGAACCTTTTTCTTTTCGACTTTTTTTCTCTATTTATTCCTTTCTGTTTCTTTATCGCATTTTCTTTCCTTGACATTGTTTCTTTTGCCTTTCTTTTATCTTTGCCTATTTTCTTCTTTCATTTTTTTTTTGACTTACTTCTCCTTTCGCGTTCTTTCCTCCATTTCTCTTTTTTTTTCTCAATTTATTCCTACTCTTTTCTTTGCTTCTTATTCTTTACATTACTTCCATTTCTTTCGTCTCTTTGCTTTCCTACCATCTCATTTTATATGTCTTTTTTTCTTTGTCTTATATATTACATTCTGTCTTTTCAAGGGTTTCTTTGCTTTCCTTTATTGATTTTGACTATTATTTGTACTTTTGTTCCTAACTGTCTCAATTTTTCTATCTGTTTTGTTTTATTTACTCTTTTGCATTTTTTTCTGTTTATTATTTTTGCTCAATTTCTCTCTTTCTATGTATTTATTTTTTATCATTTTAATTCCTATTTTGTCGTATCCTTGTTTATCCAGTATTCGTTCTCATACTTGTTGTTGCTTCTTTTCTTATTATCTCAGTTTCATCCTTTCCCTTCTTTGTTCTTTTCTTAGTATCACAACCTTTCCTTATTCTTTTCATTGTTGCTTTGTTCTATTCTGTTTTGATTTGTTTCTTTTAATTGTCACTTCATTTTTTTATCACATTCCCTCTTTTATATATATTCTTTGTCTAATATCCCAATCTCTTCTTGTGGTGTTCTTACTTTTTGTCTAATCCCTCCTTTTTTTTCCCTTGTTCATTCTTTTGTCCTATTATATCAACGTTTGTTTTGTCGGGTATCATATTGAAAGCCCATGAAAAGTTGTATCTTGTTCATCATTTTCCTCAATTGCTATTTTTCAATATTGATGAGTGATGTTGATGACTTATTTGAGATTTATGATAACATATCAAGAAAGTGTAATGCTAATTAACCATTGACGCTTGATAGCATATTTATAAGTTGGCTGGTGCTCTCTTACTACTGTTAAGAGCTTTCTATATTTTTTTTTAATAGTAAAACTGAAATTGATTATAACAGTTTAATGATATAATGATTTCAAACTATTTTTTTACTAATTATTCCAGAGCACGCTCTATGTAGTGGTATATATGAGACCGCTCTGTGAAGCAATCTCTGGTGAGATAATAACTGGATAACGTTTTCTATAAGTTCGCATATGCGAACTGGGCTATCTTCGGCTATCTTAGGCTACCTTCCCCTATTTTTCAAACACCGAGGTACTCGGTGTTTGGGAAATCTTATTACGAATGATACCTCATGTATCATGGTACCCAAGCACCGTGAGTCTTGCTTCTGATTGGCCATTCAAATGATACCTCTAATAATAGGATATCCTATTCGTATGTATCATTTGCCCTTTGTTCTGACTGGCTTTTAGCATGATACCCATGGCACCATTTCTCGACGACTCACGCCGTAAGTCGTCCAGAAATGTTATTAGGTGATAAATGGGTAGCATTTTATAAAAGTTCGCAGGTGCGAACTCGGATACCTTAGGATACCTCAGGATACCCATTTTATATCTCGCCCAAATTCCATACACCGAGCTCTGTCGTTTTGCATACATATAAAATACATTCATATAAGCATATTTAGCTTAAGAACTACATCTTTAATTTTAAAACTGAACGAGCTATCAATGTTCAAAAACGACATTTTAGTGCGTGTAGTTCATTTTCAAAGCTTAATAACTCGCTTCGCAGACTTAATGCAACTATAGTCTACAGATCAGAAATACTCTATAGACTGTACTCTAATCAGTGATATATAGAATAGGGCTCAGTGCAATGATTTTTGGTGAGATAATATTTGGGTAGTCTGAGGTAGCCCGAGGTAGCCTCAGGTGCAAAGGTTCGCACACGCGAATTTTTAGTGTGAGACGTTCATAAAGGATACCTCAGGCTACCTGAGGATACTTGGGGTTACCTCCCCCCTATATTTCAAACACCGAGGTACTCGGTGTTTGAGAAATGTTATTAGGGCATCTGTGTTATATTCTGTAGCCATTGGAATATTGTGCTATATGATCTTGACAAATATACTAAAAAAGGAAAAGGGGCACATAAAGCTCGTGGCGCACGTCAATTTATATAAACAGTGTCCCTGAATTACTGCAAACAGTCGCGTGATCATCGTATCTAACTGCATAGCTATCGCGTATTATTGATCTAGTTGGTTTCTTTGCTTGTCGGTATTTAAATATGACATTCCTTTGTTGCTCTTGCTTAGAGGTCTTTGAAACGAACTCGAAACGTAAAACTCATATTCGATGTGTACATCAACTTCTTGTAGACGTCAAATATCCAGGAGACCGTAAGTAGACCATCTAAATCGATGACTAGCTGTCAAATTATCAACCTTGTTTATCAGACGTAGAAAAAAATATACCAAGAAATCCAAATGACAACAAGTTTCACTGTCGTATCTGTAATAATTACAGCAACGCCAACCCTTCCCTTTTAAAAAACCATGCCAAAAACTGCCCGTCATTCAGTGGGTGTAATACAGACTACTATGCCTGCTGTTTCATTTACATTTATATTCTTAGGAGTTCATGCTTCTGCCTCATCAGCTATTGTTACTCCCAGTGTATCTGCTACTCCCATTGTGCCCATTGTGCCTTCTGTACTCCCTTCGTTATTTATGCCTGTTGCACCATCTGTGTCCGCTGAATCACGTTTACCTAATGCACCCTCTGTAACGACATCTGCTGTGCCTTTAGAAGCGTCTGTTGCTCATGAAAGCAATCTTACTGATGCAACTGTTCCAACTGAAGATACAAATGACGATGCCGACGGTGCTCCATTTGCATCCACTGATGAAGTAGAGTTGACTGAGCTGGGTACCTCAGGTGAGGTCATTATATATTTACTAGATGGTCTTTTTCTCACCTATTATTCCAGTTTACAATTCAGAGTACCAGTCCCTTGGCATGGTTATTCACTTGCAATCTGGTAGTGTGATATGCGTTCGTTGTCGCTGTGCAGTTCAACTAGGAAACGTCGTTGGCCATTTTGGTCGCAATCATTCATTGAACAGGTGGATTGCTCAATACAACGTACATCAACAGCAGCGGTATGGAGAGCAATTGGATGTCGAGTTATCCCAAATACATCCCGAGCCGCTAACTATCCATAACTTGGAAGAAAAACTGCGAGATCAAGCACTACGGCCCAACTGATGTTCTCACAGAACATCGATGCGCTCTTTTGGGAACATCGATGTTCTCATGAGCACATTGATGTTCTCATTTGAGAAGGTGTAGTTTTCCACATGAATAAAATGGTTTTAATAGCTAAACTATAATATTGTAGGCAACAGAGAGACTTTTATTATCTGTAAGATTCATAAAATTACTAAACGTATTATATATTGCACGAGAAAATGGCAATTTAAAATTACCTAATAACTACTTATTAAAGTAAAAGAATATATTTCATTAAGATATTCGAGTAGTTTAGTGGGAAGAACGTCAGATCCACAACCGATAGGTTGTGGGTTCGACCCCGTTAGGAGCATTCTTTTTTTTCAAATTTGTGAAAATCGATGTGCTCATATAAGAATATGGATGTGCTCACATGGGAACATTTCGGATGTTCTCATAAGAACATCGGCCGACTTATAATAGATCTTTAGGAACGCCGATGTTCTCATATGAGAGCATTTTTCACATTTCGGGAACATCGATGTGCTCATTTGAGAACATCAACACCGCTCGTGGTGTCATAAGATTATGCCTACAAAAGTTCTGTCTCCTGCTTGTGCTCTTTGTGGTTTTGCTACAGAGGACCTTTACCATTTCGTGGTGGGTTGCCATGTCAAGTCATTTTTCTGGCAGGATGTAGTCTCTTTGTTGTCACTTCAAGAGCTACTCCCCTCTGCTTTTTCTATTTGGTTGGCGCTGACTACCTTTTGTAGTGGTTCAGATTTGTTGGTGATCGATGAGGATGTTCTGATTGCTCTTGGTGCTGCTTACAGTACACTTTGGAAGTATCATTGGCGATGCGTCATAGACGAGGAGCCTTGGATAGCTTCTGCTGCTATCAACATGGTCCGTCAAGACCATAGTACACTCTTTTCTTCTCTTTCTTTGGCAAGTGTTCAAGCTGGCACCTTGGCCTTGCCTGTAATTACTGTATAGATTATAAATTTAAAGCTAATAAAGATACACTTTAATACAAAAAAAAAAAAATTTGAGAACATCAATAGATTCTCATATGAGCGCATCAATGTTCTCATGAGAACATCAGTTGGGCCGTAGTGAAGGAGCTGTCATGAACCAAGCTTCGATCTGGTACCTGGATCTAGAACCATGCAGTCCAAGTGTTATGTCTACGTTATGCTTATGTCATCTCGGTGTTCAGGATTTAGGAGTACTAATTGATAACCATTAGTAATCAATTAGTCATCATTAGTAATCATTATGTCATGCCAAGCTTTATGCAACCTTATCATGTCAAGTACCTATCAACGTCAAGTATCAAGCCAATGTCATAATTATGTAATTATGACTCATGTTTCAGATTACGAATCATTACGTTTATCCATGCTATATCCATGTCTCAGAATTTATGTCCGCACCTCTTGTCAAGTATAAATATCATGTCCTTTTCCCCTCCATCCTTTCCAGTTGTAGATTATCTTGTATATCTTATTCTCAATTACTTCAAGATAATCGTTTTGTTAAATAAATCCTCTGTTGAAATCAAGTTCTTGACACGAGCACGGCCTGTACGTTGCTCCTCTCAAAAATCCATTGCCTGCCATCTCTCTCTTGGATGTATCGCCTGGCTTCATGTGCGGTTTCTGCCCTGTAGAAGATGTAACTGCAGTCGCTGCATTCACCGGTGCTGTATCCACTATGGCCAAGCATATGCAACAAAACCACCGTGGGTTGAATCATAATCAGTACACCACTTGTCATGTACAGCAGCAGTATTCGGGCCAAACAATTCCATCAACCATCACGAGTGAAGGTGATGCACTATTCGAAACCTTTTTGTGCGAGAATCCTGAGTTTGATGAAGGGTTCAATCCTGATGCCACCATTGGCGATTCCCGGGTCTTTTCTCGCTTCTATGAGTATGTCAACTGGTTTGACTTGGTAGTGGATGTCGCTGGTGCTGACACAAACGAAAATAGGCTCCTGCTGCACGACTGGGTCAACGCAAGAGCCCCCAGGCTTAATGATGAGGTGGTCCGGTTTGATCTGGACCTAAAGAGCCTGCTCCAACTGTGGGTCTCCGTGCACTTAACGTCAAATCTGTGAACAAATATTTCAATCTTTGGTTTAAATATGTCAAGATGATGATGATGGCTGCTGCTCCCTCCTTTGGCTCTGAAGAGGACACTGACCTTCACATCAAGTACCATAAATTCGGTCAAGCCATTTTCAATGATATTAACGGTGACACATCCAGACAATTTGTCATCGATATCGAAAATATCATTGCTGAAATGCGTTCTGCTGGAGACAGCTTTCTTGCTAGTGAGAGAGCCTTTCCTGTCTTGCACAGCTACTTTATGTCGCTTGTCAGTGAGCAGGCACCTCCATTTAACCAGAGAGTCAAGTGCTCAATCCTGGTATTCACTGCATTCTCACAGATTGAGGCATCAGGATGCTGGAAGAACGTAGCATACGTAAAGAGTGTGCCTGCGAGATTAAAGTATCTGTTTAGAAGCATCATCCTTTACAAACTCTTGTTGAAAAACGATGTGGATAACAATGTTCAAGTTGGCACCACCATCAATGATGATGGTCTTGATACTGACCTCACTGAAGAAGAGTTGGAGGAGTTCAACAATAATGCGTGATTGTTAAGCACAAAGAATAAAAGGATTATTATTTGTAACTTATAAAAGATATTCGATATTATAAAAACAAGAAAAGACTCATTTGAATAAGATCAGACACAAAAAAACTAAAGATTTATTGATGAAGACAAGAGTTATCCTATTTATGCTAAGTTCTGAATGCCGAAGTAGCAATTTATCTTGTACAACGCTTATCACATCTGGCGAACCTCAGTATTTCTGTTGAGTCTGTAGCGGTTGCGGACATTCAGTAACTCAGCAAGAGTCGGATCATGATTTACATTGTTTCTCACTGTCTACGTCAGGACATTAGGTTCGACACAGAAGTGAATCATATAATCGATTATGATGGTCTCTGATAGTGAAGGATAATGATGGCTACAGATCGTAACATCATGGCTGATTGAACGAATCGGATCCTTCAATTGACTGATATTAGATAAACATGATACGATGTATTGACTCAGTTGAAACAACAAGATAGATTGATGATTCATCAGTAATGATCTCTTATAAATAGGATGCGTTTGAATCAATTAATAAATCTCTAGTTTTCGTATTTGGTTACTTTTTATAGTCTTCCTTTTTTGAAATCTATCTTAATTTGTTAATACTGTATCTTTGGATACAACAATTTAGATAGCTGAGATGCACTTCAATTATCATAGCTTGTCCATGTTGCTGCACAACACAGACATATCTACCCATCAAGAATACCTTAATCTTTATAGACAGTTGTAGCCCTTCTGGCACAACAATATACGATGAAATGTATATTCGGCGTCTCTATACATATTATTTATAATTTATGTTATTTATCTGGAAGCAGCTTAGTAGGTGCCAGTGAATACATTTTTTGTGTATTATTGCTGGGTTACCTAGTTGTTGATCCGATAAATTAGGAACAGTATCTCAATATATGGTTCGTCAGTTACGGCCACACTATATTTTTTTATTGTTGAGCATGTAGTTTTCTTGGATTCATTTATCTTATATCACATTACAAACCCACCAATATTTACTTTAGTATCTGTATCTCTAATTCTTTAGATCATTTTACTCTTGTTAACACCATGCTAATACTACTGTAGGGGGAAAAACTGTCCCGTTCGTTTAAATAATCTTGACTTTTACCCAGTATATTGCCAAAACTCGGAAAACAAAGCCACCCCATACTGCGTTCGATAGAACAGCCTATAGGGATTACAGCAACATAAAAACCTTATGGCTGGACTATATTTTAATCCCAGTATAACCAGCTAAAGTGAGACGTGGCAAAAATGTTAGGTGGGTAATTCTAGATGATATAAAATGGTTGATATCTTTACTTCCAACAGGCGTATTGAAGAAATCTAAAAAACTACCCGCAGTATGCTCAGAATATTTAATATCCCAGGAGCACTCTAAAAGTATAAAAGAAGCTAGTTTCTTCATGTATTTTCTTTATTTCTTTGCTTTCTTATTTTTTTTCAAAACTTTCATTTTGCCTGCTCGTTTAACACAAGATTTGCGCAACATTCTCCAATCTTTGCTCTAACGTGGTCTTTCGCTCTCAAAGATAAAGAATTTGTATCCAGAAGTGGGTAATTCTACCCTTACAAGGCTCAGAAAACTATATTGTCCTGACCCAGCTAGACCTCTTGGCGGAAGACCGAAAAAACTTGATGCTAAAACTATGTCCCTAGTGTCAAGAGGACTTCGACCAGGTGCTTTAGATAATCCCCGAGCAGCACAAGAAATTTTAAGATCGATGGGCCATGATATGTCAATTAATGGCATCCGCAAGTCATTGAGACGAAATGGACTTAAATCTCGTAGAAAAGTAAAGACCAATTTTGTTAGCAAGACAAACAAGCGGCTTCGATTGGCGTGGGCTAAAAAGCATAGGCATCTTACTATTGCTGATTGGCGTCGTTGGGTGTTTTCGGATGAAACAAGAATAAACCTTTGGGGCTCAGATGGTAATTCCTTTTACCGGACGAATGGTGGCCGAATCATGCAGTCGTATCAAGTCAAGTCTCAGTTGCAGGGAAATGACGGTGGGGTCATGTTCTGGAGTTGCATAACAGCGGAGGAGCCTGGTTATGGTACTACCATTATTGAAGACGCAATAAACTCGGGCTTGTATGTCGATATTTCGAAGACATCATTGAACGACACTCTTGCGCACTTTGGGAAGACATCATCTGATATGCGATTTCAACAAAACAGAGCAACACCGCATACATCGGGCATTACTAAACAATGGTTCACCGACAATGGGTTTAACCTAGACGAAATCATGGATTGGCCACCCCAAAGTCCCGATCTTAATCCCATTGAACATGTCTGGCATCTCCTAAAGCTTCGTCTTAATAAGTATCCTTCTAGGCCCTCTACAAAAGAAGAATTAGAGCGGCGTATTAACATTCAGTGGTACAAAATAACAAAAAAAGAGTGCCAGAAATATATTGATAGTATGCCTGCCCGAATCAAGGCTGTCATCAAGAGCAAAGGTGGTTCAACTCACTATTAATGATTTTATAATAAAATGTACATTTTTCTGTATTTATTTTTTAACCAATAAAATCATTGGATTTTAGTTTTTGAAAAAGTTATAATTATGTATAGATAGCACTACTTTCTCTCATTCAAACGATACATATTTCGACTTTGTATACAAAGAAATGACCAAAAACTTGTGCAAAAAGACAAAATATTAAACGAACGGGACAGTTTTTCCCCCTACAGTAATATTGTATATTCTTATATGTTGATGGTAGCATGGACGGGCTGAAATGATATTTTTTTTTGATATATTTTTATGATTGGATTTTCGTCTAGTTTACTTCAATGCATTTTAATAGAGCATGTAAAAGTACAGTAGTTCAATGCAGTCTCCAAGCTACCATAATAGACTAACGGTAATATCCATCTGCCCTATATCGGCAAAGCAAAAATGCTGAAAAGCTAGTTTTTCTCTTTACCTTTGAGCACCCAAAAAATTACATTTTTTCAGTTTTTAGTGGCAAAAAAAGCAAAAATATCGTACTTTTGTACTTGTGGCAATGCATAGCAACACGTGCTATCATAACCATTATTTAGATACATTTTTTACTTTCTGAATCCCTCTGTATATAGCTGAAAGAGCTCTCTTTATCATGCAAAAATACCATTTATAATATTCAGAGCCCGTTGTTTCATACCCCGACTAATGTGGTCTGCTGAACATCATATTTTCAAAACTGTTTTATCGTCTAAGTTAATAGCAAACGCAGGTTTTCCTTATTGAAGTATTATATTGCAGATGTTAGAGTTATACGCAGTTAAAGTTTCAGGTTGAAATTCGTATTTTTTGTGGGAAATTGAAGCAGTCAAAATCAAGTAATTCTCATCTCATATGTAGGCCCATAAAACATGTAATTCTACGTGATTATTCAAAATAATAGCATTGTCTGGTTAATGTGTATGCAAAATATCTTGTTCATGATTATCCAACAATGGCGGATATATTTAAGGTTTGAAATAGCGGTGTATAGCTCAAACATGTAATGCAGAGATATCGTGGCAATATTATTCGACTCGTGGCTGTAGCTTGATTTTTCGTGTTTGCATAGTCTTTTTCAATTTTAAAAAAAAAGATGGACTTATCGAAATTGATACGACCAGTCCCGGGCAATTCTTTTGTGCTTTGATAGCGCTTTTTGAGAGCTTTCAAATGATATAGAATACTTGGCTATAGCATCAATACATCGGCCTGTTTTCACACAATATTTTTTTAAGCGTTATTGAGTTGATTATTGTATCAGTATTCCAAAAAGTATCTTCATTAGATGATGGCGCTTGCAATCTCTTTTATTCGCATGAGCATGTATGCTACATGAGTGTCTTGAAAGTTTAAAACATGGTCTACTAGCTCTCAAAAAAGATACCATCATTAATTTATATGACCTTCACTATGGTACGCTTTCCTGCAATAGAAAAAAAAACTAGTTTTCTTTGCCTCATCCTCTTCGTTTAATGCATTAAACATGGCCTTTACCACTTGAGAACTAGCTAATTTAACAAGCTAACTGAAAATATGCTTGACTTGTCTTTCAATTGGCAAGAGCAGGATGAAACTTATCCTTTATGTCAAAGGATTATTTTTGTTTCTTCTGTCAAAAATCTAAATGGCATGGACTTGAATCAAGGAATGTTAAATTAAGTTCCTTCACATCCCAGTTCCGTCGAGTTTTAGATAAACCTCTGCAATACATTTTTTCTTAAAAAACGCTGCAAATCATTGTAATAGAAATCCTATTGATTTTGAAGTATTACTGGGTATAACTTGTTTAAACTTGAGCTTAATTATTGAATTATTTTAAGCTTTGAAAAACTCATCAAAAATTCAGGCACACATTTACTACTGAAAAGTATTTCATGGCAGCCATTTATCTGTCTTGATATTTACAATGTACAATCGCCCATCATAAATTTGTTTCTGGAATGTGATATTTATACTTGTGTCTACTTTAAGGATGAATCTTGGTGATTACAGACACATTGGTAACAAGTTATCTATTCTTGTGAACTGCAAACCAATCTAAATGCGCATTTCCCGGTCCAACAAAAATCAAACAAGTGCGAGTGACGGAATCTTCCATCGAAAGATTCGTATTATGTACATTCTACTACTTACTGAGGTAACCAAATTGCTTGAATCCACAGCTGACTAGCTGGCATCATTGCAAGGAGAAAAAAAAAAGGAGTAGATGATATCATTGCACTGGGCATTTTTCAATCATGCTGCATCCACAGCAAGGACACACTTTTAAAATGCTCAATTCATGGCATACAGAAGCATGCCAACAGATTGCACTCAAGATGGACAATGGATCTATCATAGTAGCTTTCACAGCATGTCGGATCAAACAGCCAAACGAAAGGGTAAAGTTATAAGCAGGTTTCTCAGGGCAAATCCACAGACTGTGAGGTAACAAATGCAGAGATCGACTCCCGGGAATAAATGTAATTCACATGCTGTCTTTTGGTTTTTTTCCCACGATTTATGGGTAAAATAGAGAGATTTGCATTTCAAATGACCGCTTTACCTTTACTACTGTTTAAATTGCGGGGGGACCATTTTTCGATTCGACTCTATTTTTTTTTTCTTCTTCTTCTTCTTCTTGTTTCATTATAAACACATTGAATGCAGACAACATCAGTGGCTAATTCCTTACAGCCTGTAGTAACCACAAATGTGCCTGCCAACAAGTTGGTGATGAAGACCCAGCGGAATGAACAGAGCTTCGACTATGTAGTAAAATCTGGCCTTGCTGGCGGTGTAGCAGGCTGTGTGGTAAGTGTGGATTGAATTTTGCTGTTTGCTAGACAGAGAGACTGAATGCAGCTTGATAGGGAAAAACAGTGATTGCACCTCTGGATCGGGTCAAGATCTTGTTTCAAGCAAGAAATCCAGTGTTTGAAAAGTATTCTGGAAGGTTTACTGGTGTATTTGAAGCAGGAAGAGACATTTTTAAAAAAGAAGGCACCATGGGATTGTTTCAGGGTCATTCAGTTACCCTGTTGAGAATCTTTCCTTACGCTGCCATCAAATTCGTGGCATTTGAGCAAATCAGAGCTATTCTTATGCCAACACCAGAGACTAGAAACTCATCTACTCGTCAATTCATTGCAGGCTCATTAGCTGGTAAGCTAGTATTTTATTGTATTTTGTATTTGTCATGCTAATGTGTTGCATGCAGGTGTAACATCTGTCATGTTTACCTATCCGTTGGACCTTGTCCGTGTGCGAATGGCCTATGAAGTGCGAGATAAAGGGGCCAGAAGACCAGGATTGGCAGAAGTGTGCAAGATCATTTACAAGGAACCAGCTCAACGTATTCACCTGTTCAATTTTTACCGAGGATTTTTACCCACTGTTGCTGGTATGACTCCATACGCTGGCGTATCGTTTTGGTTCTACCACATCATCACTCGATTTGCCCGCCATCATCCCATGGCTACACCCTACACCAGAGAGCCTATTGTTACATTTGAAGAATTTGCAGAAGATTTGACATTTGACCAGCAAAGAGTGTTGGAAAAGCCTCCGCTTAAAACATGGGCCGAGTTGCTTTGTGGTGGATTAGCTGGATTGGTGGCACAGACGAGTAGCTACCCGTTAGAGGTATGTTGATTAGAATGCAAAGCGTGGTTGGCATGCCAGTTGACTCAAACGGTTGCACTTAGATTATTCGTAGACGAATGCAAGTAGGCGGTTTGTTAGAGCCAAATAGATTTGTCAGTTTTAAAGACACTGTCAAAGAGATATACCATGCCAAGGGATTCAAGGGGTTCTATGTGGGGTTGACAATTGGCTACATTAAAGTGATACCCATGATGGCCATAAGCTTCCTAACTTATGAGCGTATGAAGCAAGTGCTGGATATTGCTTAAATTTCCTGCTATGCTGTATTGTAAATAGACTAGAGATCAATGCTTTTCTTGATTTAATAAATGTACATAATTTTTACAACATGGATGATGACATACAGTATTTGGTAGATGATGTATCTCTAAATATATCATCTTGCTTGAACGAACCAATGGCACACCTTAAACCCAATATACATAAGGACATTACCGCCTTGTGTGTGTGTGTGTGTGTGTGTCAAAGGTCATACGAATACATGCAGTAACGCAGCACCAGATGGCCTCCTCTGTTAATGCCATTAGTGTGACCATTGTGAAATGTGAATATCACCTCTTGTTTTTTTTTTTTTTTTCAAACACGAGCCTCGGATGTATTTTTATCTTGGCTTTCTCTCTCTCTCTCTCTCTCTCTTGAAATGATTAAAAGTATAATTGCAAACAGCCTTGCGAAGCATGGGCCACCATCAGTGATAGAAAACTGTAAGTTAAACTGTGAAACACAGCACACAATACTTATGCATCATCATTGATAGTGGATTGCAGCCAGTTTACTTCTTGCGGTGCTTGCATTGCACAAGAAGGCTGTGGATTTTGTGGAAACATAAATAGCTGTGTCAGTGGTGGATGGTTTGGAGCATTGGATAAATCAAATTGTGGATTAAATGACTATTACTTTCATCAGTGCCATAGTAAGTTTTTTTTTTCGGATTATGCTTGTTGTTTATGCATGTGGACCAACACTCTAAAATCCAGTGTCAACATTACCACTGGGGATTATATCCATCGTATTGATATCAATCATTGTTATAGCAGCACTAATTGGATTGTCAGTTTTGTGTTGCTGTTTCTGTTGCAAATGCTGCCAAGGAGAGGAGGCCGAGGATGAGGATGAGGATAGACCGCTGTTGGGGTCCAAATATCTGAGACGATCATCGACCTACTATCAGTGGAACAGACAGCCAGTTGTCGCCAATAAAGCAGAGGACACAAAAAATACCAACAAGCTCATATCACAATCATCATCATCTAGGCCAGTGGATCAAGTGGGAGATGCAGCATCGCCTAATTCGTCTACAATAGCAGAGAATTGGGAAGATCGACGTACGGCGTTACTAAAGAAATACGGACGGGAGCCTAGCTCAACAGACGAGTAGGATATTGAGATTATCTTGAGACGTTAATTAATAAACATTGCATGCTTATGATTACATTCTGCTTGTGATTTTTTTTTTGGGGAGGGGGGAGAGAATAACATGTGATGAAAGAGTGAGAGGAAGGGTTTGCACATTGGACCTTTGTTAGCTCTCTTTGATTTTACAGCTCAATACATGCAATTTAACGATTGCAAGTGGATTGTAGTGCACTATAAAACGTTTGAATGCCCATGTGTATTGATACGTTTACCTTGATGGATATGAGGCGAGTGTTTAGGCTATGCAAAATTCATTGTACAGCATGTCGAATGCTTTGCCTAGAGTTCCTCTTTGCAAGGGAGTTGTAAAATACAGAGTGATATCGCATTGACACTACACTATAAAAGTGTACACAATAATTACTTGAGCCATGATTGTACTCATTTGCAGCCGAGTCTTCTGTAATCGACTTTGTGATGGCACTGACACAATGATCCCCCCTTTTTTATTATTTAACAGCTTCTACACTGAAAGATTATCATTCCTTCGTTTCAATACAAATTTCTGCATTGTCAAAAATAACAATGACTGTGAATGAATGATGCTGTTATGTGTAGGGCCAATATGTGATAATAATAGGCGGTTTGAGCTTATCGTAGCGCCAAGGCTCTATTTAGGGAATATCCAATTTATTCAATTGACTCTGATGAGCATACTGATGCAATTATGAGCATTGCAAGACGCTATTCTTCATTTACTGCCATCTATTGTTAGAAACTGCCATGTTGAATCAAGATGTATACTTTTTAAAAATAGCAAGAAACACATTGAGCGATTTAAGCCTGAATTTGTTGAATTCAAAACGATGCTTGGCACAATTACACTTTTTCAGGGTCCACATCAAATAAAGTTAAATTTACCAAATTGAGGTATTTTCACTATTGCATGTTTCATTCTACCCATCATTGTTACAAATAAATGCATAATACAGCATGTATGCCAAGCGTCAATGGGCAGGCAATGATTGTATAAATACAAAGCAGCTGGACCATTCAAAAATCAAAACAACATCCACATTTCTCATTATGAAATTCCACATCTTGACCGCCATCACCAGTGCCATTGCTGTCATTCAATGCGTTTTTGCTGCTCCTACTCAAACTACCAGTGAGGCTGCCACTAGCACCAAGACGTACTTGCCTCAAGTATCTCCCATCTTCCCAAGCATGGCGCCTGCAACTGATGTTGTCACTTCTTATAATGCTGGTCCTTATAATCTGAGTGCTGCTTTGCCTACTTACCAATTGAGCGGCTTTCCTGAGGTGTGGCAAGTTCCTAATGTTTCTCATCCCGAAGTGGTTGCTGCTATCAACCAAATCAACTGGGATCTTGTTCCTAAAGGTAAAAACTTGTTTATAGTGATCTCAGGGTGGGAATTCAGCTAACCACCTTTCTCGCACTTAGCTCCTGTCAGATATCAGAATCCCAAGACTGGTCTCTTTGAGCCTGATACTGACGGCCCTACTGATCCTTACTGCTGGTGGTCTGATACAAATTGTCTTAAACCCAAGATCCCCATCCCTGATGATTACTACAAGTGTGATCAACCTGACATGTGGGGTCTTTCTTACGACGATGGACCATTCAATCGTTACACTGGCAAGTACGCTTCTTTGGAGAACCCTTACGCTGAGCCTGCCTTGTACAATTTCTTGGCCGAACACAACAATCAAAAGGCTAATTTGATGGTAAGATGATTGTATTTCGTTGAAAAGAGTGGATCTTATCTAATATCCTTGGTTTTTAAACAGTACATTGGCTCCAATGTCGTCTCTTACCCTGCTGCTGCAAAGAGAGGCTTCAACGATGGCCATTACCTGTGTGTTCATACTTGGTCTCACCCACCCATGACGACCATGACCAACGAACAGGCAGTTGCTGAGTTCTACTGGACTCTCAAGGCCATTAAACAAACAACTGGCGTGACCCCTATGTGCTGGAGACCACCTCAAGGTGATGTGGATGATCGTATCCGTGCCATTGCTTGGCAAATGGGTCTTCATACTGTCATGTGGAATTGGGATTCTGAGGATTGGGATATGCCAGCTCCTGGTGGTGGCGATCTCCCTGTTTCGGTATTTTTCATCTATCCATCGCAAAGACGATCCTTTACTCACATTTCTTCATTGACCAGACTGTAAACGGCTACTTTGAGCAGTGGTACGCTGATGGTAAGGCTCGTAACCTCACTGTTGGCCATATTGTCCTCGAGCATGAATTGAACAGTCAAACTGTTGGCATGACAGAAAAATGGTTGCCCAAGCTGCAAACCGTCTTTAATGTCATTCCTGCCTTGGCTTGCAACAATGTATCTCAACCTTACTGGGAAAAGCAATTTGTAAGTTGTCTTGATTAGAATGCCGGATAATGCGTACTGACAAAACTTGCAATAATAGGTTTATCCTCTTGTCAACCAACCTGCTAAAAATGGTACTTTGAAGTATTAGGCTCATCTTGATCTGTAGTCTAAGAATGGCACATTCAATAAAATTTCCAATTCAGTTTTTGCATGTATTCAACTTGATTATATATATATATTGACATGATCCAACTCTATTTTCAATGGCATTCTTTATTTACGAAATAGCAGACGTAGAAAAGCTATGGACATACTATAATTGTATGTATAGCCTTTACTGGCTACATCAAGACAACAAAAAAGTATACTTGTAGATAGATTAATATGCGCTCATCAATGTCAGAACTTCATTTGCAGCAAACGTCCTTGCTCGCAAAAAGAGTTGAAAAAGCATATAAAGATACATGGTCCGAATAGACAAGTGTGTCAGTATCAATTACTCTGCAAATGATCTTGTCATTTTTGATACCACAGATGCTCCCATTTACTGTACGCGCAAAAAAAAAAATTGCCAAGAAAACAGGCTGTCAAAGCGTACCTGAAGACACACAAGAAAGCATGAATATCATGTACTCGTTCTATTTATTTCACTCTGCAGCCTTTGATATTGACGATGTTATATATCATATTTTCGACACTATTGTACAATCAACTTGATGGCACATTCATTCGCATGGAAACCAACTTATACCACTTTTTTTACAGCAGGTGACGTACTGTATTTGCCGCTCCAACACAACCCCAAGACCACTTTTGTGAGACCTTGGTATGAAAATTTTCGACATTTTGGCTGAAAACACCATTTCATATTTTCTAGGGTTGTGCAATAATTTCTTTAAAAGCACCTCTTATAATTGTCACCATTATATGCACTTTGCAAAGGTGCTTGGAGAAAGCTTAAGGGTGTATGAGATGATTATCACGATTCGTATAGTCGAATCTAACCATCAAGTCGAAAATTACTCAATCATGTTCCATTGTCATTTTGCCAGTGAGAGAGCTTTTTTTTTTTTTTTATTTTATTATCGCTCCATCACAATGCTAGATCAGCTGGCACATGGTTTATTGCATTTCATTTGGTGAAAATATAGGCAATGGATGTGCTTCTGTGTTCAATACGTAATTCTCCAAAGGTATAATATCGTCAGGACTGAATATGAGGTACAAATACTTTAGTGTTTCTGCCAAAAAGAAGGTGTCCATTCGGTTATCGGCTGGAGGGGGAATGACAGTGACATCCTTGAGTGCTGCATAGCCTCCGTCAGGTAATTTGGTATATTTTTCAAAGGATTCAAATATGTTCCATGCCCAGTCCCTATAAACTCACATCAATATCCTATTGCAACTTATAGCATGGCACTCAGTCACCTATACTTTTCTTGGCCTGTTGTTCTGTACATGATAAACAAGCTCTCCAACGTCTCTGGACGCAGCAGATTGTGCTTGTCCCTCATGTGGATATCCATATCAGGCTCATCTGGCCCACTGTGGGGATTTGTATTGAAATACACAATTTCACTCGCTAATCCTGTAGCGGTCATGTTGTACATTTCGTAACAAGTTCTCGTCAATTCCTCTGCTAGGTGGAAATCCTCGCCGTCCTTTTTGTCGAGTGGATCCAATTCATGAATCGAAGCGCCTTCTGTCACACCCAACACAAAACTGCCGCCCATAAAGCAAACCAAGTGATCCATTTTGGGGTGAATGTTGTTTGGTTGCGAGCTATCCATCAATTCAGCAATGTACAGTAGATTGTTGGGATAACTGTGCTGTACGAGATGCTTCTTGATGCCGTCTACTGCATGGTCATATCTTTCACGGTATTTGATCTCGGATTTGTCGGTTTGCAGATACAGTTTCAGCAAGTATTCTACCAGCCATAGGTGAGAATCACCCATACATACAGTGCCCTATCCGCTTACCATAGTAACTGTCGCCACGGGAACCAAGTCGAATCTCTCTTGATGCAAAGTTGCCAGAATGAGGGTCAATATAGATTGGCACCAACCCATCCAGTGCAGAGCTATCCTTTGCTTCCACCAATTCTTGCATTCTATCCATGACCTTTTCAGCAGCATTCCAATACTTCATGTCGCCCGTCAAATGACTCAAATACTTGAACTCAAGTTGAATCGTAGTTGCCTCTGCTGTGCTGCTGGGACCGTATCCCACAGGTACACCGTTTGAAAGTGTGATACCTGAGAATGGGATGCCTGATTCCGAGTTGAATGCCGGTAAGAGTCTATCACCCAAATCCACCGCTTTCCTCAAATATAAAGGGTCATTGTTGGACAGATGATATGCTGACAGCAGGCCACCCAACACGCGAATGGTCGTTTCGAATACATTGACGTCCTGATCCTTGTTGAAGTTCAAGTTGGTTTCAATCCATGATCGTGCCTCGTTGTACTCCTTGGTGAGGTTCATCAGCATCAATGTATCCAGTGAATCCACAATCATCAGTCCGACGCCTCCAGGTGCCCAATTGTGTCCTGTGTGTGTTAATGGCTGGTATTCGTCTTGTCCAAAGGCGTCTTGAGCATATCCCTTCCAAGCGTGCTGGAACGCCTGGATGACCTTGGCTTGGCGAGAAGCCAATAGTGTGTCGCTGGGTCGCAACGAAGACGGTGGAGGGTATTGAGTAAAGAGAATATGGGAGGGCTGCTGATAATCAATGCTGATGATCTCTTGCTCAAAATCATCATCTGCCACCTCAAAGTCGTCTTGTTCTGGCTGTGTTTTTTGCACTGGAGGTACCTTATTGTCAGCAATAGGCCCATAGTCTGGCTGCTGGAACGGATCTGCAGAGTCTATGGCTTGCTCGCCAGATGTTCGTGTGTATGTGTAATATAGAATACAGATGGCAGCAATGCTGAGGCCAATCCATAGCTTGCTGGAGCGCAAGTTTCTCTACAAGTGTGTGTATTATCAGTCTTTGCAAGTGGTGATTTTTTTTTTTTTTTTTTTACAAATAGTAAATTACATGAGATTCTTTGCTGTTTGTCTTGCTGTACTTGTCGTCATCATAAAAATCACCACGACCGTTCTTCATGATACGGTGCGTAGGAAGCATTTTCTTGAGGGGAAGAAGAAGAAAAAAAAAAAAAAAAAGAGTCAATTAAGCTTCTCTCTCTTACACACACACACACACACACACACACACACACACACCCACACACACTACTTGAATAGAATGCTCTAATTAATTTAAGCATCCGTCTTAATTAAATGCTGCCAAGTTACACAAGCATAGAATCCACAAGCATGGATTCCTTTGCACACATAGCATGAATAGTTTTGATTGCAATGACAAAAATCTTCCGATAGCTTTAGCCTGCGTTCCTGAGTCATCATGAGTATATTTCCTCTCACCCGTCAGCATACTGAATGTCCTTTCCACCTCTTCCCTCACAATGTCAAATTATCCTACGATAAGAAATCCATTGCTACCAAGCCCACCCATGGCTTCGTCTCGCAGCAGATTCAGAAAGTCTGATATACTGAGCAACCTGTCACTATCCACCACAGCAACGCTGTCATCCTCCATCTCTACCGCATCCATTCGCAGCTTCATGAGCCAGACAATGAGCCAAATTTCAAATGCCAGCACAACATTTCGCTTTGGACACAACAGAAGGATCATGCCACACAGCGGCAGTAGCCAAGCCATGCCCAAGTCAGCAACTGAAAAGATGCTATCCACCAAAAAGACAGCAAAGAGCACGGAAACTGAGCCATTGGTCCATTACAATGGTCCTTTCCATACATTGGAGTCTCTGCCTGTAGAGAAACTCAACTGGATCAAGGACGAGCAAACATCCACGCTGGTAAAAAACCCGCTAACAAACTACACCAAATCCATTGTCTTGCGGAAACCCTTGACCCGTAGCCCTACTTACCCTGCCCTCAATTCCAATGCTTATTCTAGGCCTTCACAGACCAAGCCAAAGGGCATGTTTTATCTGCGAGGTATGTGTCTATTTTAATATGGGAAATTAAACTCTGCTAATAGATAGAATACACCTTAGTTTTACAAGTCATTGCCACGGATACCTCTAAAAGTAAGTGGGCTATGATTGAGAAAGAACACAGCTCCATACTGATACATCCCCCTCCCCCCCCCCCTCTTGCAACCAGCTCGCTTGTTCCGCTGTGGTGTACAGATCAATCAGGAGACCTGTCTTAGCTCCTATGTCACTAGTGAGAAGACCGGCAAGCATAGCTCGATTGCGCAATTTGACGAAACATTCCTATTGCAAGTAGGCACATGACAGGCAAGCCAAATGAAACTAACATGTCTATACAGTGATGTAGATGACCAAACAACGGCTACCATCAGCATCTATGCTCAAAACAAGAGCAGCCATTTGTTTCAAAGCCGCCATCAAAAGCAGGAGATCTGTTTGGGAAAGGAGACAATCCACATTACGCTACACCCCAAGTCAAAGACGACAGAGAGGTTTGTGCTCAACAGCAATCCCAACGCAGGTCTCAGCAATGACATTCAGTTGCTGGTTGTGCATGGCACGTTTGTCAGCCGCAGAACGCAAAACATGCTCAACAATACCATCTTGTTTGAAGACTTTATCACTGCCTATGTGCACACAGGCATGGTTCCTGTAAGTAGTCAACATGGCTGACATGTCATGATGCTCACTGTTGTTACAGCGATGGGATAGATTCTGGGGTATATTGCGTGGAGTTCAATTTGAGCTGTATGATTTTGAATACAAAGAGGCAAGTAATCCTCTCTCCCACCCTCTCTCTCTCTATCTCTATCTCTCTCTCTCTCTATCTCTATCTCTCTCTCTCTCTCTCTCTTTCTCTCTCCATTTATCTGCAATAGCTGAAAATCCCCCTTATAGAATCGACCTCCTCTCTACCTGATTCCGTTGGATCATTTCATAAGCGCATTTGATCCCTCCGAAGAAGATGGCGAGGAGATCCGCATTGACATTGGCGCACGGGGCATAGTGCTTCAGTTTACAGAGAATGCGGTCAGCAAGAGCAAGCGAGACTGGGTACCGGATGATCTGGAATGTCGCATGTATCTGCTGCCTGAATCCTTTGCTGCTGCTCGTGAATGGGAATCCAAGTTCAACTACGTGGCTTCCATCTTTGATGAAGTGAGAGGCTGGGACACCAATTCGAGCAATGACTCGTATCATGGCAATGCCAGCGATACGGATACCGACTCTTATGATGACCAAGACGACGATGATGATGATGATGATGACAATGAAGCAACGTCTGTTCCTTTAAAATTATTATGGTAAAAATAAACATGAATTCAATTTTCATTAGAGCACGTGGTTTACCAAAAGCATTTTTTTTTTTTTTTTTTTTTTTTTTTTTTTTTTGCTTTGCTTTGCTTTGCTTTGCTCAAATGTGTAAATGGAATCAAGGCCATGGATACATAATAAAAGGAGACAAAAGAAACCAATGGCAGATGCTGCGTTTCATTATCACGTGTAGAATCGAGTGTAAATGTATATTTACCTTGCTCTTTTTTGACACACACACACACACACATATACACACCACACATTATACCACACCAAAAAAGCGGAGAAACATGGCATCACAGAGGATATTTAAGAAAAGATTTTTTTCTATTCTAAACCACCTTTTCTTTCTCTCTGTAGATTATTTATGTTGTGCACTTTTGATCCCAAGTTTGATCAAATCCTCTATTATTACGGCAGCGACGACTCTCTTACCTCGTGTTTGCATCCATAAGTAACTCCTTTTTCGCAAAACAACAACCCTCATTACAACAACCAGTTTATATCCTTTTCATACCTCCAACAGCAACAAATATATTATAATGGCTCGTAACGGTTCTCCTCTCGGACGCATGCTCACAGTCATCGATTGTCCAAACTCGTCTTTACGCTTCCTCATTCTCGATTGTCCAACTGAATCAACCTTGGATTTCTACATGGAGGAATTTATGCGACTTAATGTTGTGGCTGTAGTGCGATGCTGTCAACCCACTTACAGTGCAACTCGTTTGACTGATAGAAACATACAAGTATTAGATCTTCCATTCAAGGATGGTGGTGTGGTAAGTTGAGGATGCTACGATGGTAGTAGATCACTTTTTTGTGTGTCTGTGTGTGTGTGTGTGTGTACTGACCTCATCATTAGCCTCCGCCGCAGGTCGTGCGTGAGTGGTTACAATTAGTAGAAAACTACAAACAAATAGCTGAAACGGCAAAAGAAGAGGGCACTGCTGCCCCAACAATCGCTGTTCATTGTGTCGCAGGATTGGGTAGAGCTCCTGCTCTAGTAGCTATTGCTCTTATTGAAATGGGCATGAAACCATTGGATGCTATCGAATTTATCAGAGGAAAGCGACGAGGGGCATTTAATAAACCACAAATAGCATATCTGGCAAGTAATCTAGTACAAGATGTAGATCGATTCCATATACTAATTTCCCTCCCCCCCCCCTCTTAGGACTCTTACAAGCGAACATTAAAGCCCAAATCAACTAGTTCCAACTATTCACTTCGGTCCTCTCTCGGTCGCATGTTCAAACTAGGCGGCACCAACAACAAGCCTAGTCCTCCTCCTTCCACCGCAGGAAGCACTTTATCCCAATTGACGTGAATCCATGGCTCGCATGGATATCACTCAATCTTATCATTACTACTTTTACTAGATTCCTTGGTTACTATTATTACTGTTTTATTTTCATTAAACTTTTTTTTTTTTCACTCTCCAATCACTGTTCTTTTGTATATGCGGGTGGTGGCACTAGGCAATCATGACATAATTCTTCTTCTCCGTCTTCTTCCACTCTATTCCCGCCGTTAGCCTCTCGATCTGGTTGCTGATTTGATCTACTACTGCTTGCGTGTAAATGATGGAGTTCCTTGGCAGAAGGTGCGGATGGCTCAGGTGTGGGCGGTAAGTGGGAAAGTGGGGGTGGTGGTAGGCGGACGAGATCTATAATTTCCGTGCGATGCGTTGATGAGGCGGGTGAGGAAGGCGGTATCGATGGTGATGGTGAAATGAGGCAAGTGGCTGCGGTAGTTGTTGCATTGTTGGGTGGTCTGTCTGTAACTACAGATGCTGCGGTATTTGCAAATAACATGCCATCGTGTTGCTCAACATCTGAGGTTGCCTCGAGTCGTTGATCTCGTACCATCATATCGCAACTTGCACAATATGAGTAATTGGTTGTTGCACAAGATTTCTCATCGTCCTCAACATCTTCTTGAGCGTCTTTCATGCTACTACGGCCGTGCAGTTTTCTTCTTTGTTTGCACTTGCGTGAATACCAATAAATCATGATGCCTACACCCAGTGCAAACGATAGTGATAACCCACCCGTGAGGCTCAGAATAACAGCCAATGTTCTCAGTTGTCTTTCATTTGTATGAAGCCTATGTAACAGCGTAGAGGATGATTCTTCTGTTGCAGTTGCTAATGAAATATCATGGTTGTCGCTAGTAGATGGATCGAGATGGCTGCTACTACTAGTACTACTGTCTTGAATGTTCATACTCTTTTGTTCACGAAATTATCAGCATAACACAATATCAGAAAGATGAACATGTACACAAAAGAGAGAAAGAAGAAAGTGGGTAATGGGGGAAAAAAAAAAGGGGGTAGAGTCTGTACATCATGTCTCCTTCCCCCCCCCCTCTATTTTCAGGGACACTATTTAATATTTGCATGCAGAGAACGGCATAATATGCTTTTTATAAAAACGAAAAAAAAAGGATCTACGAGCATCCGGCTATAGTCATCAGCATCATTTCATATGCGAAAGATTGAAATGTGTAATGTATTCATGACCACATGGATGCCATGCATTATAAATATATATGCGCAAATGTCGGATGAAGATGCACTAAATAAAAAGACCACCGTTGGAATTACCACATCATGGAAACCTATTATTTTTTACTATATTCTGTTCTAATTTGGCCTCATTGTTGTAAATTCTAAACAGTTCAAACTTGCGTAAGGCTTACACTTCACGTGTGGAATCGAGAATAGAACGTACGACTCTGCATTTAGATTCGCATTTGGATGACCAATTTGCAGCAATTATGTATCCAACAGATACTGAAATGTTAAATAAGGGCTATAGTATTTTTCAGTTTCTTACGAACTTTGAAACAGCAAGGATTACCTTCTTGATGAGAATGACATTATTGGCTTGGGCAGTCGCCAAATTCAGTCAAATCTTTGCGCTCAATGTCTGTTTCAGATTGGGCCAAATTTTGCTTTTTTTTTGCGACTTGATTCATCTGTTTTGCAAGATTCGACTATGGCATTTGTGTTGATCACCCCTCAGCAAACTTCCCAAATGACTTTTTTTTTTTTTTAAAAAAAAAAAAAGTGCTCTTTATAGCCCATCCAATGGTACTGATTATCAAGAACATTTTGAACAAGCCTATTGAGCAATTTATGATAACATAAAGTAAGGTTTTGGGCGAAACTGTCGAGATTTTGTATATCAAGCTTTCACAAAGGTCGTTTTAAAGGTTGCTTTGATGGATCAAGAGAATCATCTTGATTTACTATGTAAAAAAAAAAAAAAGTAAACTTTGAGTATATACAGCAGGATGCCCACTGAAGATATGCTATACAGACCGCCCTGTCAGGGCAGTAACCATTTCACATACATAAACGTGGTTTGGAATATCATGAATTGGCACTTGTGTTTTCCTAGGTATCTGTGCAAGCCATCAAGGCAGGTTTTTTATTGCGAGTATACACATGTTAACTAGATTAATGGAATCTAAATGCATGTATAAGCGATGAATATATGGCTGCTGAACTTTTATTGTTCAGTGCTCTTTGGAGCCAAGACAAGCTTGGGAGTAGAAGAGCAAGCACAGTAAGGTTTGCCATGCTCAAAGCAGGTGTTGATGTCTTTGACGTACACAATATCAAGGACTGAGTATGTTTTCTCTACGCCATCTCTCTCCTCTACGATTTTGTATGTGGTAGGGTGGGCTGCTTTGGTATCGCTAAGAGTTTTGCACATTTCCTTGACATCCATCAATACTACTCTGGGCTTCTTCTGACGCTTTTCCTGTTGTATTTTGGTTGCATCAATTGACTCTTGCAATGCGTCACCCATGCTGTCGATTTCATAGTAGATGGCTTCTTTAACCAGTGCTGCGAGCTTCGCCAAATCCTTTGTGTAGATGTGGTTGGTTCTCAGATAGAATATAACATCGCGAAACAACTCACCATTGCGATCAATGAAAATTGGCTCTTGCTGCATTTTCAAGTCTTGTTGAGGTCTGTTTTTGTTTACCAAATCATGAAGGACGGTGGAGTCAGATTCAAGAACAGTGCTGCGATAAGTCGTGAAGAGTTCACCGCCAACATTAAAGGTGACAATGTCTTCACCATGGCTGACTTTAGCAGGCTTGTTGGATTGATTCATTAGGGAAAATTGGAGGAAAAGATAAGAAGAAACAGATGAATTGAATGGACCCAGTAGTAAGGACAAAGAAATAAGTTGCAAAAAGTTGTCAATCAATCAGTTTTTTGATTCTGTGAATACTGTTTAGCAAGCCTACAAGTGGCACAAACAGTGGTAAGCATCACAGCGCAACAGCCATTGATGCGTCTGGTAGTAGTCGTGCATAAAGGTCTTGTGGTATCTAGCCTCCGGTAGTAGCGAGAGTAGACAGAAATGTATTTTGAAGACTTGAGAACAGGTTATAATCATTGACTCTACGTAAGCAAATTGGCACCGACCGCTTATATAAGTAACACCTTTTTATATCAAGACGCCAATAACAAGCTATTTGATTTACAAATACAAGAAAGCGATTCATGAACGCGTCTCTAATCAAGCTGCCTTGAGTTGCATCTTCATTATATAATAACCTTAACCGTGTTGCAGATAGAGTTTGGATGCCAACTTGTCAAGAATCCACACAACTCGTATACGTGGATGAATATTTGAGGTGCAGCCTACGCATTCTCTAATGGTATCTCTGGCAGAGCATTAGTCATTAGCAAGCGATTCCTAGACCATGACTCGACTACAGACCAGTTTTAAGGCTGATGGTGTGATGCCATGATACCATTGGACGGATCTCAACCATGGGTATTTCTCTAGTGTATATTTTTGCAGAAATCTATCGTGTTTGCACTCCTCTTTATTTTTTCTACTTTACACATACGAAAACATCTCAAGACCCAATGTCTGCAAAACTACCTGAATTCACAGACAATGAATATCCTCCTGATTTAGAATTAAGGTATAACCCGCGAATATACCCTAAAAAAAAAAAGCTCAATTTGCTCATCCAACGTCGTATCACGATAGGCTTTTGCAAATTGTCCACAGACATGGTAATCTGATCATGTTTGGTAATGCACGTCAATCTAAACTAACAATGCAACAATAGGCGAGCGCTCGCCTGTGAGAAGAAGACTTGAGGGCATCATTCCACCAGTCTGGAATCTTTGTGACGCCAATGCAAGCATGTTCGCCACCATTGCCAAATTCAAAGATGATAAGATTCAGGGTATGACATCTGTGCATACGGAACGTCTAGTCGAAACCCAAGAAAGCGAAAGCCGTTCTGTACCAATCAAACCTGGCGCATGGTACAGTGTTCTCTCGATTTCTTACTCTTTATGAACTGACAGAATGATTGATTTCTATAATAGTTATTATGGCCAATTGACCAATTTGGGGAGATATAGAATGACAACCCTAGGCAACCGCATTAGAGAGGTGTATATCAACAAGTGAGTCATAGTAGGAGAGGATCTACAGGGCATTGAAGGGCTGAGCAGCATCTTTCTACAGGCTTCATTTCTTGCCTGATGTGTATGATGAAGACGCCATCTATTTAAGAAGCAGTGATTATATTCGTACACAAGAGTCTGTTCAACAACTCGTCGCTGGTGGACTCTATCCCAAGGATAAAAGATCTCAAGATGTTACCCTGAAACTTCGAATTAGGTATAGTAGCTCAAGTGTGCAATAATTTGTGTAATGATGTTTGTACTCACCATTCCCACCCGATGAACTCATTCACAGAGATCCAAGAGATGATCTTATGTTTCCCAATCCCAATTGCTATCGTCTTCGCTCTTTGTCAAAGGAATTCAACAAGACTGTGTCTTCAATGATGCAGGACAAGTTCAAGAGTCTTGGCAAGAGGCTCTCAAATTATGTGGACAGTGTATCTCTTGTTAGTCATCCTTCTGCAAATGGTATTTTAGGTAAATATACTCCATTAGGAAATCAAGCCGAAGTTATTCTAAACAATGTATATATAGATACGCTTATTGCAGCAAAGGTTCATGGATTTGAGTTGCCATCTGATATTGACGATGGCATCTTGAGAGATTTGGAGCAAGTGGTCGTCAAGGAATGGTTCTATGGACATATGGCATCGGCTGAAGTGCGCAGACTGGGTCTGGGCAGACTTATGGGTGTCATTCGAGACCGTATGAGTCTTCGAGAGAAGGGTGGTGCCAATGATGACGAGAAGCTCAAATTGGCGATTTACTCTGGTCATGATACGTAAGTTTTTTTTTTTTTTTTTTTTTTTTTTTTTTTGTTAAGGTTCCTTTATTCACATATTCTCTGAGCTTCAAACTTACATTTCTATCATTGGTAGCACGGTCGCTCCACTTTTGATTATTCTAAATGCGTTCGACGAGAGGTAAAAGCCTAATTAAACGATGATATAGACATTTGATGCTAAAAAAAAAAAAAAAAAAAAAAAAAAAAAATGAATCTAATTAGATGGCCACCATTTGGATCCGCTATTTTGTTTGAACTGTTTAAGCACAAGGAGTCGGATCAGCATTTTGTTCGAGTCAAATACAATGAAAATACACTCGAGTTACCTGGATGTCAAGCCAAGGGAGATCACAAACAAGGCGATAAATCACTGTGTACATTTGAGGCATTCAAGAGAATCGTCAGAGATCAAGTGCCAGCAGACTGGGAAAAAGAATGCGCAATTTAGATAGCAACGTATGATTGGTTTTGTCAATAGATTGAATGTGTTACATTGGATACAAAGCATTTTTGCGGGGGGTTTTTTTTTTTTTTTTTTTTTTTTTTTTTTATACATGAAGAGTGTGTGAGAGTTTACCAAACTGTGAACGCGGAGTTGTGGCCTTGCAAGTATAGAAATCTCTCTCATAAAAAATATTTTCTCTTTTTTTCTTCTTTCTTTCTTTCTTTCTTTCTTTCTTGATTAAACAATACCCACAAGGATGAACTATCAGAACAACAACATTTTCAATCCACAAAGCAATGCAGAAGGCTGGAACTTCATGGACTACACCAGCAACTCTCAACAACAGTCATCATCAGAAGCACCGCTGCAAGAACCTGTTGCATTTGAAGGTAATAACGTAGTAGTAGCCAGCAAAGTTGCATAGCAATTAACCAGATGGATCCAGACTTCCAGTTTAGTTTGGGCTTGGACCCTGAGTTTGCCATGCCTATCCCTTTGGATATATCACCACCACCTCCTGCTATGAATGAAGGCGATTTCTACAACATGGAAGCTGTGCCTGCTCCCATGAATCATGCTGTACTGGATGAACAAGACCACAAGGCATTCAGCCAGTTTTTGGATCAGTTTTTCGTCGACCCAAACATGCAAATAGACCCTCAATATACAATGTTCGATACGCAACATCCTCCTCCCATGTCTCTGGATAACCACCCTTATCAACAAGCAGACGAGGAATATCATCGTCAGTCTTCCATTTTGCAATCTCTGGATGAGCAAAAGAGATACTACAACAAGGACACTGATATGCACCACCACCATCATCAACAGCACGGCCAATCGTATCAAGACAGACCTGGTGCTGTCTATCTTCAGCAAAGTAACGCCATCACTGCACCCTTTATCAAAACACCTGTTTTACGTGAAAATGCATCTTTGAGCAAGCAATCATCAGAGGAGAATGATACCTCGCATAGTCCTGGCTCCAGTCATAGTGGTGGCAACCAGGGCAACACTAGTGGTGGTGGTGGTGGTGGTGGTGGTGCCATCAGACGTGGAAAGCCTCACAAGGAGCTATTGACTGAAGAAGAAAAACGCAACAACCACATTGCATCAGAACAAAAGCGCCGTAGTATGATCAGATCAGGATTTAAGGATCTAACAGAAATTGTTCCAACCCTGAAGAACATCAACAACTCGAAAAGCACAGTTTTGTTCAAAGCAGTTGATTACATTAAATACCTCGATAAGAGAAATAGAAACTTGAGAGAAAAGATCAAGAATTTGGAAGTACGTGTCGAAGTGGAAGGTCGAATGGGTATCTTGAGCAGCAGACCATCGTCGACTGCTACCAGTCAGCCTTACTACAAATCATCCTCCATACCAGCACCGTCAACAACAGCGGTTGCTCAGCCACGCAGAGTAGAATCCAGTGCCATCCAACATGCAAATATCCATACTACTACTACTACTACTACATCTACATCTACTACTACTACATCTACATCTACTAATACCTCATCAGCAGCACCGCCTACCATTAGTAACAAGACGGCATCTGCTGCTCTTTTACAACACAAAACGCAGCAAAAACAGTTGATGGAGCTCCAGGAAAAGTTACAATTACATCAAAAGATGTTGGCTCAGCAACAACAACAGCAGCACCAGCACCAGCACCAGCACCAGCAACAAAAATCTTCAGTAGCAGCAACAGATCTGAATAGACCATACCATATTTATGATCAATCTCATCACCACCACCGTTGGCATAATGAAAAGACACCTGACACAAAGATGGAAGTGGATGCAACCACCGCTGCTCCTCCCAGCGATTCTTTGATCAAGGCCACCGTATCTGCTTGATTCGTTTCATTCTACTATTTTTTTTTCTAATGCATACACACACACACACACACACACACAACAAGACATTATATAACATTCAGCACCCTCTAATTCTCATTTTTCTGTATACTATCTTTTTGTTACCTTTTTTCACTCACACTCACACTCACTTACTCACACACACACACACATCGTATTTATGAAATGTACACTTGTCATTCTATTCCCTTCTCTGATTTCTTGGCCTTTTTTGTTGAATTCATGCATAAAAAGGAAATACACTTTATATACAAATGTGTGATACAATAAAAAATGATGATATCCTAAGGATTGTGTGTGAGAGAGAGAGAGAGAGAGAGAAATCCAACCATTTGATGTTACGTTAGAGAAAAAGGCGCGGTGATGACTATTTCATGCGAGTAGGAGATGGAGGTTTCAGTCATGTATGGGATGTGCTCATCAGATCTGCATGTAGTAAACATCAAATCCATGTGGCATACAGATTTAGAGTGGCAGAGGTCACAGCGATGATCAGAGCCACTGTCGTTATGCTGCCTTGTAATTAGCCATGATCAAATAAAGCACTGTTACAATTGACGTGTATTGAGTGAATTATACCATTATCAAGTAGATTAGCGATGATGAAATACTTTTTCTTCTTTGCAAATTACTCCTACAAAAATAACGCAGTCGAGTGAACGTACAGCTGAAGATAAAAGCAAAAGACAGAGATAGGTGATTATACTAAAAATGTGTCAAAAGCTGCTTCATTGATAACTGAAAAGGAAGCAAATGATTTTGAGTGAACTGAAAGCTAAATATGAACTTTTTTTTTTTTTTTTTTTTTCAGGAACAACATTTGGATAGAGTCAAGCAGGACACAGCAAATCAAAATGAGCAAACAGTATAACATCGGCACCGAGCAGAGTACTCAAGATGAGTAAAACGTATCATGTCAAGCTGGAATGCAAATGTAAATATTGATCAAGCTCAACTTGTTTCGAGTGCATAAACTTAAACTGTATATTCAATAAACTACATTATAAACGTGTTGATACACAACTATTTGGCTATCCAAGCACGCAGCAACACATTAGGTCTTTCACTCAAATATATATATATATATAATTGACACTGCACTTGTATTAGACGTGTTGATTGTGAGTAAATGACTCGTAGATAAAGACAGCCTGTCAGAGTGAATAGAGATGACGGCTTCTATTTAAAAATGAACGCAGATTACTTGAATGGACATGATGTTTATTCCCCACAGCACGCAATCAAGGTAGCCACGAAATTAATCTGGCAGTAATTCACACAAATGGCTAATATAAAACAAATTTGTTTATTAAAAAAATATTTACAAGACGAAAATACACAAAAGTAGCAGGAAATGGATCTATTACAAAGAAATGATTAGTAACTGAGCCAATTTAAAAAAAAAATTGCCTAATCCTTCAAAATTGTATGAATTTCAGATAAACGACAATCGACATTCCTTGTGAGCTTGTACAGGCTCGGTCCGTCCGCCCGTCGGTATTTATCATCCTCAAAGCCATACAATACTTGACAGTCAAAGGCTTTGCAGACTACAACAACTTACCATCGAGATGACCTTTCCCGCATATGGAAATCACGCCACCAAAAGAGAAAAATATCCTACCCAACAAGGTACTTATATTCAACTAAAGAGCAGAGATATTAGTATATCATCAATCGCATCGCGTTTAACCATCAAAGAAATAAATAAGTCAAGGGCACAAAAGAGTCAGACAAGGCTGAAAACTTAATGTCTTTTTTGGGCAACATAATGGTAATTCAGGGTTGAATATAATTCGGACAATTTATCATCATTCTCGCGCCATGACTTTATTATTCCTTGATTCATAAAGTGAATATTTACCTTTGGAGTAGTGTTTTCCTGAAGAGATCAAGGAAAAAAGTGAACAAGTACGCAAGACAGACTCTCAACAGATATTTATAGTGTAAAAAAATTGCCAAAAATTTTTTTCTTGGGACTGTAAAGCCTTTTTAATTTTAAATATCCGGAAGGTGGACCTACCACGTCCCATTTTCAGAACTCATAATGTCTCTATAATCTGTTATTACTTTACCTTGCTCAACACAGAAAGCATGAGCAACAGCATCATTCGAGTCGATCAGACAGTTGCAATGGATTTTTGATCTAGACAAACAAGAAGTATTTTACCCCCCTGAACTGAGTCTGAATACACTATGCATCACGATTTGCTCAAAACCAAACTTATTCCTTCCAGAATAATGATCTTGGAAAACGTAATACGCCAAACACAACTCCTATGTTGATTTTATTCTAATAATGCAACAGATCTGAAATTCACAATAATGGGTATTGAGCAAAAGCTATTCAAGTGCGACAAGTTTTGACATCTGAGTTTTACGTTGCTCCATATATGGATATTGAAAGTGGCTGATTCATCTTGATTTTTCGATGCGATGAGAACCATTTACGCCCTTTGAAGGAAGCTTTGACCAGCAAAGGTGTTTACATTGTTCAAACATGCAAACAAGTGATCGGTGAAAACAACAAAATTGCTTGAATGAATTATGCATTTTGCAATTTTGGAAGAAACCGTACACAGAATGTACAACCATCTTGCACTGATCCACTTGAGTTTTGCAACAGAGAAACAGGGGCTCCCAATGTGCGCTCAGGTCTTGCCTACATTGACATGCAATATAACGAGAAAGAAATACAAAGAACAAATGAGGGCTGAAAAAAGCACCATATACAACAGGAACAGGCGCCCATACATATATCGAGAATATAAAACGCCTTGGGTCCTATAACACATCAAACGCCATATATATATATATACATACTATTGTAATTACCCCTTGCGTGTTGTGCTGTTGCTTCGCTCTTTTCGATTTCGATCAATATGTTTGTATTTGTTTGTTTGAATCCGCAGATTTGTATGTTTCTTTTTTGCATAAAGCTTCCAGTGTCAAAAATATCCGAAATCAAGATCGATTCCTAATCAACAACATGGAAAGCTTTTCAACGCAGTTTAATACTACTCCTCATTCGCTCTCTTTCTACATCAAATAAAGGGTAATTAAGGAGGTAAATCTTTTTACATGATTATTGTCTAACGGACATGGTCTAAAATGGAAATTTTTCCTTTTATACTCGTGAAGAAAAAACATCAAAGCACATTTGCAACATTCTTTTTTTTTTTTTTTTTTTTTTTTGTTTAATATCGAATAGGGTCCTCGGTTAAAATTGCAAGGTTATCATAAACAGGACCATTGCTTCTCATGCTGCTATGCACAGCATAATACCTCGGTATCCAAGATAAATTTACAATAAGCATGAGCCATGATTGTACGGTGCTTTTCCATCTAGCTATTTGTTGTAATAAATGTGGTGCATCCAAGTGCACATTTGACTCCTAGCAGCCCATCTACAGTAATATTTATATATAGGATATGAAATGGACGATCATTTCGATACTTTATTTGTAAATCGATTTCCCCACCTCCATTTTATATAACTCACTCCCTTGTTCCTTGTTTGTTAATCTACTGTGCCCACATGCAAGTTTGTAGTTCCATGGTAATGACACAAAAATGAAGCATGCGTGCCATTGCGTATGTATTATACCTTGAAATGCAACTCAAGGTAAATTGATTAAATCATTCAACCAGCATTTAAATTACCCTGCATATACTAGGCTTTTGTTTTTTTTTGTTGCGCCTCTCTCGCACTCTCTCTCTCTCTCTCTCTCTCTCTCTCCCATTATGTCTTATAGTTGTATGTTCATCGTGTGTATGCGTGTGTAACCAGCATGTTGATTGTTTCTTGCGGTGAAATTATGAAATGTCGATCAGCATGGCATGTATTTATAGCATAAATAAGACTATGGAAATGAGAAAACGCCCCTACAACCTAATTCAACGGCTATTGGTGCAATAAATTAATCACCCTAGAAAAGCATAAAGCATAAAGCATATATGATACTAACAAACATACATATTTAGCAAATATGAAATAGTTCCTTTTGCCCGGTTTATTGGGTTTTATAGAGAGCTTGTATCTGAATGTGAGTTTACATCACATTGATTCCATAGATAAAAGGAGATCTGTTGCTGTTGCTCTCCTATAAGAAAAAAGGGGATGGGTTTTTAAAGGGAAGCCTATTTTGTTTGCCCAACGGAGGAGACAGCATCAAAGTAATTATCATGGCAAGTTACGCCCACTTTTTATTTTGCTGCTTATTTGTAATACGGGGAGAAAGAGGAGGCCAGTTCCGTTATGATGATGATAATTTGCCTTTACCCCCTCTTTTTTTTTTGATTCTTCAACATATAAATAGGCTCGCATTACGATGATCTTTTTTTTTTTTTTTTTTTTTTTTTTTTTTTTTTTTTTTTTGCTCGTCTATTTCATTCATCTAATCCTAATATCCTATATACCACACACACACAAAAAATTACATACCACTTTTTGCCTAATACCAAATGATTGCCAATAATAACAATAACACAGCTTTACCCAATGGCACATTGATCGATAATTTGCGCATTGTCGACGTGCTTGGAAAGGGCGCTTACGGCCAAGTGTACCTCGGTCGCCATGAAGACAAGAATGAATTATATGCTATTAAATCACTTCATCACACCAGCAAACAACGGGCGCTAGAGAGAATGGAAATTGGACTTCATGCACGACTTACAGGACATCCAAACATCATTCAATTGAAACGGGTCATTCGCGACCAAGAATTGGACTGGACACATGTTGTATTGGAATATGGCCCAGAAGGTGACCTATTCTCTGCCATTACCGAAAGAGATTTGTATGCAGGCAATCACCCTCTCATTCGTCGTGTCTTTTTGCAACTGTTGGATGCTGTCAGCTATTGCCATGACAGCCATGTCTACCATCGGGATCTCAAGCCAGAGAACATCTTGGTGTTTGATGGTGGCAGAACGGTCAAACTGGCAGATTTCGGTCTCGCTACAACAAGTACCATCTCACAAGACTTTGGCTGTGGTAGTACATTTTATTATTCACCAGGTAGCTTGAACATTTACATGCTAATAACACTATACATCATACTGACATACAGTTTCATTTTAAAGAATGTCAAGGCGATTTATTTCAAAACAGTACAGATCATGTCGGTTACGCTACAGGGCCAAATGATGTTTGGGCACTGGGTGTCATCCTGATCAATTTGGCCACGGGTAGAAACCCTTGGACGCAAGCCTCTATGAAAGATGAGACATTCCGTGCTTATTTGGCTGACCCAGACTTTCTGCTCTCCATTTTACCCATCTCCAAAGAACTGAATCGTATTCTGAAGCGTATTTTTTGCATTGACCCCATGCGCCGCATTCGCCTTCCTGAATTGAAGGAACGTATTCGCAACTGTAGATACTTTACTCGCACTGCTGAAGTCGATCGTTGGGAGCAATGCATTCAAAAATCAAGAAGATCTTATCATATCAGAAAGCAAGATGCCACCACTATTCCTGCTGATTTGCTACCGCCTTCTCCGCCTGCTACACCTTGCTCCAACCGTTCTCGATCCAGTTCACCTGCCATTTGGCAGCAACGTATCGATCACAGTATCAACGAAAAACAACCTGACAATGCAATGTCGGATTCTCTTCTTACTTCTATGCTGACTACTCTTGTCGTTTAATCTATATGCTCTTATTTCACATTTCCTTCCCTTTATATGTATTTTCATTCATTCATTCATTCCATGTCGCATCCACTCTACACGGTTGACCCTAGTGAGTACTACCAACATCACATCATTTCATTTTACTCTTCATCCGATTATGTATCACCTATGTATATTTCTTCGTTATATATATATATATATATATGTAAAAAGCAAGCAAGTATATGACAAATTCAAGCTTACAATAATAATAAAGTCCATCTTCTATGTATATATGATGCCTCCTTCCCAAACTTTGAGTACAGTGATTCAATGTACTTTTTCATGTCCGTGTAAGACCTCAGCCTGTTTTTTTTTTTTTTTTTTTTTCAATGCCTTCATCAAATGCGTGCAGCCATACCAGGGCACAATTCAATGCAACAGGATTTGATCTGTGCTAACCTTGGTCTGCTAGACAGCTACGTTGATCTTGATCTGCTTGAATCATCTGACAATGTGCACTTTACTATTGCCAGCATGTATTCTAATCTACTGAGAAATAACAAAAATTCATGTCTTGACTCTCCATTATCATGTGAGAACCTTCCATATGCATGCATCTGACTCTTCCACATTTGTCTTAAATTTGGAACAGTTCACATCCAGGCAGACAGCAAAACCCTGTGGGTTTTGGATGCATTTGAGGCCTGTTTTCTCGCGTTGTAACCCGGTGATTGGATATGAGCCTTTCAATGTATTGTCTATTACTTTAAATCCATCAACAGATTGTAAAGATAGAGGTGTCGGTTCAAAAAGGGGTTTGATTCATTTACTAAAAGCTACTGATTTACCACATTTCAAGAGAAAAAGGAACAAGTATATTTCAATCTCATTAGCATGAAGGGCAGCATCGCACAGTTCGCGTAGTAGTCAATTTTGAATACCTAAAAATGCGCTACTTTGACGCGGACCAATCTATTATTCCTACAAGCAACCAAGTGCACCAAGGTCGTTTTCTCGTGCAAATCTGGTAGCAATGTTGAATGCCCATGGTTGAACCCATTTCTGTCATTGATTGTGTTTATGTACGACATGAAATTGGCAATCATTCTTCATGATAAAGCGAAAGCGATACAAGCTCATATCGATGCCACTGTATGTCTCATTTCATTTCATTAACATTTAGAAGTTGTCGTTTTTATTCATTACAGGTGTTAGATAATGAAGCCGACAGATCTAATGGTATCTGATCCTCTGGATGTATTTGCGGTGGTTCCTGCTGCAGTTCCTGTGGTGCTTCATGTTGTACATCCTGCTGTGGTTGCTGTGGTAAATTCTGTTGTGGTTCCTGTGGCTCTACCTGCTGTATCTCCTGATTTGGTTCTTGTTGAGGCTCCTGTGTCTCTTGTTGAGGTTCCTGTGCCTCTTGTTGTTGCTGCTGCTGTAATTCCTTCTGACGTTTTTGCTCAAGTAATTGTAATCTCTTCTTTTTGCAGGGCCTATTTCTGTTGCGATTTCTTCTTTTCTTTCTCTTCTCTATAAGAAAATAAGCGTCTGGTCCAAACGAGATGATGGCAAACTTTCGCAGCTTACTTGCTTTCTCTTCCTCAAGCTTCCTCGAGCTATTCATAAAAGCAGAGTGTGAATTGATCCATTTTAATATTTCTCGTCGTTTTTCCCTTGTTAAATAGTCTACTCTCTTTTTGCGTGTGCTCATATTCTGTTCAAGTGTGTATAGAAAGCTGGTATATATATACTGAAAAGATGAGCATTTTGTTACTATTGAAGCATGTCCATCGTAATTCGAAATATATCAAGTCACTAGGCTATCAATATTAGAGCATTTTAGAGCTTATAGCGTGCTACAGACGCGACACTCTACAGTATAGATCGATATTGAAACACGTTTTTTTTATTCAAGTTTAGCGTTGCTGCATCAAAGCAGCATTGACATTGCTGTTACTAAAAGGGTTATTGCTGTTCATCGTGCTAGGTGATGCCACCATAATTTGCTGTGGTGGTTGACTAGACAGCGCAAATGGGTTGTTATTACTACTCAAGGTGTGTTGTGGTTGAGGTGGCTGTTGCATAAAGAAAGCGCTGTTGTTGTTGTTGTTGTTGTTGTTGCTAAAGCTATTATGATTAAAATAAGGTGTAGGGGAAGAGGTGCTCATTTGAGGCATTGTGCTTGCTCGGAAGGGGTTAGCTTGCTGCTGCTGCACTTGACTACCCAACGTTGGTAAGATGGATGAAGTGGATTGCTGAGGCTGTATCATGAGCTGTTGCATACTATTATCCATTGGGTTTGTTCTGAAGGGATTGTGGCCAGTGGGTTGAGCAGCGATCAGTGAAGGAGGCGCAAACATGGAGGATGGCTGTGGCTGCTGTTGGATCACTGGATTGTAGAATATATTTGCCTTTTCATTTTCGAGGCTTGCAAAGAAATCAATCAATTCTTTTGGCTGCTGCTGAGGTTGAGCATTCGTACTAAAGCTGATCGTGTTGGATGCTGCCTGTTGCTGTTGTGGTGGCGCTGTTATATAGAGTGTTGGTCCATGTGAGCATGGCATCCTTGGCTGTTCACTACTTACTTGAACTGTTATTCATCTGTCCCTGAGCTTTGCTATGACTACTGCTCTTGCTTGCATCATCGAGGTACTCTTGCAAAGCAGCTGCCAGCGATAAAGGAGCCTATTATGAAAGCTGTTTGTCAGGGGGGGGGGGAGGATCATCATTTCGTTCACCACAGCACACTTACATGCTTGACTGTAGGGATCGAAATATTCAAATCATTTTGTAGTCTTCTCGCTCTATCCAAAAAAGAGATGGTGTCCTCCGTTTGCTTTGCAAATCGCTTGTATATCTCGAGGCTCATTCTAGCATCTGATTTATCCATGGCAAAATAATGCTCCAAAATGTTGACGATCGATTCATTGATGACCTGAAACAAGACCAGTAAATCTTCCACGAGTAATCGATAGGCGTACAAGCTGATATTGTTGTCCACATCCTCCAGAATAAAATTGCTCTTCAAGAGTGTGCCAATTTGCTTTTGTAATACCACTGTCTCCTTTAATAGTCCATCTTTCACGGACAAATGTCTCAATCGTCCCTCTTTGCTTCCCATGGTGTTTTTTACATAATCTACTCGTAGATGACGGTAAGCAATCACTTTCTGCTCCAAATAAGCAGTATATAGGTAGATGTTCTGAATGTGTACCACCCCTACACCATGTATTAGCCACCTGGTGATTCGCATGTCTCGAAATCGAATTTTTACCCGAGGATTTCTCTCTCAACTTGCTTGTGTCCAAGGCGGATGGCTTTGTCTCGACGTAGGATATCACCTTCTCGCCATCTCCCAATCGCATCAAAGTGTGGATAATGATCAACACCTTGAATATAATCTAGCATGGCACAATTAGAACGAGCTGTGAGCCAGGTCATAGGATGGCCTACGTACAATCCACGAGTTTTCTCTCAGCCTTCTATCGAGCAAATCAATGATACTAGCAGCATTTCCAGGACTCTGAAAAGTCAAGCTAATTAAAGCTAATCAATTCCAATTAGCTGCACAGCGACTGTAGTACCCAATGCAATAGCTTACTCTGCAAATGCTTCTGTTTCGGTGGATTGTAGTCAAGTCTGGTTGCCTTTCTTACAGCTGTCTCCATGCTGATGAACAAATAGAACGAATAGAGTAGAAAGAGAAGGAGAAAAGAAATATACAAAACACATCTAATTTATTAATATTTAGGGTTTATTTCAGTCTCAGTGGTGAAAAGATGGATGTTGCATTACCATTTCCAGTTGCAAAAAAGGGTTTTGATCTGGCGATTCGGATGTTTAGATTTGCCTCAAGTCAAAATCGCCTTTCTATGGCTCTTGAACTTGTTGATCTGTATCTGCACAATGCCTAGAGTGAGTGTGATAGCGAGTGAGTGTGGGTCTGCAGGGCCATGTCACAATGTGTACTTTACCATAGAACCAATACATGTGCAACGGATAAATAACGAGTGCCACTATCCACATAAAATGGATCCGATGATGTCTTTTTAGAGCAACCATCATCCATGCGTGAGCCACGAGACGAAGCACAAAAAACGTCGAGCCAAAGAGCAAATCAGATCTCCACTCGTGCACCATGGAGCCGGCAGCAAGAATCAGTGTAGGTAGCTCTAATATGGATGTCACAGTAAACAGCGATGATATCTGTAACCTAAGGAACCAAGATAGCGTGAAGATATAGAACAGATGATGCACCCAGCCTGTCATCCATGAGATCCGCTTGGGATAGTAGATGGACCCAAGGACAAGATCAAGTATCAGGTAGGATATGAAAAAGCAGACAAACCCTGTATGAAACCGGCTGTCAGTCCCAAGCAATTCCATGTCAAGATCAGCCCAAAAGAACTGAATCACAAAGGGAATCGAGACAATGGTACAGACCAAGCTGCTTGCCAGTGTCAAGAACCAGCTGGTCTGCTTTTCTCGTCGTCGAGTCTGATATTGAGACTGTGCTGCAGTGGAATCCTTGTAGAGATGAAAGCGAAAGAGAAAGAAGCCACCACCGAGCATCGAGAAGCTCGCTGCAAAAGACGCCCGTACAATTGGCTGTTCGAGTACTTGTATTAATGTAATCATGTATCTTGAATAAAGGAAAAACTAGTAAAATCATATCGCGAGTCATTAAAACACTATTTTATAGATGGACTCCATGCTCTCCATGGTCTGATCCATACCTTGATCTTGATCAAGGTGATTGGATTTTAGCCTCTCTCTGCCCAACAAACACATGCCACCAATCAATGCATACTATTATTGCACACACACACACTCTCTCTCTCTCTCTCTCTCTTTCTTTCTTTCTTTCTTTCTTTCTCGGGGATAATCACTAACACATGCACACATACACACACACACACACACACACACACACACACACATACAAAGGACCCCGAATAAACTATACTTTGATCATGATGAAAAACAAAAAGAGGTTTTCTTTTATTCAATCCATAAAGCTAGAAAGAAACGCTAGGAAACTTAAGCCTTGTAAGAGATGACACCATCGAAACGTTGCTTGAACCATTCCATGGCTTCTTCCTTCTTGATTTGATGTTTGACACCAACCTTGGCCTTGCAGTGCTTTCTGCGGGAGACACGGTTGCCGGGACGACCCATAACAATGTAGTAATCCATACCGTAAATACCAATGGAAGGATCATACTTGATACCCAAATCGATATGTTCATCAATACCGAAACCAAAGTTACCAGTTTGAGAAAAGTTACGGGCCTTGAGCTCGTATTCCTTGACCTTCAAGCCACGTTCAAGGATCTCCTCGGCCTTGGGACCACGGACAGTAACGTGAACGGAAATCTTTTCGTTACGACGAATAGAGAAGGTACGGACAGTGTAGCGAGCCTTGGAGTAGACGGGAGTTTGACCAGTCAATTGTTCCAAAACCTTGGCAGCACGGGTAAGTCTATCACCAGATTCACCAACACAAATGTTGAGAACCAACTTCTCAATTTGGAGGTTTCTCATGGGGTTGACGGTAGTCTTTTGTTCAGCACTCTATATTCATTACTGTTAGTGTGTCTGTGCTGATGGCAATGAAAATCAGAGAGAGAGAGAGAGAGAGATAGCACAGAGAGAGAAAGAGAAAGAGACGAGTTGTTGCATTATAAGTGTGATGAGTGTGATGAGTGGGTTGTCAGGTGTATGGTTATTGTAATGGCGTATTGAAATAATCAGGAGCAAGATGGTATATACTGTGATTCAGTGTACTGACAGAGCCGACTTTGAACATGCATCATGTGCAGCTTGATCCAAATCCATTCGAGTGTGCGTTGCTATCATTTCTATTCAATATCCATCATGCGTTTTGGCACAAAATCCATCCATCCATCCATCCATCCATCCATCCATCCATATAATCCAAGTATCTCTCTTCTATCGCTGTCTCTCTGCTCTTTATATCATGCATCCGTCAAGATTACTTTACCATCTTTGTTGATTGAAGCCCACGAGGATGGAAAAGGAGGATTTAACCAATTGGTAGTTTTGCTCGAGAGGTTGTTGCCGAAAATCCATGGCGATTCTCCAAATTTTATTGAAATACCGCATTATTGTGAGTCGTTTTCTGTATCAAATGTCCATACATAATTTGGTTTGAGAGTATGCAGAGCAGCTGACTCTATCGCTGTATGCCAATAATAAACTGCGTTTATCAGGTATTTGATGTATAAGCATTTGATAAAGCCGTTGCTTTTAGGCCTGTGCGAATGACAGGTCAAACAGTGCTGAGAGTGGTAGTTGAGGCATCCCTTCAGACATCTTCTACATTGTTGAATTATGATTTATCATTAAATTGTGTGTTAATTACAAGAGAGCCGCATCCATACCTTGGGTTCTGCACATTTGAAAGGTATTTCATTCCATGTATCAGGAAACATATCTGTAATGTGGCTAGTTTTAAGGCAGCAGGTGTTTGTAGAAGTGGGAAATGAACCCCGTTGCATTTTTAATGGGCATTCCACTTGCAACATGTATTCTAACAAGAATAATAAAGGCTCTCAATATAAAAAAAAACACACACTTTTTTGTAGCCTATTATTCCAGATATAGTCGTGTGCTATTCACTAAGCCATCCATCTCCATTAGCATTCGATATATCAAGTTTCCTCATGGAGCAAGCATAAGACTGATCAGTGGTGCCAGCCGCTGCCGCCCCCCCCCCCCACCACTCGCAAGATTTGACTACACAAATTGTGATGTTCATCCCTTGTACCCTAAAGCTTTCTTGCAGTACGTTCCAAGTCAAATCTAATGGTGGCAGTTGTAAGAAACGTTTTCAAAGAATTTATAGAGTAATTCCAAACAATATGAAATGGTGTTTTTAGCCAAAATGTCGAAAAATTCCATATGAAGGCCTCACATAAGTAGTCTCAGGGATTGCGTTGGTAGGGCCATTTTGATTTCATATCATAACATAATAAACGTTCAATCCCTAGACACTTTTACAGCCCTGAGTTGCCCTGGCATCTGTCAGTCCTGGCTCATATGTGATTAGCCAGCCCCACAAGCCAAAAATAATTCAAATCCAGAACTATAGTTGTCACGTTACCTCTCCAAGATCATATAAATATCGCATAACCATATTATCAATAAACATCAGTCTCTTTCTAGTAAACATAACTGTGGTTACTTGAACATTACATAGTCTGTTCCAGATTGGCCAAATCTTGATGATTCTGGACTCGATTGAACTATTTTTTGCAAATTCGACTAAGTAAAGTATGATGATCACCCCATGCTTCCTTAAGCGTTCCTGGAGTACTTTTCAAGGCGCATCCAATGGTACCAAGTAATACAGATGTTTTGAATACACTTATTGAATGATTTGTAAAAATATGAAAAGAGGTTTCTGGCCAAAATGTCGAGATTTTACATATCAAAGTCCCACAAAAAGATGATTTCAAGGGTTGCTTTGGATCGATAGGAACATTTTGATTCAAGATATACCATAGTAAAAGTCTTCGTTATCAAGGTAAAAAATGCGATCGTTTGATTTTTGATGAAAACCATGAGGGATACCTCATGCTTTTTGGTCGATTTTTGACCATGTTTTTTTAGGTCCCCAAAAAGTTGAGCAAAGGTGTCAGAAAGTAACTGCCAAATGAGAGCAACCGTTTGGGGCTATTCTGACAATCTAAAACGGTCTTGAACGCGAGAAAACGCAGCTCAAATGTACTCTGATTTTGCTGTATCAGGGACACTAAGGATTAAAAGGAGGAAATACCAGTATGCTGCTTGCCCGTATCTGTAGTAACTACGTGTATATGGATGTAGAGCATCACATAAGGATCAAATCCGCGGATAATATAAAGGGTTTTCATGTGCAAGTAGAGGGTCAACGTAAAAGTAGTAGTATGTGATAAGATACGCAAAAGCAATCAGTAGCACGAGCTGCCGCTGTGCAGGTTGGTTCTCACCGAAGCGAAGCAAAGGTGGAGAACCATCCGAAGCATAAACACACCTAGGATTAGTGACTATATATCAATCAACAATCAGGGTTCTTCCCACATTTCAGGTATATTAATTTTGGGATATTAGCCAAAGGCTCGTATACCATAGTGAAGGTCTTCACTTTTAAGGTGAAGACTACAATTGTTTGATTTTGAAGAAAATCCATGAGAGAATTCTGGTCACTGAATTTCGACCCAAAGAAAATTGAGATAATGCTACAGCAAGCAAGTACTAGTTGAGAGCAAATCGTTTGGTGCCACTCGGAGGGCCGACAACGGTTTATAAGCCGAAATATTGAGAGGTTAATGTCATCAAATGTTGCTGTATTTTTTTTTTTTGCCTATGATTGTCTCTAGAGTGATGGAATGGATGTACAGTGTGCAATTCAGATGTGCTACATCCGCTAATCCAAATGCCATGATTGCCATAAAGTTGTAGTAGGTATGCCTCGCGGTTTGGTTTCATGGAAAAATAGCTGGATGTTGCAGTTCTAGCAGCAGATCGCAGTATCAGTGAGTATGTGTGCCTGCTACATGCTTTGTCCCTAGAAACCACGCATTGTACGCCTTTCATGCTCTTTGGTGTCATTATTAGTACAAACGACGTAACGTTCATACATAGGAGACTGGTTCAAAGCATCAAAATACAGGTATTTGCTTTATTAACGTAAAATACAGCAGGGTATATTCTATCTATAGTTTGTCTCTAATTAGTATCTGCTATGCACTCACAAGCAACTTGATCAACCATATACAGAGCACTTGTGAACCCCTTTTCATAATTAGGATGTCTTTTTCTTGAATGCCCATGAGCCAGCTGTCTCTTGAACCCAATTTGTGCTTGATATTCTACAAGATACACCAACGCCAGTTCAAATCCTGCTTTAAACCCTTGCTTAAAGTCTTGGTCCTCCCTCTCCCCTGCTGCTGTTGATGCAGCTGACAAACAACGGTTGTATTTTGATTTGGCCAGCTCTGAAGCCTCTTGTGCTAACAGAGCACCCAACGTGCCATATCGCGCGGGCAAGATGCGGGTCTTGTGGCAATAGACAAAACTTGAACAGTCGCCATCACTGGTTGTGCGATAGTTCCAAAAGTAATGGCCTATCTCAATGTCATTGTAGATGTCGAGTTGAAATTGAGTGAATTCACGAATCGTTTTGATATCTTGCACATGCTCTAATGATGAGGACCATTCGCCAATGACCAAGTTGCCATGCAATTGATGTGAGATCTGTTTGAGATGTGCATGAGATAAGTGTCGTTTGGCTTCAGCAGACGATAGATGCGATGGTGCTGGATTGAATGCAGCTAAAGAGGATCTTCTGTTGTTCATCCGTGCTGGAGGTCTTTTCGACTTGTTGAATGGATAATGAATATCCAGCACTACAAATTTAAGTGAATGATGCTGTACAAATTCAGCATATTGCTTTGAATTGAATGCATCACTCAGATAAATGGGCAGTAAGATACCAGGTGTCGCTTGTCGGATAGTTTTGTAGGCTGACAGATAAAAGCTTTGTAAAGATACTGTTTCATCCAATGGCTCATTCAAGATGTCCAGGCCAATGACATTATTGATAGGCGCTAATTGAACGGCTAGCTTCCGTAATATGATCAAAGTGAGCTCTTGATTTGAATTTTTGAAAAACTGAGTCTTGTGTGTGGATGTTCCAGAATGTGATTGATTGTTTTGACCGCCTATGTATTCGCCATCATCAGTTTCAGATTAATAAAAAAAAAAAAAAAAAAAAAAAGATTTTTTGGGATTACCTGGTGCGCCATGTAGATCTACCAGGACACCAATGTTGTGTTTGGCAGCTTTTGAAATCAAGCGTAGAAGCCATTTCCAGGCAGATTGATACACATATTCGTACTTTTTGAATGGTGTATTAGCAAATGCACCAACTATCCAATATCCAATGGGTACTCGGACACTGTTGATGCCAATGGATGCCAGGTACTCGAAATCTTTTTCACTGACAACAGAGCTCCAATGATCCTCCAGTGCTTCTCTAGCTTGCTCTTCCGTCATACATGCCTCTAGAAAGTCTAATTCTGATTCCCAATCATCTCTGACAACGCAGCTTAACAGACTAGGTAGTGCTAGTTGTTTGTCAAGTATAAAAATGGAGCCGAGGTTGACTCCAATTTGACGTCGATGGCGATACATGTCTGCTTCCTGTCGATTGTAAGGTGCAAATGAAGGTAGATCCTCCTGGTTCAAGGAACACAAGCTTGACCTTGTACTACTGTCACTGCTGCTATTACTGCCATATGAGGATAATGAAGTAGCTGATCCGACTCGTTTAAAGATGGATTTGAGATTGACCATGTTTTTTTTAAAAAAAAAAAAAAAAAAAAAAAAAAAAAGTATGCAAGAGAGAAAAGAAGTGCATCAACAGATTCCTTGTTTAACCCAATCTAAGATGAATGATATTTTACACGAAACTAAAGTGTTCAGTTTGAGATATGAAAAAGTTTTTATAATCTCCGTTTCTTGTTATCTATCTCTTTACTTGGATGACTTGCATGGTATTGACCTTGGCACTAGGGTCTGTGCCTTTTGTTGCCATGGCAACGGCAGTTTGACAGTTGGAGAGATACATCTGATATTATGGTAGGTGTAGCACAAATAGAAGAATAGAATCCCTCAACAACAATCTCGACTCGATTCGGCTATTCAAATGATAAGCATGCTCAACATGGTTTCGTCTGAAACTGATTAAAATCTGATGTGCTTTCGTGCTTCTTACTGTATTCTCTCCCCATGTCAGGAAATACCAAAAACGATCCTTGATCTACTCTTTCATATTTTGACAGGAGATGATGATGATTCGCTACTAGTTTGATTTGTCATGTGGTTCAAATGTTCAAATGATGATGTTTTCCCACAATCACCACTGACATACACACGCACTCACGCACTCACGCACTCACGTAGATGTTTCATCACTTGGTCTATTACAAGTGCTAGTTTATCCTTGAAATACTCTCATCTACTATACATTTTTCGTGCTATAGCACATACCAAGTTTTTTTTCATATGAAAATCATATGACGCATTGTGCAACTTGAAACTTTGCCATATAGAAATCAAGGCGTTCTTTTTTTTTCTTCATTTAATATCTCTCCCTTTTTTTTCCCTCTTTTTTTTTATAGTCTTTCTCTTTCAAATACAAACAACCCCAAATCCCCATATCATTGTATTCTATGGTTACCTTTATTCCGACTGCTTTTATTGTACGCCATGGTGAACGATTAGGTAACATTTAAGGTTTTCAATAGCTGTGCAATGGATCTGACATTTCTTTCAATCCATAGATCATATTGATAAATCATGGCAACCACAAGATCTTTCACTTGGTATCTGGGATCCCCCAATTACTCAGCGAGGAATGTTGCAAGCAGAAAAGACAGGCAGCACATTGATGAATCTCATGCAGAACCAATACAAGATGGATGTGAACACTGTGGACATTGTGCTATACACTTCACCGTTCCAGCGCTGTATTGATACATCTATTGGCATCATTAGAGGCCTCGATCAGAGAAAGAATCCACCCACACTGAGAATTGATCTAGGATTAGGTGAATGGATGTGTGAGAGGTTCTTTGATTCAGTGTCGTGCTCTGCCTCACAATTGATTGCTCGTCAACATGAGAAACTGGCCAGACAACAAGCTTACACCTATTCCATGATGGCCAAGAACCAGCAATCCGACGCCATGTTACCTCCCCTGAAAATTGATTATGCTTATACTTCAGATTTTGTTGAATTCGACTATCCAGAAAGATATACTGATATGATTCATCGATTTGAGGATACGCGGCTCCACTGCATGAAAGCCGCTTCCAAGCCAAATACGGTGGTTATATTTGTCACTCATGCTGTGGGTGCCAATGCGTTATTGGATAGCTTCAGAAACAAGGTGACAATTCCGTTGGAATCACACTATTGCAGTATATCCTGTGTGCGACACTACAGTAAACATGCTAACAATAGCACCAACTCGTTCGATTTGAACAGCAGCGATCAAAGCGATGAAGATGAGCAGGCCATCATCAATTCATCGTCGAAACAGAAATGGATTATTGAATTCGCCATGTCAGACTCTCATCTTGAATCCTAAAGACTATACCTTTTTATTATTTATTCCATAGTGTGTCAACTTTTTTTTTTTTTTTCTTTTGCATAATAATCACCATATCATACCTTCCCCCCCCTCATCCATGACTCAATAAATTTTCTACCCTACTACGGTTGATTCAGATTCTCCCTGAAAGCTTGTCGAGTATACAAAATGCCTAATAAAGGAGGACCCAGGAACATGCCAACCCAAAAGATCACATTACCCAGTGTCGGATTGTTCTTGATGAACGGCTGTCTTCCAAGCGTAATCAACGGTACCTGAGACATTTGCAAAAAGAACAGATACATGCGCAACTTGCGAGTCAGCATCACCATGACCAGTTCATGCAAACAAGATGAGAAAAGAAAGGTGACAAAACTGGCGCTCTTTTTCGAGATCTTGTAGTTGTCCATGGAGATGGCATAGACATGTCGCAGCAGCCAATGGTGCACGGGTTTGTTCCATTTTCTGGCGTATTCATCAAACGTAACACTATTCCACCAGTCGTCGTAAAAGTTGCGATCTGCAAACCTGGTAATTTCAGCAAACCAGTTTAGAATGCATTCAAATATAATGTAGAACACTAGCATGTAGTTCATGATGAACGGGAAAAGCACCTCGAGCACGACTCTGGCATCAGACGACATGTTGCGACTGTACAGTACAGGGTAAATGTATCTTTCCGTCGTGATGTAGATCAATAGCATGGTGCCTAAAGTAGCGGTTGTCTTTTCAAACACATAACGAGGGCGGATCTTGTCTGTGCGAGGATACTCCATCCAGTAAACCAAGGTGGGTACCGCCAGATAGTCTACATAGTTGGCCAATGTCAGATTATGTGGGTATCTGGTTGCGCCCTGTGTCAGCTCTTGGTCCAGAAACGTAAGTTCTGTTTCCATTGCGGCCAGCTCGGATTGTTGGTCGATTGAATAACCCCTGTCAGATGCTGTCTCTCTCTCCTTGATCCACTTTGGTATCTTTTGCTTTAGATACAAGAGTCGTCTGTATTTTGTCGCTAAATCACTGTTGAGCTCTGTATAGGAATGCATCTTCATCATCATGACAAAGGTATGAAGTGTGAAAAAGGTGGATTGTGTCATTGGCCAGTCTCTGCCACATATTATGATAAGTTAGCCTGCACGTTGGCTATATATACGTGAGACCACATCTTACCTCCAAAATACCCAATACAGATTACTAAACAAAAAAACGGTTTGAAACGTATGCTGGAGCACAACGCCGGTAGGTCTGTGTCGTATATAGCCATTCTTCAAGAGATGAGCGTAGGGCAGCACCACAAAGGTCTGTGCAATCATGACCATGTCCGCACACAGCAACGCTAATGTGTCCCTTGACATGAGCCGGAAGAACCCCAAGCTCAACACTACACCATCTTGCTCGTAGCAGCGCACCAGTGTCAGAATCACATAGAACCCCATGGCTATCCAGAACAAGGTATAGAATCCTCGAAATGTATCGCTGCTAGACTCTGGATTTGTGGTATCAAACGACGATAATCTTGCCTTGAAATAGAGCCTGTGCAATTTACGGAACGTCTCCTTGGTTTTGGTGTCTTGGTTTTTGTCAATTGCTGTTTCTGTAGTCATTATCTTGTAGAAGATACGGAAGAAAAAGGTTAAAATAGAAACGCCTTTTTATATCTGGATTTCATCAAATGTGCGAAACCCCTCACAAGCTTTACTCAAATGTCCTTATTGATACTTGGCTTTAGTCATCTTGATGGATACATAAAGCAACTAGCGGGACATTGGATGGTATGATTGTATCTGAAAAAAATGTCAAAACGCATTTAGCATGAACAACTTGCATGGCTGAATCCGCTTTGTTCGGTTAAATGAGGGCCGAATGAGCGCATCTCGCTTTGCTCCAAACAAGGCAATCGGAGGTAAGCAAATGAGGGGAGAGAGAGAGAGAGAGAGAGAGACAAAGAAAGAAAGAGGCTTTGATCGTCACAGGTAAGCATTTGTAAATACATGTCCATTTCGCAGCAAGCAAAAAAGTTTTTCTCTTGCTTCTCTATCCCACCCAACACACTTCCAAACCATGCTTTTTCATGAACTCAACAATGAGCTGCTCATTGCCATTGCAGGCCATCTACCACAAGACGACCTAAAAACTTTTTCACTTGTATGCCACAAGTTTGCTCTTGTTGCTCACAGTGATGTCGTTTGGAAGGAGAGATTATACAACCACTATGGCATCACCTACAAATTGCCCACCGAGAATTGGAAGGATATGTATGCTCGCAAATCCCTGGATCCTCAAAACTCGAAAATGTGCCCCCACATTGGCCATGTTACTGGTAAAATTTTGGAACCTTATGCCACCAAGTATCAACAAGTCTTGAATTGGTTGGAAAAGAACCTGAACTGTACAGTATGTGGAGCCAATTGCAAGGACACAGGCCTTTGTCTGTATGTGTGGAAGGGAAACACGAGAAACCGCTGCAAGGACTGTGCTTATAGCTATCACAAGGCAGTAGAAGGACATGGTATTCTGATCCGCATGAATGTGCTGCAAATGTATTGCTTTGATTGCAAGCGATTATTGGGAGAAACCCGCGGTGATTCCAGCGAAGCGCATTATGTCAACATGCTGCTCAAGACATTGACACACGACAGCAAAAAGGGTCAGCAAGCCATGGCAAGAAGAAGTCAGTGTATGAAGGAGAGACAGCTGTATGCAGAACACGCTGATAGAGCGTCCGTCGTCTCGGATGGCAAACAGTACTATTTTATCGAGAGAATCTGGCTGATTTCATGGTTTTTGCGTCTGTGTGATGGTAAGATTGGAACGGGTCCTATTGCGAACCATGAATTAGAGGATCCTGAACATGAAGGCAGACTGAACCCTGCTTCAAGACCTCGCGGCAATTTCAAAGGTGGGTTTTCTATTGTCACTCCATTTTTGTGGAATTACTTGGTAGACACGTATGGATTATCTGGCAACGTATACACTTCAGACGATACCACTGGCCCCGAGTACTGTGGTCTGAACGAATCCATCGTCAACTGGAGATTGAACTAGTAACAGCATAGAGCGAGTAGCAATTTAGACTTATTTTTGTTTGAAAATGTACATAATGAAGAGAATACCGCACAAAAATATATTGAATACATCTATTTTAAAGCATTATAGCATTGCAGTCTTTTGAAAGCGATATACTTGTTTTTCTTTATTATAGTGTGTGTGTGTGTATGAATGCAATTTAGGTGTTTGTACTGAAGAGAAGCTTGAAGATTGATGTGTAATTACATGCATGTGTGTATATGAATTTACTGCCTCTTACTACTACTAAAGTTGAAGGTACGAGATTTCATGGGCTTGTTGGGTGTGCTGTAAGTTTTGCGAATGACACCAGGACTGGTACGCGTACGCATACTATAACGATGTGAGCTGTTGCCGGTGCTTGGTGCATTCTTGTCCACCTCTTTCAGTACAGTGACGCCTTGCTTGCTGCTGCCCACATGTTGCATGCTGCTCGACTTTTGCTTCTTACCCAAGTTTCGCTTGCTGTTCTTTTTAACGGGGGTACTTGTGCCCGCAATGTACTTAGCAAAGCTGTCCTTGGATTCATTCATGCCACGCTTGGAAGAAGAGGTGGAGCTCACAGACATGAAATCAGCTTTGGAGATATTGACGGAAGAGCTTGGTCGAGCCCTTCTTTGTAAAGTCGTTTTGGCATGGCTTGTTGGAGTAGCAGCGGATGGCTTGTAGTGGTCGTTTGTATCGTGAATACTGAGAGGATCAGGTCCAGCTGGAGTCAGTTTTTCAGCAGCAATGGCCCCCCTTGTTTGTAAAAAGCCATTCACGCCTTGATGGCTCACATCGTCATAAGCATAATTGGTAGTGAAGTCTACAGAGGCTTGAGGCTGTGTCTTTGAAGTGAGATGGTGCTTTTCAAAAGGGATTTCTGTAGTAGAGAAGGGGTCCTTTGCTTCATATTTGCTTTCAATAGGATATTCAGTCGAGAATGTTTTATGGTTCAACGCGTTTGTTGTTGGGTGTGCCATGTCGTTCTGCCATGAGCATTTAATATACTTGCTACTTTGGACAGTATATACCAACTTACCTTTGGATGTATCTGAGAGGCGTCATCATCTGGATAGTAAAACCAAGACGAATAGTCTTTGAAGGTATTTTCATTCATATCGAATAGAGCATCCAGTTCAGCCTTACGTTGCGTGAGAAACCTGTCTTCAAATGCTTCGTCATTTGGCTGATCCTGGCCCAAGTGGATGAGATCGGGATAACCCGAGTAGTCTGTAGAGTGATATACAGATAGCGCTGGCTGCATGACAGAGCTCTGGTCATCTTGGTGCATATTGAATTGAATTGGAATCTCCTCTTGTTCCTGATACAATTGCTCTTGTTGATCATCGTAACCTCTAGGCTGCTCCACTGCCACTGAAAATGCTTGATCTGCTACTTTTTCTCCCGAAGAGTAAGCCTCCTCAAACTGACTATAGTCAAGCAAGGAACTGATAAAGGGTTCATCCGTATCGTTGTTCAAGTGCTTGAATGTGTCAATGCCATTTAGTACACTGTCCACAAAAGAGGCGCTGTACTTTGCATCAGCAGGCGGTGCAGCAATAGGCAGTTGGTCCAGGTACTGCATCAGATTATGGTCAAACACAGAGTCTTCTTCTTCTTCTTCCTGACCAAAGTCGATATGAACGTCTTCCAAGAGATCACCGCTGATGGAGGTGACATGGTCAGATGGAAGAGGACCGTTGTCGTTGGTATTTAAGTGAGACATACTGTTATAGCTTGGAGTGCAAACAGATGTGAACTGACTGTATGGCAGATACAGATATACCAAAGCGAGAAAGAAAAGGACTTAAAAAAATTCTTGGAATCTGCTTGATTTGATACAACACGAAACTTGCTTGCCTCTGTCAAGATTCATAGCAGTAATCCATGTGGGAGATGGTCACAAACGCATTGTGCAGGTCAAAAGTAATGTACTTTGTCTGGCAAACCTCGTCCAATCAGTTCTATCATGTATTCTGTCTACTGGTAAAACATCTGTATAGCAGCATCGAATGATACTTCAGGGCTATATGGCCTTGTCTGTCTAGTTCTTTGCGAGCAATGTACTGTATCATTTCATGATGTGGAACCAACATTGCATGATTTTTTGTTGCGCTGTTCCTTTGTTTCATGCGCCAACATCTTGCTGGGAGATGACTACTAGAAACGCCTCACAATGAATATAAAACGTGTTGCACTAGTTGGAAGAAATATCTCAATGAATGGTAGTTCTACCTATTGGTATAGAAAGGATGATTTAGCTTATTAGCAAGGTAGTATTTGATCAAATTCATGCAAAGTCGGGGTTAACACCTGTATGACAAAAGAGTGAAGCATGTTGTACTTGATTTTGGCTTCATGGCCACCGTCGACTAAGACGAGATCATTCATAGCTGATAGCACCTCTAATGTTGTAAACCCCATATGTAACGGATATTGCTATAATAGAGTGTTTGCATGTTTGAGCAGACGAAAAGTCTGATGATGAATTATGGTCCCATTGTTAGGATGAGTTGCTCAACCAATGTATCAATCGTCGGTCAACTTGCCCACAAATTCAGTGTCCTTGATACATGGATGGTTATGTTTTCTACTTTAGCTAAAATCAACCGTGTAGTCTCACCAGAGAGCTTGGGTCATTGTACACTTTTGCAAGAGAGTGTCAAGCATACCTAAAACATCTTGCTCAGGGGTAATACATTTTTTGCGTTATTTACAGTCATTGTTTGATAGTAGCAAACGTGAATAGCTGACCACTGCAAAATGTCAGTGCTAACAGTGATCTTCAAAGAGGATCAACAATGGGATTCACGTGAGAGTCGTATGAATTACATCCAAAGCAAAGCATGTGTGATGTAGAAGCTAGTGGCTTATTCTTTGTGATGGTTAAAAACCAGTTCTTGTAGTGCTGGCAACTGTATACACCTTTTTCTTTCGCATACAGCTCACTTTTGTAACAATTACAATGCGGTTACGATCAAGCAAGACGCGTACAGCAGATGAGACAAAGCGCAAAGCATTGCCAGTTGACACCAGCCTCGATCAAGGCAAGAGCAATAGTGCGACTACAAGCGGTTCTGAGGCTGTCAATCAAGAAAAACAAGTACACGCACTGATTATGGTTAAAGGCAAAAATCGAGAGAACTGTGTAGTTAAAAGCGAAGATGAAACACCGCATGATAATGCAGCAAAGGGGGAGCGGTCTGAAAACACCCTACCTGAACATATTGCGAAAGGAGAAGATCAAGCATTGCATCAAGATCCAGCTGACAGGGAAGACGCCGTAGCCGAGTATATGGCGAAAGGTGAAGAGGAAGATCTAAACGCTCAGCAAGCCTTACTCGATCATGCTGCTATTCAGCAGGAGGAGAACCAGGAACTAGACCATCAGCGAGCTCATACCGACACATTCGTTTATGAGGCAACTCAAGGCGACAGAATGGACGTTGACCTAGAGCAAGACACGGTTTTCATTAAAGAAGAAGAAGCAGAAGCCAATCAATTCAAAGATGTCATGGATATGGATGCATTTGGTGAAACTGAAGAAATGAATACCAGCACCAACGATGCGATGGATATGGAAAAGAAAGCTGTTAACGGCAATGCTGAGAATGACACTGCCTTGCGTGCACCTATGGATAATAATGTAAAAACCCTTATTCGTCAAATCGCACATGAATGCAGATTATGGAATAGAGCACCAGAGCCAGCTTCTTGGGATCAAAGTATGGTTGAGGACCAAGAAGAAGATATGGAAATAGCCATCAAAGAAGAGACCAAGAAACCGGATGTAACACTAGAGCTTGTTTCTGGTAAGTGAAATGAGAGCCAGCACAGCCAAACACAAGTTAATGACCACTATTGTGTACTTGCAGAGTACATCTATCAATGCCGCAAATGCCCTCGACAAACACGCTCTTTTATGGCACTGTTGGACCACTTTAGCGCTGATCACAAACTCAATTACAAGAGTCGAGCGATACGAAAAATGCATTTGGAACCCAACATCAATGATCCCAATTTCTACTGCCGTGCTTGTGAGAGAACCTTTCAAGTGGATCGAAAATACCGCGACCATCTCAAGAACGTGCACTACATTGTTCTACGCCCAATACTTGATAAGAACAGTGACATCATTCCAGACATTGACGATCCCAACAACTACTGCTGCTCGTGCAAGAGAAAGTACACTGACAAATTCCTATACCGTTCGCATTTAAGGAAGTTTCACAAGATGGAAATTGCGGCCATCAAGGTCAAAACAGTCAAGAATCCAGAGATTCAGCCTGAATGGGAAGACCCACACTTTTACTGCAGATCATGCAATTACAAGTACCCATCCAGATACAAATATCATGAGCACTGCAAGACCATTCACCGCATGAATTTGACGACACTCACTCATCCAGACGTGGCTCCTGATCCGCATCATCCCGACAACTACTGCATTATTTGTAACAGATCCTACAAGCTAAGGTACTATTACCGCGAACATTTGGCTCTCTTTCATGGCAACACTGACTTTTTCCGCTCCAAAAAGCGCAATAAGCAGAGTAGTGCCAGTAGGGATGAGATACAACCAGACATCAACGATCCCAACTTTTACTGCCGTGTGTGTGATCGAAAATATGCTAGAAAATGGAGCTACCAGTGCCATTTGGTATCTGCGCATCACATTGGAAAGCCTTTCAAAAAGACAAGTCTGGAGCCCGAAGAGGATGATCCCAATTATTTCTGCCGTGCCTGTGGACGAGGGTATAACAGCAGAGATACATATCGCAACCATCTCCGCAAAGTACACCACATGCAGCTTAAATCGCTCAAAGACATTGCCAAGGAGAGCGGCGAGCTACCAGATCCGTTTGATCCCAACTTTTACTGTCGTGTCTGTAAGGTGACCAAACCATCCGTCAAGAGCTACCGAAATCACTGCACCTATGCCCATTATATGGTGCTGGGTCCTGCTCCTTTTATCAACCCTGATGCTGAAATTGATGTCAACAGTTTGGTATTCTACTGTGCCAAATGTGATAAGCATTTAGCCAACAAGCAAAAGTTTACCAAACATCTCAACGAGGTCCACCAGATGGGCATTGAGGATCGCTTTGTGTACCCCGATGCTGAAATAGACATAGATAGCCCTACTTTGACCTGCGCCAAATGTGGTATTACCTTCTCTGACAGGTACTGCTATAGAAGACACCTAAAGCACAAGCATAAGCTTAACCTTCCGTCAAGGCTGGCATCGTGAATCCTATAGCAAGGATCAATCCCAATAGCCGTATCTTTTACTGCTCTCACTGTGACAAACGCAGCAACAGAAAGAGTAACTTTATGATTCATTTAAGAAAAATTCATCGTATTGGATATGGATCTATTCGTCATTTTTTTTTTATACTTTTAGTGCAATCATATCAATAAAGGACTAGTACAAACACTCAACGAGAGAGCTTAGAGTCATTCAGCCAAAAGCCTTCCTTAATGCACATGTTGCAGCTCTAGTTACCGCTACTAGAGGTAATATTGTTGAGAGGGCGCAGCAACGGGATGTAAATTACCTGTGCTTTCAGTAAAGTTACGCTTATTCAACAACAATAAAGAATTCTGACACGTCAAGTAGCTATTGCGATCAATACTACTTCTCTAATGGACAGAATAGAGACCAAACAAAAAAAAATAAACTTTTGGGGATTAAGAGGCATTCATTTATTGATAATATACCGTGATCCACAAAACTGTCCCTGTTGTGCCAGAAGAAGGGCTACAACTGTCTATAAAGATTAAGGTATTCTTGATGGGTAGATATGTCTGTGTTGTGCAACAACATGGACAAGCTATGAGAATTGAAGTGCATCTCAGCTATCTAAATACTGAGGTTCACCAGATGTGATAAGCGTTGTACAACAAGATAAATTGCTACTTTGGCATCCAGAATGTAGTATTATAAATAGGAAAACTCTGGTCTTCTTCATCAATAACTCTTTAGTTTTTGTGTCTGATCTTATTCAAATAATAAGTCTTTTCTTGTTTTTATAATATCGAACATTTTTTATAAGCTACAAATAATGATCCTTCTATTCTTTGTAGCTTAATAGTCCCAATGTTTAGCAATTTTAACTTTTAGACCTTACCACCGGACGGGAAGTTATCCAATAATAATAAATTTAGTATTATTCAAAAGCTAAAACTGGTTTCTTTGTGTCGTTTACACTATTTTCACAAATTATTGTCGCACATTTGGAAATAAATTTGTCGCACTTTTCGAAAATAAAATGGCACACGTCTGGAAAGAAATTTGACGTACTAACTGAGAAAAGGTTGGCGCATAAACGAATCAAAAATTGGCGCAAAAGTTGAATGCGACATATGCGACAAATAATCATCTTTATTTCTAAATAGGCTTCTCTTGCAAGCAATCATCATCAAATCTATCACAAGAGTATTTACAGAATCCTTTACGATCGCTAATAAGCACTTGATTGCATGCATCTCCGATTCTAGATGTAAGTGTCTCTTCCTTCAACAACTTCTCTCTTTTAAGCTTGCTCTTACAAACAGACCAGAATTGCTCAATGGGGTTGAGCTCTGGAGAGTATGGAGGAAGGTAGACGCACCTATAACCACGACTTTCTATGAAAAGCTTAATGTCGTCATTCATGTGGATTGGAGCATTGTCCATGATGATCAAGTAGTTGTCCTTAAAAATATCAGGATGCTTGTCCATTTCGTCCATGGTGTCGCTCAAAAAGTTAAAGTAATGGCCTGTAACAGTGCCTTTACTCTGGGTTTAAGCTGGTCCACTTGATCCAGTTGTTTTTCTTTTCTTAGAAGAGGGCATCACTCGAGGCCGTCTTACTTTAATATTGACAACACCAAAAGCAGAAATAGCACCCAAGATTGTTGTTGTTTTTGCCCTAGTATTTGGCACTTTGACAACGGCGCGAGTTCCCACCTTTGACCAAGCAGCAGATCGCTTCATATTGATATGAAATGCTGCCCCGTCGATGAACACGCAATTGCTCATGTAGTCCACATCGGTGTTCATCCATTTCTCTACCCACTCCTATCGTGCTTTGATCTATTCTGGGCTGTTGCGATCCACCGAATGAAAGTGAGCTCTCTTCAGACTAATCTTGCATTTGTTGGTAACGAAATTGTAGAGAGTTGTTTTCGATATCTTGAGGTCACTGAACAAGACTGTCAAGCTTTCCATCATTTGATCCAAAACTAACGCAGGCTCTTCGTCGATTAAATTGATCAAATGAGTTTTATGACGCTCATCCATCAGTGCTGGTCTAGCAACTGGTCTTCCGCTACCCTCTTTTCTTGCGATGTAGGTTTGCGGATCTTGCTGATCGTTTGCTACCCATCTCTGGGCGGTGCGTGGATTGATTTGTAGTTTCAGGTCAGCTTGTCTTGCACTCATGCCTCTTTTATAGACCAAGGCAAACAGCTGCTCCTTTTCTGATTCCTTGTAAGTTTTGTATGTACTGCCTGTCCTCTTGCCTTCCATCTTAACATCTTCTCTCTCTTGCTGGTTTGCATTGTTTTTCTCAGGGTTTTCAGGTGCTTTAAGCTCATGATACATTCCAAAATTCGTCACTGTTTCAATAGGATACATCTCTTCATCTACTTCCATTTCTACGACTGCAACCGCCATGCCTTTGTCGTCGTAACGGTTTTCTTGACCATCTTTATGTACAAAATAATCCATATTCAAAATAAATGTAAAACTAAAGAAGCCCTGAAATAAGTCAATATTAAATCTTTTAATGCGCCAAATTTTGATTTTTTAATGCGCCAAGCTTTTCCCAGTTAGTACGTCAAATTTTTTTCCAGATGTGTGCCATTTTATTTTCGAAAAGTGCGACAAATTTATTTCCAAATGTGCGACAATAATTTGTGAAAATAGTGTAATTTGTACAAGCATATAGCTATAGGAGCACAAGCTGTGATTGGCCAAAGTCATTAGGTACATTGGGACAGTAATATGAGATATTTGAAAACATCAAGTTTTATTATTTTAGAAAACCTTAATGCTTTGTCCATTTCCCTTTATCTTTGATAACAACCTCAATACGTCGAGGCATGCTTTCTATAACCTTTTGGCACTCCTCCTGCTTCATTTGGCCATACCAGATCTCCCTTACCCGCTCATATAATTCATTCATACCCTAGGTTGCGGTTTGATACTCATTGAGACGCCTTTTCAGTTGTCAACAGTCCAGTCTTTGTGCTGTTTACACCACGCACGTCTCTTCTTGATATTAGCGTCACTAAGCAAAGGCTTCTTTTCCTTCTCGATAGCCCCCAAGCCCGCAGTGCGAAATGTTCTACGAACGGCTTTCGTATGAGGGTGTAGGATAAAAAGGGTGGATAAAAAGTAAGGGTGGATCCGGATAATAAATAGACCGTGGGGGTACGGGGCGTAGGTAGGGGTAGGGTGGATATAGTGTAGGGGGTACAAAATACGTGAAATGAGTGTCAAATTTTAGCTTTTATTCATGCAGATCTATTTTCTGATCTGGCAAATACGATAACATGCATACACCGTGTTAGAGATATCTTTCAAAAGACGCTCTGCCACGTCTATATCTGAGGTGAGCACCTTCATTTACTGCTGTTTCCAATTGTCAATATCTACGAGGTATACAATTCCACCAATTGTCTTATAGCATCTTGTATAAAAATGCCTACCATCATAGCAAGTCGAGTAGACTCTACCGTGCAATTTGTATTTTAAGGTCTGTGATATGTGGATATACGTAGACAGGTAAACATTGTTTCCTGCTGTCCGTCCAGGGACAAAGTTTGCACCCTCTTGTATGAACAGGAACTCGGGAAACTGATCATCTTGAGGTAGTACTTTGAGTGATGTCGAAACTCCATCACACCCTGGAAAATTACACTTTCCTTTCTGATGTTCTTCGAGCACCACCTTCTCTCTGAACAAGTCATTGAATTTCACGTCCAGTGCCGCTTCATTGATAAATCCACGACAGTCTCTCAATTCCTCGACGATAGTGGTTGGAATCATGTAGATAAACTTAAAAAAGGCATCTCTAGCATACGCATGCGCTTTTTCTACAGAGCAAGACACTTTTCTTTCACATTGCAACGACAAAAATGCACAAATCTTGCTTGCAAAGGCGCCCGACAAACGCTGTAGTATCTTGCTCGCCAAATCGTGAGTATCACCTTCATGGCCTTTCGGGAATGTCTTGACCATTCGGGGAACAATAGAGACAATCTTGTATTCTGTCATATTCCAAAAAAACTGTCTTACTGTAAGGGTAGCTGCACGAATACCAAAACGAGACTGCTGGGAATAAGACTCATAAGCATTGACAAAAAGACTATCATAGACATTGCTTTGGTCAGCGAAAGACATATCCACAAACGGAAGAACGGCATTGAGCAGGAGCTCAAAAGATGCATCGATAAAACAAGAATTACTTTAGTTGGGGAAAATGTACGTAGGAACAGATAAAGTCGAGTATTTGTCTGGATCGTTATTTTCGTAATCCTTTACGAGCCATTGGTATTTTTGAAGAAGAGATGCCCTTTTTTGTGGTACCAAGAAGCCGGCAGTGGCAGGTAAATCATTTTTAAGTGGAGGCTCACTTGTCATCCTGGTCGCATCGCTTGTATCGGGTTCGATTGCTACTAATGTCGAAGTCTCATGGGGCATTGGGGGAGAGCAAAGATCAATTACTGTATCAGATATGAATTTTTGAATGCCTTGAATCGTAAGATCAATACATGTACCATCACTTGCAGGAAAGGGTGAGTTCGAAGGAGGCAAAGGCAACGAAAAATCAGAATCGGATAGTGCTCTCATCTTGGATGAGGTAGGCTCAGACTTGGGTTGTAAAACTGATGTGGGCTTGCATTTGGTCTTCATTAATGATGAAGAAGAAGAAGAAGAGGAAGGAAAGGAAGAGGAAGAGGAAGAGGAAGAGGAAGAGGAAGAAGAAGAAGAAGAGGAAGATGATACAAGATCAATAACGGACGATTTCGATTCTTCATCTGAGCCGACAACATCTTCAACAGGTATTCCAAGGTCTAAAATATCAATGATACGTTACAGACACAGCAATTAGAAACTATTGCAAGTATCCTTACCATCAAACATATTCTTAATGCCTTTATCTAGGTCCTCAGTTCTATCAAATACATTTTCTGCTTTATCGCTTTTGCATTCGTCGTCTGAGAGTAGTTCAAGGAACAGTTTCTCATCACTGATATCATCATCTGGGAAATCATTCATCTTGGGACAGTTCCTCTCCATTTCATCAGTTTCATCCAGATGCTCAATTATGGCAGCATTCAAACTAATATCACGGGTTTTTGCTTTCTTGGCCTTGCGTTTGCCATCCTCCTCAGCATCGCTAATGAGCACCACTTCTTGTTTTCTCTTCTTGGTGCCAAAGAGTGCTGTGTTGTTATCTGGCGCATGGCCATCATTAATTTCATACAGAGTTGCAGACTTTTTTGTTGGCTTCTTGGGTTTGTTTCCGTAATGTGGTCGGATATTATGGTCATAAAAACCCAACAACATCATTCCATCACGCTTGGCGACCTGCAACAAAAGTCTTAAGCTTGTCGAAACGGGTTGTCTTTTCTCTGGCATCAACTTGTACAAGGCACTATGGAACGCCTCAGTGGTATTGGATGAGCGGCTCTTGTGTTGCCTCAAGTCGTCCTTCATCAAAGACTTGCATCTGAATACCATACTTGAGACACCAGGTTGGAACCACCACTGTAACCCCTTTTTACAGTTGGGAAAGAAGGTCAAAAGCTCCTTAACAGTTCGAAAGAATTCGATACTGTTTCTTGTGGTACGGAACCGATGGACTAGCTTCAAGAAGGTATTATCAATCTCATCTGGCTTGACAACTTGGCGGTTGTTGAACATGCACTTGACTGATTGCATCCAATGCATATAGCACCCTTTTAAAAAAGGTAATGCAATGTGCTGCTTGACACCAAAGTTACCCCTGAGGGCTAGTATGAAACCTTCGCGTTGGGCAGCTGAAAAGTCCATAATGACTCCCAAAAACTTCTCCAGTTTGACATCAAATTTTCTAAACAAAGCAACAAAGTATTCTTTGAAAACATGTGTAGTGTGGCTTTTGATTATCGCTTGATAAAAGACGACATGCTTCCGGAGTTGCTCGATATAGATGACACTTGAGCATAGACTAGATAATAGCCCTTTGGGACAGCCTTGAAAGTGACATCTGTTATGATCGGTTGATCTGCGAAAGGGAGATTACGCTAAAGCATTTCAGGTGAACAGAAGCTCACAAAAAACTTGCTAGGGACAATCTGTGTGGAATCCATGAAGCCTGGATACTTCTTATCATCAAGATCTTCAAAGGCTGCTACCACATCTTCCTTGGTAGAGTATAGATCTTGTTGGATCTTCGACTTCCGGATCCCATACTTGGTGCGTCCATGATTAGCCATTACACTGTTGATTTCTCTGACGCTTTTCGTGATGGCGCCAGTAGATGGATCGATGCCAGCAATGGCAGCGGCAGCAGTGATGTTTGGTCTATCTTTTACCATATTATTTAACTCTTTTTTTTTTCGTGTCTATCAAGATGAAGCGAGTTGTACTGTAGGGGAAAAACTGTCCCGTTCGTTTAATATTTTGTCTTTTTGCACAAGTTTTTGGTCATTTCTTTGTATACAAAGTCGAAATATATATCGTTTGAATGAGAGAAAGTAGTGCTATTTATACATAATTATAACTTTTTCAAAAACTAAAATCCAATGATTTTATTGGTTAAAAAATAAATACAGAAAAATGTACATTTTATTATAAAATCATTAATAGTGAGTTGAACCACCTTTGCTCTTGATGACAGACTTGATTCGGGCAGGCATACTATCAATATATTTCTGGCACTCTTTTTCTGTTATTTTGTACCACTGAATGTTAATACGCCGCTCTAATTCTTCTTTTGTAGAGGGCCTAGTGGGATACTTATTAAGACGAAGCTTTAGGAGATGCCAGACATGTTCAATGGGGTTAAGATCGGGACTTTGGGGCGGCCAATCCATGATTTCGTCTAGGTTAAACCCATTGTCGGCGAACCATTGTTTAGTAATGCCCGATGTATGCGGTGTTGCTCTGTCTTGTTGAAATCGCACATCAGATGGTGTCTTCCCAAAGTGCTCAAAAGTGTCGTTCAATGATGTCTTCGAGATATCGACATACAAGCCCGAGTTTATTGCGTCCTTCAATAATGGTAGTACCATAACCAGGCCCCTCCGCTGTTATATAACTCCAGAACATGACCCCACCGTCATTTCCCTGCAACTGAGACTTGACTTGATACGACTGCATGATTCGGCCACCATTCGTCCAGTAAAAAGAATTACCATCTGAGCCCCAAAGGTTTATTCTTGTTTCATCCGAAAACACCCAACGACGCCAATCAGCAATAGTAAGATGCCTATGCTTTTTAGCCCACGCCAATCGAAGCCGCTTGTTTGTCTTACTAACAAAATTGGTCTTTACTTTTCTACGAGATTTAAGTCCATTTCGTCTCAATGACTTGCGGATGCCATTAATTGACATATCATGGCCCATCGATCTTAAAATTTCTTGTGCTGCTCTGGAATTATCTAAAGCACCTGATCGAAGCTCTCTTGACACTAGGGACATAGTTTTAGCACCAAGTTTTTTCGGTCTTCCGCCAAAAGGTCTAGCTGGGTCAGGGCAATATAGTTTTCTGAGCCTTGTAAGAGCAGAGTTACCCACTCCTGGATACAAAATTTTTATCTTTGAGAACGAAAGACCACGTTGGAGCAAAGATTGGAGAATGTTGCGCAAATCTTGTGTTAAACGAGCAGGCAAAATGAAAGTTTTGAAAAAAATAAGAAAGCAAAGAAATAAAGAAAAGAATATGGAAAAACTAGCTTCTTTTATACCTTTAGAATGCTCCTGGGATATTAAATATCCTGAGCATACCGCGAGTAGTTTTTTAGGTTTCTTCGATACGTTTATTGGAAGTAAAGATATCAACCATTTTATATCATCTAGAATTACCCACCTAACATTTTTGCCACGTCTCACTCTAGCTGGTTATACTGGGATTAGAATATAGTCCAGCCATAAGGTTTTTATGTTGCTGTAATCCCTATAGGCTGTTCTATCGAACGCAGTATGGGGTAGCTTTGTTTTTTGAGTTTTGGCAATATACTGGGTAAAAGTCAAGATTATTTGAACGAACGGGACAGTTTTTCCCCCTACAGTAGTATAAATCGATATCGTACATCTAATCCAGCGTACATACAGTTTATATCTAAATCTAGTAACTGGATGAACTGTCGGAATGTAGATCATAGTGGATGTATTCCACAAAGATCAATTTTCATGTTTCTCGAAATACTGGATCACAAAAGTAAATGCTGCATAGAGAAAAGTACTCTTTGATACTAATCGTAATATTATAGAAGAATCAGCACGCAACATATACCTCTAGTAGAACAAGTAATTAAGCTTTCATAGATATAGCGCAGTAACTCACATTTCTTTTCCATTTTATAATGTGCACTATCACTATAGCCAATGCAGCCATCTCCAGTATCAAAAAATGTATCTGCATCAAACAAATCAAAGGCAAAGGAATATGAAAAGCACAGAAGATATTCATCACCAGAAACGCAAGATTTGCAAAGACAGTAAGTTTCTCATCATCACCTGGAGTTAGCCATTTTATGCTGATATTCTCTCTATCTCTTAAATTGTAGAAACATAAAGGTAATAATAAGGCATTGATATCATAGATGGAGCTACTTATCTTTGTGTATTAGGGACCCAACAATAAGAGAGTGCGCAAGTCGTAAGGAATTCTGATCTCTATGCTTATTCTGATTAGGCTACGCTTTGTTGTTATTGCCCGTAATGTAATATCATCATGTTTCTCTGTAGTAGTAGCGCAATTATTATATGTCAAGAAATAAACAATGGTTTCTATTGTAATAGCACTAAATGCTATTATATATCTGATTTATTTTTTTATGAATATTTTGCAAACCACCCTAAACTACATGAATTTTTTGAATTTTTCTGAATTAAGTGAGCACTTTTCCGAATTTCTCTGAATGCCATTCAGAAAAATTTCGACAAAATTTTAGAAATATTCAGCAATATTCAAATCTTTTTTAGTCACAGTGGAATGATGATCCATGGTGCAGTGAAATCAGGTTTAAATAGATTTCACAAAAAAAATAAAGCAATAGTAAAATACAATGGAAATCAACTGTATTTTATTTGTGTATAAAATGAACTGAAGATCCTGGTGTTGTAAATCTGAAAGTACGTGAGAATGGATATAAGTTTATTTTCGTAAAATCAGATGAAGAGGAGAAGGAAGAGTGAATGTCTACTGCTATTTATATGTATGATTTATGGATTGCTTACACACCCGTCTAGAATGGTGTTCTCATGCTAAGTTTTAGTGTCAATCCTCACTTATGTTAAATGGTAATTATTTCAGATATAGATGATCAGTCTAAGTATCTTTAGTTGCTCTTGGCAACGTTAATTACTTACATTCCTTATCTGCTATCTTTTGACATATAGAGAATAGCTTACTGAAACTTAGCTCATGTGAATATCATGGTTATCGTTTACAGGTTGATACTGTTTATTTACATATGCTCCATATGTGCATAGTTTATTACTGAGTTCAATCTACGATCTTGTGATTCAGGAACAGTTAGATGTGTGAATACAACACCTGGAATTGAGTAAAAAAAGAAGAGTATTTATACATTTGCAACTAGCTTGTAGGATTAGTGATGATAGAGAGCAATAGATGCTGCTATTGCGATATCTGGCAAATGTTGTTGACGTTTGATTTAAAGTGGTAATCAATGCGAGAGCACTGGCCATAAGGGTCGATTTGAGTAACCTTGATGGGCTTGGGTGAGCTATCGTCATAGCATGATTTAATGTAACCTTGATGGTTTAAAGTGTGATGTTTGTTATTGAAGTATGGAACCCTTTATCTGGGATATTGTGCAACTATGGCAGCGGGGCATAGTTGTCATATTTGAATATGCTTGTTATTGATTTGATTCTATTTGGATAAAGATACCATCACTTATTGCGACCATCATGGGTGTGATTGAATACACTGTGATCAGGAGTGATTCATTCACACAATGTGCGATATAAGCATGCATCTTTGCTTTAGTATTTTTAAATGGATTTTTGATGTACATTTGAGCGCTTTCATTAATAGATCCAAATAACATGAATTTGAATGAGTGCTATTTGATGAACTTTGGTTTTCAATTAAGTTGCGTTTGGGTGGCTATTTCATTACATGATCTTTGTCTGGTCTTTGTTTGGTCTTTGTCTGGTCTTTGTCTGATCTTTGTCTGGTCTTTGTCTGATCTTTGCTTTGTCTGATCTTTGTCTGGTCTTTGTCTGATCTTTGTCTGGTCTTTGTCTGGTCTTTGTCTGGTCTTTGTTTGGTCTTTGCCTGGTCTTTGCTTTGTCTGGTCTTTGTCTGATCTTTGTTTGGTCTTTGTCTGATCTTTGTTTGGTCTTTGTCTGGTCTTTGTCTGGTCTTTGTCTGATCTTTGTCTGGTCATTGTCTGATCTTTGTTTGGTCTTTGTCTGGTCTTTGTCTGGTCTTTGCTTTGTCTGGTCTTTGTCTGATCTTTGTTTGGTCTTTGTCTGATCTTTGTTTGGTCTTTGTCTGGTCTTTGTCTGGTCTTTGTTTGGTCTTTGTCTGGTCATTGTCTGATCTTTGTCTGGTCTTTGTCTGATCTTTGTTTGGTCTTTGTCTGATCTTTGTTTGGTCTTTGTCTGGTCTTTGTCTGGTCTTTGTCTGATCTTTGTTTGGTCTTTGTCTGGTCATTGTCTGATCTTTGTCTGATCTTTGTTTGGTCTTTGTCTGGTCATTGTCTGATCTTTGTTTGGTCTTTGTCTGGTCTTTGTCTGGTCTTTGTCTGGTCTTTGTTTGGTCTTTGTCTGGTCATTGTCTGATCTTTGTCTGGTCTTTGTCTGATCTTTGTTTGGTCTTTGTCTGATCTTTGTTTGGTCTTTGTCTGGTCTTTGTCTGGTCTTTGTCTGATCTTTGTCTGGTCTTTGTCTGATCTTTGTTTGGTCTTTGTCTGATCTTTGTTTGGTCTTTGTCTGGTCTTTGTCTGGTCTTTGTCTGATCTTTGTTTGGTCTTTGTCTGATCTTTGTTTGGTCTTTGTCTGGTCTTTGTCTGGTCTTTGTCTGATCTTTGTCTGGTCATTGTCTGATCTTTGTTTGGTCTTTGTCTGGTCTTTGTCTGGTCTTTGCTTTGTCTGGTCTTTGTCTGATCTTTGTTTGGTCTTTGTCTGATCTTTGTTTGGTCTTTGTCTGGTCTTTGTCTGGTCATTGTCTGATCTTTGTCTGGTCTTTGTCTGATCTTTGTTTGGTCTTTGTCTGATCTTTGTTTGGTCTTTGTCTGGTCTTTGTCTGGTCTTTGTCTGATCTTTGTTTGGTCTTTGTCTGGTCATTGTCTGATCTTTGTCTGATCTTTGTCTGGTCTTTGTCTGGTCTTTGTCTGGTCTTTGTTTGGTCTTTGTCTGGTCATTGTCTGATCTTTGTCTGGTCTTTGTCTGATCTTTGTTTGGTCTTTGTCTGATCTTTGTTTGGTCTTTGTTTGGTCTTTGTCTGGTCTTTGTCTGGTCTTTGTCTGATCTTTGTCTGGTCATTGTCTGATCTTTGTTTGGTCTTTGTCTGATCTTTGTCTGGTCATTGTCTGATCTTTGTTTGGTCTTTGTCTGGTCTTTGTCTGGTCTTTGTCTGGTCTTTGTTTGGTCTTTGTCTGGTCATTGTCTGATCTTTGTCTGGTCTTTGTCTGATCTTTGTTTGGTCTTTGTCTGATCTTTGTTTGGTCTTTGTCTGGTCTTTGTCTGATCTTTGTCTGATCTTTGTTTTGTCTTCGTCTGATCTTTGTCTGATCTTTGTCTGGTCTTTGTCTGGCCTTTGTTCGGTCTTTGTCTGATCTTTGTCTGATCTTTGTCTGATCTTTGTCTGATCTTGTCTGGTCTTTGTCTGGTCTCTGGTGTCGTTTGTTCTCTGGTTTTTCGATGGTGCTGGTATTGCTGCTGCTGTTGCGAATCCGGTCTTTCCTGGTTTACTGTCTTTGGTGCATGTTTCTTCTCTGGTCTATTTGTGGTTGTGGTAAGTGGTAAGTATCTTCTTTCTTCTGGTCGGAATGATATAAAACTTCTTTGAACGTTTGTATTATTGCTTCCTTTCTCGTGATAATGCATTTTATCATGATGTTTACTTTGTTGCGCTTTCTTCTTCTTTTGCTGGTTGTGTTGCCTCTGTGGTTTGACATGAGACAACATTAGTCATTATGTTGTAGTGCAAATTTATACCACCATTGCTTTTGCAGTTGTGCGTGTTTGTGTTACTCTACATTCGACTATTTACCATGCACTTTGCTCATGTATGCAATACTGTTGCAACAACAACGAGCTCTTTTGAACATCTTTGATGTTGTATTTATGATATGCTTTTCTTTGACTCGCTTTGTGTGTGTGGAATTTGAGGCTTGATAGACTAAAATTCACGGAAAAAAAAGAATAAAAAAAACAGTAATGTCAACTTGATAAAGGTATATTTTATTATCAAACTGACAGGTGTAAAGTAAACTGAAGTCTCTCTACTGGCCAGGTAGATGATCCTTCTTATATACTATAACAATGGATAAAAGTTCTATTAATTAGATTGACAAATAAGTCAACTCAGATCAACTAATGTCTAATCATGCTAAAAGACAACCCCAGCAAGCTAATCATGATTTAGCTCTGTCTGGATGAATAATTAAACTCTCATCCGAAGTACCCTGATCTATCCTTTCTATAAGGATAATTAATATCGATCTAGCAGCATGTATCCGATAGATACAGTCTTAATAGTCTATATTAATAGTACATATCTGAGTGTATATCGCTAAGCATACATCTTTAGCATGTATCTGGATATATGGCATGTCTCAAGCATATCGTATGCATGTCTATAGCATGTCTCATATATAGTACAAGTCTGTAGTACATAAAGTATCTGTAGCTAGTATCACGGATATAAGCATGTGTCTTATAGCGTGGATCATGAAGTGCACATCTGAAGCAACAAGCTCATATTGCATTAATCTTGGTGCCTATCCAGATATGGTAAACATCCGTAGTCAATGTCGGAATACAAGCATAAGTCTATAGTGCCATCCATGTCCGTGGTGCCATCTATAGCCTATATCTTATATAGTATGAATCTTATAGTACTAGCGTATCTGAAGTCCATATCTTCTCATAGTATAAATCGATATCGTACATCTAATCCAGCGTACATAGAGTTTATATCTAAATCTGGTAACTGGATGAACTGTCGGAATGCAGATCATAGTGGATGTATTCCACAGTGCGGTCAAATGCAGCGGGAAGGACTTCTTCAACAGTTTCGTCAGGAGATTGATTGAAGAAATCTTACTCCATTTCATAACTTGAGTTGTCCATGTTGCTTAAAGTATTGATGAAATATAATAAGGTAGATGAACAAAATGAAGCGCCTGATCCTACATGTCAAAAACTTTTATTGCTCTGCCCTGTCGAGGATGTACGTATAATGCAATGTAATCTATCCATCCATTGCTAGCTACACCATATCCACCCTACCCCTACCTACGCCCCGTACCCCCCACGGCCTATCTATTATCCGGATCCACCATTACTTTTTATCCACTCTTTTTATCCTACACCCGTGTGAGCTTTTATCTGGAAATCTTTCTCCGACATTTTTGTGACATTGACGGCGCTTGAAACCCGCTCTTTGGTTACCTTTCGAACACAGTAGCGCTTGCCGGCTTCAGACAACACCCTAGGACAACCAGACCCGGACAATATTTCATTTTGACCCAAAGACAGCTTTTCAACAGTTTTTCGAATCGAAACGCCGCTTTGAAGCATTGTGATTGCAGAATTAACCTTGGAGACAGCAATGGCCTTTATGGCTAGATAATCGACCTACCTGATATTTAGAACTCCGAGTTGGATAATGGAGACTACTTGAGCTAGGTGAAGCTTCCTTATACTACGCTCTTGAGGTTATTCCAGATTGTGGATTTGAGTTATCACTGAATTTGTGATTTTTCAAAAGATCTTACAATACTGTGCCAATGAACATAATACTTTTAACCAACTATGCCATATGTGCACATTGCTTAATGTCAACTATCTGTACATTGTTATAGAGGCGTTAGTTTTAGCTTTCGGAAAATACCAATTCATTATTATTGGAAAACATCCCGTCCGGTGGTAAGGTCTGAACGTTAAAATTGCTAAACTGTTGCATACAAGCGTGCATCTTAGGCTACATTCAGTTTCTCCTCAAGCCACTTTTTACAGTGCAGCAATATAGATGATGTTTATCGTATCACATCACATCTATGTTTACAAGTCCAGTCAATTGTGTGTGCACGGGTGCCTCAGGAACTACAATAAATTCAATCTCCCTGATGCCAAGATATCGAGATCCACCTACACAATATGAAACATATCGACTTAAGTGGCCTCTCAACAGGCTATACCAACAATCCATAAGACCCCAGTGGACTGCTATTTATATACCATCTCAACGTAGTAGTCATTGACCAGGGATCTATCATATTTAAGCTAGTTAGATGCCTTGTTATAAAGAAGCTCTTTGCTTTCGTTTTAGATACAGTTGACAACAGATTATTATCATGGACTATTATTTCGAGTTCATCATAAACATTGGAATAGTTCTGTGGGTCACAGCTAGTTCAAATACGTCTTTTTCTTCCAAAAATTGCAAGTTTCAAATACGACGGTTGCCAGCCCAAGTCGATGTCGGGAGGAGTTGAGGTTGTTGGTGTAGCTTGAACGAGAATTGCACAAGGTGATGATCCGAGTTGAGATTGATATCACTTTCAATAGATAAAAAGGGATTAGCCGAGAATATATTGGGGCGTGAAATCACGAAATCAATGATGCTTGTGCCTCGATTAGACTCAAATGTAGGTTGTCCGAATGTAGAAATACGATTCCAGAGATTAGCCTAATGGACTGTAAGCCAATTGAGGAGATAGTTGCTACGAGGGTTCGTACTACGAGTATCACCAGTGAATGAGCCAAGACGAGTGTTGAAATCACCAAGACAAATAACTGACGATGAAGAGTTGAAGTCAACACTACCCAATACAGTTTGATAGTCTGCAAAGGATAGCGCTGGTGGTAAATAGAAGCCATGGACAGTAAGCGAGTTACCAATCACGATACTGAGCTTGTTGTGTTGTGTGGTTGTTGGATCAGTGCTACGGTGAACATAGTGAGGAAAATGAGGTCGAATTAGAAATGTCAAACCACCATTGCCTTTGGATGCATCACCTGAGATGGTAGCATATTGATGATGTTGAGCCCATTGAGTGAATAGATCACCTTTGAGCAAGAAGGTTTCCGTGAGTAGTAAAATGTCGATGTGATGTGTTTCTATATAGTGTATCACTAAATCCAAGGACGTAGAGATACCAGAAACGTTGAGCATTGCAAGGTTGAAAGTAGGCTGTGAGTCTACAATCATTGATTCGTATCCATGGGGCTGGAGCCAGCGTTACTAGCAGCAGTCAGAGGTGGAGGATTTGAACCAGGTTGAGAAATGCTGGCATCGGCATTGTTGGTGGAGGTTGTAAGAGAGGCAAACAAGTTGGAGGCATCAAAGCCTTTGAGAACAGAAGAGCGAGCAGTGTTGGCAGCACCGATTTTGCGAACGCAATCAGGCTTCAGCTTGATGAACTCATCAATAATGACAGGCGGGACAAAGTGATTATCAGCACTGTCAAGGGCATTGAAGAACTTGAGGATGATCAGACCCATACGGGATTCACGAAGTTGAGTAGCAGCTTGGAGCATGCGGTTGTAGTAGATGGCCTTAGCTTTATCATCCAGTTGTTGAGCATTAAAAGTCTTCAAAAGATGGGGATCACCCAGATTTTTACCAGAGATAGGATTGAAATCAGTGATGGGATGAAGTTCGTCCTTTTCACAGATCTTAAGGATTTCAGCAGCATAGTGGGAGTGTACCAGTAGAGAGACAACATGCTTGGCAGGACGTTGGATGGCATATATACGTTTGAGGTTGATTTTGAGCAACTCTAAACGAGTGCGAAGATCGGCGTGCTTGGTTTTGTGGCTACAAGGAAGGTAGACACAAGTATAACCAGGAGGAGGCAGAGCTGAAGTGGCGGTATTAGAGGAGGAAGACATTTGCATATCATCACCATCAGTTGAGTCAGTAGCAGTAGGAGTAGAAAATAGACGTAAAGCCCATTTCTTGGCTTCAGCAGCATCAGAGGGGACTTTGGCTTTAGAAGAAGACTTCTTGGAAGTTTTCTTGTTAGAACCAGAGCTCTTCTTGGAGTTGGCAGTAGTGGTGGCAGAGTTGGCAGTAGGTTTGGCATTGGCAGATCCCTTTTTGGTACCTGAATTCAAGGTTGGGAAATCCTTTTCCGATGCATAACGAGATGCAGCAGATCCAGATTTGGTACGTGTGAAGCTGACATTTGGAGTAAGATTCAGACGAGTGGCTGAGGCAGCAGAGGTATTATTGGTAGCAGCAGTGAGGGTGGATCGTTCCAGTAAACGGGTGAGAATCAGATTCTGTTCTTGGAGCTTGACTACCAGATCAATCAACTCTGATTGCTTCAAGTTATTGTAATAATCACGGCCGGCAATGTCTTGCTGCATTGAATCGCGGCGGCGCTTATTGGAGGTGGAGGTGGATGCATTGGTAGAAGCTGAGGCAGATCCAGAGGTGGTGATCATAGTGGAGGTCCAATCGGAGGATGGTGCCTCGATGGATTGTGCTGCACCGGTAGAACTCGGTGGAGCAGAGTTTAGATTCGGCGGGATCGGCGAACCTGGCATTCGGAAAAGCGAAAGATTAAGATGGTTGGGGTGATTAAGCGGCTAAACAGGCGGCTGAACGGCAAGAGGTTTTTCCGAAAAAGTATAAATACTGCTGATGTCTACACGCGTAGAGTCGATAGTATCTCCTCCTCAGTTTAATATTGGATTTTTATTTATTTACAATTGTAGTCAACTGCAGAATCGGTATGATCATATGTTGCAAGACTAACAGTGATTCGGCGGGAAAAAGCATGTTTTAAATTAAAGGTTGAGGGAAGCTGCTACAGGGAGGGGACCAATAAAGTAAACGGCATCAAAACCCACCAGAGAGGAGGAGAAACAGAGGGAGGAATGGCAATGGCCGCGCCGCAAGACGGGGGAGACGAACAGGACTCAAGGTAGAAACCGGCCAGACGCACCGCAGCACACCTAAACGTGCAAGCACAAATACCGAGTAACATGCCAGGTTAGAAAGGCGGAAAATATGGATGCGAAGGTGGGATTCGAACCCACGACCTCTCGGCATACTCACTGCTTCCGCATGAAGCTCTAACCAAGTGAGCCATTCAAGCATCCATGTATCTCCTCCTCAATGGTCCAACGGCTAGGATTTATCGCTTTCACCGATACGGCCGGGGTTCGACTCCCCGTTGGGGAACTTTTACCTTTTGGTTAAAAAGAAGTGTATGTAGTCTATTATCAAATTAACATTCTTTTTGCATAGTGTTGTTACAAGTCGTAGCATCTACTTTCTTTTTCTGCCACCATATATAATCATTGAATCTGCTTGTCTCTATTATACAAATAAGACACATCACTTTTAGTATCGTTTAAATTACACTCTGGCTACAAATCAATCTCAACTCGAAATGCTGCATATCAAGCGGACATGAATTAAAGACCCAGATCAACGCTGCAATACCTTCCGTATCTTGTATCCAAAAAGAACAATCTTATATCAAACCTTACTTCTTAAATCCATGAAATGCAATTACATAACCAAACCATACGAAACCATATACATTGGCACTTGTAAATTAAGTAAACAATTCTTCATTCACCGAAGGATATTAGTACAAAAAGATTATCAAACCACAAATCAATCCTATGTTAACCAGGACATTATTACAGACATAAAGAATAGCAAAATAGTATAAAAGCATAACTCTCAAAATCAATTAATAAAATCGTCTTATAATTTACCAATATTTCAATACACATCTTTTATAAAGCTCATTAGTTGTTATATTTACTTCTTTTCTTATATCAAGCATCTGTTATTTGTAAGATCCCTTGAATTTATAAATCTCACATATTATAGTCGATCCATTGTAAGCTCTTTTATATATATTTCTGTATTACTTTCAATTTTCTACTTTTACTTCTGTTTATTTGATTATTCTAGCTGGACAACTATAAACCTGGTGCTTATTTGATAGTTAGATCTGCTTTGGCAAATTTACTATCTCTTTCATACTTTTTTTATCAAAACTATATGCGCTACTACCAACTTGCCTGTAACAATAGAATTGAGATAAAAGATGATCAATATTATTTTGCAAACTGATTTAATATTTATACTAACTAAAAGGCTACACACAAAGCCTGTGTGTACCTGACAATTGTTACAAATCGACTTTGCTTTGTAACAAAATCTCTCTTTTTGTTGTAAATTGCCTTTGCTATCAGATAGACTACATTTCTCTGCTTACTGCATTGGATCCTACTTTTACTACTACAAATTGATATTAAAATTTTTAAATATTTCCTATATTCTTCAAACATGCTCTGAATTTTATATTCAAGAGTTACAAATCAGTTTCTATTCAGCCTCATTTTACTTTGACGTATGTCAACTTGATCAAACCCTTAAACATTACCGTTTCCTACTGAAAGCACTTAAATGGGAATCAAATTGACATTTATTCAACCATTCACTACGGCGCAAGGCGATTTGAATCTAGTGAAAAAATCCCTAACATGATGAAAAAAAAAACACTTCCTTGAAATTGCAAATATATGGAGTTTTTCGCCACATTTAAGGAAACTTAGCGTATGGAAAATAGCATGAATTTAGGGACCCAGTATGTTAGTGGATAAGCCTATATATTATGGCACAGTTACACGAGATCTCAATTGTATAATTGGGTATTTGGGTAAAATACTGCAGTTTATTACTGTCAAATTTTGATACAAATACTTCAAAACTATACTATTTCATATTTCACATAAATCAAAGAATACATACATTGCAGGTGGTAGCCTCGAACTTTGGGAAATCTTCATCCTTTGAATATCTAGGGTAACGATTGTCAAAATGAAAGTTTGTAATCTACATACTTTATTGATTTTGATTTCTCCGTAAAGCAACGCTTTGATTTCCTGTATTCGATCTTCTTAATCTCTTTTCCCTATGCGATATTGCCTCATCTTGGGAGTCGTTTTCCATGACCTGGAAAGAAGAACCGAGAGAACCGTCATTAAAGGTCGCACCCTCATTACCTATATAAGCGATTTACCGTAATAATATTAGTAGCAGGCTTTGATGAATTACTTGATATACCAGCTTTGCTATAACAATTGAATGTTTGATACAGTGCTACCATCCAAAGATTGTGTGATAGTGCCAAGGGTCAAATTGTTCATTTCGAATAAATTTTCTGGCGATTGCGAGCCATCTTCGACATAGAAAGAGTCTTCAGTGATGGCAATGTCTGTGCTCTGTGACAGTGACGAAGAAGGACCGACAGAGCAAGGCTGAGAGGGAGGGGCACTAACGACGAAAGAAGGAGAAGAATTGCTATCCGATTCTTCACATCTCTTTTGCTATTTCCACTCTAACAACAAGTATAAGAAAGTCAGATGTGGATGTCTTTGTGATGTATCACCTTCGACCTTATGGATTACGTTTGGGTTGAAGTTATTTTCGTACGTCTTTGCCAGTAACGCACGAGTTCCTCAACTGTCCACACATCTATTCAAAGGAATAGATATATATTCAGTACAAGAGTCTTCGCGTTGTTTTATAAAGGGTCGCTTTTCTTCATCCATTAGCTCTTTCCAGTAGCATTCTTTACTGTGATTCTTCTTCGCTGTCTCTGAAAGACTTACGCTTGCTGCCAAGGAAAAATTGTTAAGTGAGTTTTTATGTTGTTTTTACCTATTCTTCCTTGTCAGCTCTTTGGTGGTTTGTATCATCATCGTCAGGCAGAAGTTTTATATGGTGTCAAATGAGCGCCAGCAGGCCCCATCCTTCCAATACTCAACTGGATTCTGTCGATATTCTGCTTAAAATTATGCTCGACATCGTTCACAAGAAGCCAAATCAAGCGGTCTACCCTTCTACTGCTTTTCCGTTGCAGGTAGTTGCTTTTTAGCTGATTATGCCAGCTCTCAACATAGTTGTTAGTTTCCATGTTGGTGAACACTTGAGGTTGATAGGCTGCAACCCATCTCTTGAAAGCGTCATTTTCGATGTAGTTCCGCTTCAAGTAAATAAGGAAAGTTTGGCAGAAAGCAAAATCCTCATAGAATTTCATAAGCTTTTCCTGGAAAACTGCCTCGTTTTTTTTTTCGTACATCATGCTCTTCAAATGAACATGAATGTTTCGTCTCATTGCGGTGTTGGCGGCTGTGGATCCCAGCGCAACTCCCCATCTAACCAAAGTTTGATAGATTCACGCACGTCCGAATGTCTAACGAAAGCTTTTTTCCTGGATCTTTTTGAAAATGTTGTGAATTTCTTCTGCATGAACCATTTGGTCTCTGTGGACAATGGGAGTGGATAGTGATCTAAAATGACCTGGCTCCAAGTTGATAGTTGCAAAATTTTGCTCGACGTATCTTACAAGGCTTTGCAGGATTGAAAAACGAGTTTCTCTTTTTCGAAATCCTTCCCGCAAACGGGTTTCAATCAATACCTTGACTTCGTCTGACAAAGGTAGGTATTGAAGGTCTTCCAACGATCCGATTACATGGCTGTGATCGTTAATCGTGGTCAACACTACTTTGGTCGGGTCAGACTTGTACACAGTCGCTTTCAATTTGGCTGTACACCCTTGTTTCTTGGATCGCTTCAATACTTCTTTGGGTGCGCCATTTTTTCCAGTGTTTTGCTCTCGAATACGCTTCTCGCCCTCCATATGGCAAACGTACTCTTAATACCACATCTCTGGGTGGAATCTCTATCGCTTGCGTGCATTTCCTTGTTGATTTGCTTCGGATTGAGGTGCTGGTGAAGGATACTCAACTCGGCGTTTATAGACCCAACTGACCGCATGCTTTCTGACATAGCTAGCAACGGTCTTTTCCAGTTGGTCTACAGGTACGGTAAGTTCTCTAGGGATAGGAGTGTATGGTTCGACGGGAATACTTGTAATGTTTGAAGTGAATAAAAAAAACAGCGGCGCTTTCCTGATTTCAGGCACAAGCTTATTAAAAGTAATGAGGTTGACAGTCCTTTTGAAAGCCTTCTATTTCAAACACATCTTAACTCGGGGGGGGGGGGATATACGTGCGCGCAGAAGCATTACACCGATCAGCCAATATCTTGTTGGAAAGGGCAGTGTACAACATCCTAGGCTCCTTTCGCTACTGCCTCTTTTTTTTTATGATATCTGCTTCATGTGAAATCTTACAGGTCTTTATAAACTCGTTTGAATTGTTCAAGTGATGTACCAAATAACACACCTAAGGTAGAGATGATCTTAATTTGTAACAAAAACAAGGAGCAATTCAAGCTATACAATTTGAGGCTTTGGTAAATTGAAGATGGCAGACTTAATTCATGACTCAACGGATAATCTTGATACGAATTAGCGTTAGACGGATGGAGAAGTTAGTTCGAAAGTATGGTGAATGCATTTCCAGATGACTCGGTATGCGAATGCCGTAATCATACGTTGAATGAAATTCATTCACTATGCGCTGCATTATCAGATTGTTCTGCCGAAAATCGTGATGACAGATAGTTATTTGCTTTTAATCAGACCAGCTAGCGGATAGCTGATGCACTTGAGAATATCTATTATATATACAATTCGTATTTACTCTTATACTGCACATTGAAGATCAGTAGTGGTTTTTGGAACTTACAGTCAGGCGACGCAATGTGATGAATAGCTTTCTACTGGGGGGGGGGGTACCAATGATGACTGCACTAGCGAGAGTGCTCTCAAGTTAACCTAATATGCCGTTGGTCAGTAAAAGATAATGAACTTGCTCAAGTTTTGAGTAGAACACACACCCTGTTGGCATCACATGGAAGAATTGATTCAAACATGTCGAGTGCCTGATTCCACAGTTTGGTACCACCAAAGTGAAAGCACTCATGACGTGGTACAAAAGTGGCAATCAATGATTTCTATTTAAGCTTCTCTATTCTTTCCTTGCCTTCTGTTCACTTTTTCTTTCTTTCTTTTATATACAACAAAATGAGCGATGAGAATAACGGCAAACATGTACACCCGTTTCTAAGCAAGCATGTGCCATCACAGATCAGCAACACACAGAAACTGTGCTACAGACATCGACCCGACTTGGTCAAGAATCGAGGGCCAGATGAGTTTATCCATGTTCAAGCAATACAGGCAGTAAGTTGTTGCATTTGCCATTCAAATCGCAAAATCGATTTAATAACACGTGTGCCATAGCAAATGGAGAAACTAGCAACTTCTGATAAAGAAGCCATCTCTCATATATGGTCGTTATTTGCAGCAGCACCAGCAGATCAGCGAACGCTGATATTGAAAGGACTCGTCTCTACATGTTGTATGCCTCAACTTTCGTTTCTCCACAATGTCACCAAACCACTCTTGCGCATTGATTTTGTCTCTATTCTACCCATTGAAGTGGTGCTGTCCATCTTTTCGTATCTAGATGCAACTACCCTGTGCCATGCGGCTCAAGTATCTCAAACATGGAAAAAATTGGCAGATGATGACTCCCTGTGGCACAGAATGTGCGAGCAGCATATAGATAAAAAGTGTGCAAAGTGTGGTTGGGGCCTTCCCCTGCTGGACAAGTCCCGTTCACAAGCTGTGAGAAAACGACCATTACTCACGCCCATTCAGCTTGCATGCGGTCCTTCTTTCACCGCCAACCAAACCGAGAGCAATGATGCTGGCAGCAACAAGCGCCGTAAATCCAACCACCATGACACTGTAACAACAAGTCTCTCTGAAGCGCCTATCATGCAGCAGCAACAGCCAGCATTACCATCCGCACCCGCTTCTATTGCCAAAAGACCTTGGAAAGATGTCTATAGTGAACGGCTTGTTGTAGAAAGAAATTGGCGCAACAACAACCACACATTACTTACGTTACAAGGAGGGCACACGGATGGCGTGATGTGCGTTCAATTTGACGAAATTTTGAAAATTGTGGTTACCGGCTCATTTGATAAAAGTGTTTGTGTTTGGGACCTTGATACGGGCGCATTACGCCAAACACTAAGAGGACACTCGCGATGTGTTAGAGCACTGCAATTTGACGATGCTAAATTGGTGACAGGTGCCATGGACAATACGCTCAAGATTTGGAACTATCAGACAGGTCAATGTATCCGCACATTGGAGGGTCACACAGGTGGTGTTCTTAGTCTGCATTTTGACTCTCGTATATTGGCAAGTGGATCGACAGATCATACCATCCGCTTATGGAACTTTCAAGTAGGCGAGTGTTATACGCTTTCGGGACACACAGAGTGGGTCAATTCGGTGCGCATCTGCCACCAAGGCACCATGCTTGTGTCCAGCAGTGATGATTCCACAGTGCGATTGTGGGATCTGCAAACTCGGTCTTGCATTCGCGTGTATCGTGGCCATGTGGGCCAGGTACAAGTCGCTCTTCCAAGTCCTCATGGGTTCAGACATCGCCTTGAAAGCAACATAGCAGACACAAACGCATTCCATCAAACCTCATCAGCATCAACATCTACATCATTCACAGCATCATCCGCATCCACGTCATTACAGCAACAACAACGTCCTGGCTGTGCAGTCAGTGTTAACACGACCCCTCTAAACTACAACGCAACATCACCCAACAATGTCCAGCCTTTTCCATCCAGTAGCAGCAGCACACCACACTACAAAAAATCAACAGAAGCATCCGATGCGCCTATTATCATTTCCAGCGCACTGGACAACACCATCAAGATATGGAACATAGCAACTGGCGCTTGCCTCAAGACGCTGTTTGGCCATGTTCAAGGTATTTGGGGCCTGGCATTCGACAAACTTCGCATTGTGTCTGGCTCGCACGACAAGACAATACGAGTTTGGGACACGGAAACAGCGACCTGCCTCTACGCATTGGAAGGACATCATGGGCCTGTTACAGCGATTGCCCTCAGTGACACCAAGATTATATCTGCCTCTGACGATGGCCAAGTCAAGATTTGGGATTTTGGATTCAACAACAATGTAAATAAATGACGCGATTTATAACATGTATCTCGCATTTATTGCGACATTTGGTGTAACAGTAGGTAACACACATGCCTTGTATGCCATGGATTGTCCAATGCTTTGTTATATCATTATTTTTAGTTAAAATGACATATGTATAGAGATAAATAAAAAAAAACCCCCTTTCTCATTTTCTACATGCCCAAATTAAATGCAAAGGAACAGAGCAGGCCGCCTGCCATTGACACGGCCACACAGGCTGAAGCATGGCCGCCGCATTTAGACGCTTTGAATCAAATCATGACACCGGTTCAACTGCTAAACGACGATTCGCTGCAACAAGAGTTGGATTTCTACACAAGGGCACAGTTTAAGCTGGCAGATACGTCCAACACAGCTGCCTCTACAACATCGACAGCAGCAGCAACACCTATTAGCACGGCAACAGCTGGAGCTGCCTCTTATTTTGACAGTTTGAATATTCCTAGTGATCAGCAGCAGCAAGATTACGATACAAATCAATTCGCCGACAACTCTGCTAGCTTCGCCTCTTTGCTGTTTACTTCACAGCAACAGCAGCCAACCCATTCAAATGACGGATCATTGCTTTTGGCGCATGGTATATATATATATATATATACATATATACATACATACATGCTTTTTCATTGACCCCTAACACTGATATCGTATCCACATAGAACCAAGGCCGTACCAACAGCAACCACTGTACTCAAACAACAGCACACCTGCTAATTCAACGCCAAACTCCCCCATAGTCCATCTTGATGTGCACCATCATCGGCAGCAACAGCAACAACATTATGTTGAGCAAAATCAAGACGCTGACCGATTCGCCGCCATGTTTCTATCCTCCTCTGCTTCAGCAACAGAGGCGGCACCTTCTTTATCAAACGCACCCATTGAACCTTGGACGAACAAGGAAAAAAGGACTGCAACACCACAAAAGTTTCGATTCAAGCAGGACACCAAGCAACAGCAGCAACACCAACCACTAGACTCAAAACTGCTTTCCAAACACAATATGGAACAGGACAAGAAATCTGGTATCAAGCGTCCCTTAAAGAACAAACAGAAAGCATCTACCGGCAGCACTGAAAAGAAGCCATCGAGCCGCAACAGGACATTGGACAGTGAAGAGGATTCACAGGATGATTCACAGGACGAGAACGGCAATTATGACGCTGAGGATGGTGATGAAGATGCACCCTTCATTGGCGATGGAGCCCAAAGTTACAGCAGTATGGGAAGTAACAGTAGTCGAACATCCCAGCCCCTGACGAAAGACGACAAACGGCGTCGAAACACAGCAGCGTCAGCACGGTTTCGTATCAAAAAGAAGATGCGCGAGCAAGCGCTGCAAAACACGGCTTGCGAAATGACAGATAAAGCACAGCGCATGGAACAACGAGTGCATGAGCTGGAAAGAGAGATCAAATGGTTAAAGGCGTTGGTAGTTGAAAAGAATCAAGTAAGAATAGAACAGCTAGTGCGTGAAAGGCCACCCGAATCGACGGCATTTTCTTCTCTCAACAATAGCCATGCCACGGCTTCTTCATCTGCCTCAACTTCTGCAGCCTCCTCTTCCCGCAGAAACAGGAACCAAATCATGATGATGATGGCAACGCCCAACAATGACCAGCAACAAGATAATGCGGATCAACAAGACGGGGAGCAGAGAGCAGGAAAAGGTCGACATCATGGCGGCCAACGGCGTCGATCCTAAGTTCTTTTTATATATATATATATATATATGGTGTTCTCCTATAATACCTTTTCCATTCCTTCAAATTCTATGTCTATATGCTATTTTTTCCATGTATTAAAGCTATGTTATGTTATTTTTGTATCAATTGAGAATAGAATTGAGTATTTCAGGTATTAGAAGCTTGATTGCCTAGTAAGCAAAGAGGCCACATGAGAAGAGGTTATCATCAAGCAAAATGCATAGATGCTATCTTGTCTAACAGCACTTGTAACACAAGACTCATTGGTTGTTGCTCCTTCTCCCACTCCTCCGAATCAAGCTTGAGTTGCCTATTCACCTTTTCAGATTCCCAGTGTATCGCTAATTTTTGATATTTCTTAGTCAATGCAGTCATTTTTTGACTCAAGGATTTGGTATCTTTTTTCAATATGTCCTTTAGATAAGAAGCTTCCTCCCAAGCAAGCATGTCTTTTTTTCATATTGCATGATCGCTTCGCCCGTTTCAATTGCGTTATGTAATGTATTGATACGCTGCTAAGCATTCCGTTTAACTTTTTTTTTTTACTATGTTTTACATCTGTATCAATACAAACAACTCGTGTATGGGAAAACAGCATGATAGTAATGCTTCATATTAATCAACCATATTCATGACGCATCGACATTTGGATGCATTTGAGCCGTGTTTTTCGCGCTAAAACCCGCTTTAGACAGTCAGAGTGGCACCAAACAGCTACTCTCATCTAGCATTTACTTTCTGACACCTTTGCTCAACTTTTTTTAGGACCCAAAAAAACATGGCCAAAAATCGACCAAAAAGCATGAGATATCCCTCATGGTTTTCATTGAAAATCAAACAATCGCGTTTTTTGACCTTGATAATGAAGACTTTTACTATGGTATATCATAAATCAAAATGTTTCTCTCGATCCAAAGCAACCTCTGAAACCACTTTTGCGAGGCCTTTATATGCAAAATCTTGACATTTTGGCCAAAAACCGCTTTTCATATTTTCTTGAATTGCTCGATAAATTCAGTCAAAACATTTATTTTACTCGGCACCATTGGAAACGCCTTGAAACGTACTCCAAGAATGTATTAGGAAGTACGGGCTGATTATCACATTTCATATAGTCGAAAAAACTATAATGTGTTGTTATAGCAAAGGACACTGTTGATTGGCTAGTTATTAGCTGTTCAACTTGATATTTTGAAGCGTATGGAAAGTAGGTGGTAAATTACATAACATTATCGTTAACCATACTATTTTCCTTGCATCCTATATTTAATAACGTTAGTCTGGACATTGATGATTCATGGGCTGCGAAACATGTCTGCAGTAAGATTTTGCTGAAAATGGACAATCTAAGCAAATAATAATAATAATAATAATAATAATAATAATAATAATAATAAAAATAAAAACATAAAAAAAAAACTATGAATACTTATTTATTTAATTTCAAAAAGCACAAATAATCTTTGGCTATACTAAGCTATTGTAGCTAGATTCAACGAGGATGACGCTTTTTGCGACTATTGCCTTGAATGTTGGATGAGCTATGCTCGGTCTGATCGGTCTGATCGGTCTGATCAAAGGTTCTTTTCCTCGATTGCTCGCCTTTGAGGCTTGGCAGCACATGGCCATTTGATACTTGTTGAGGTGTGCTAGCAGCCGTCGTAATAGTAGCTGCTACTGCTGCTGTTGTTGCTTTAGATATGTTGGTTTTTGAAAGCTTGTTGAGAGTATTAGAAGGCGCAGACAATGGCATCACATTCATAGGCTGTGCCGGATCACTAGCTTGAGTTCTCTGACGATATGGCATTGTAGTCAGTGTTTTGTATATAGCTGTATTGCTCTTTTGATAGCTGTTGTGAGCTTTGAGTGATAAAATGTATCTTTTAGGACTATTGCCTTGCATCGTGGAAGCACTGTGCTCTGTCTGATCAAACGATCTTTTCTTGGATTTCTCGTTATTAAACCTTGACGCCATATTTTTTGGGATACGAAGAGGAGAGATGGAATCGTCATGAGTTGCATCAACCGTGTTTGATTGAGTTAGTACAACAGCGTCTGGTTCGGTTGTTGTTGAAGTTGTGCTTGCTTCAGTCAAAGGCATCAAAGGCTGTTCAGCTGAAGGAGGTGATGAAACTGAAGGACATGCAGCAATTGGCTCACTAGAAACTTGTCGAGATGGTGCTGGTAACGTGCCGAATCTCTTATTTGGGGCTTCAAGTCTTTCGCCTTGTGTTGACTCTCTAGGTGTTGCCACTGTAGGTCTAGGCAAGTGGGGTGAGACTTGTGCAGAGGTTGATGCAGAGAAATCTCCAGTTGCTGTGGCCCCTGACACTGATACTGTGGTAACATTACTCATTTTAGAAAACACTCGTTTTGGTTCCGTTCTAGATGCTAATGTAGATGATTTGGGTGACTTTTGTGATTTGGGTGACTTTTGTGATTTGGGTGCTGCCGCTAAGAATGGCCTTCCTAAAAGTGAACGCTACAAAAGATGTACGCCGTTAGTTTGCTGGGCATTTTTTAAGCAGCTTGTTGGCGCAACACCTACCATGATATTCTCTTTTGCTGATTTAACATAAGCCTGAAGCTTTTCTGTAATGCGCTCTTTTAAAGGCTTGCTCTTGGGGGCGATCTCGTTGACAATGAACTTGATGGAGTCTTGTACGGTTGGGGTTCTGCCCAGCAACTTGACATCTTCCTCCGAACAATCGGATGGAAGTGGATTCAAGCGCACGTAGTTCTTTTTATCCATATCGTAGACCCATTGACACATGAAACCAAGATCTGCAATGTGAAATTTTTTAAGATAGTCCAGAAGGAACTTTTCCTCGAATCGCTTCTGCAAGACGCGTAATACTTGATCAGTGCTGTTGTTGTTGCCTTCATACACTCTCAGTAATGCTCTGAAGACAGTACTTTCAACGTCAACTAGGTAATTACAGCCGGCTAAAGATAACATACAGATGTGTCGAAAAGTGTCAGCACCGTATGTTCGAAACTTGTTTCTCTTGTCATTGGATACTCTATCCATGCAGAACTCGATATATTCTTCAGAGATAGAACTCTTGTGAATAAACTTTGGACAACCAAAAGCCAAGAGTTCAGGATCCTCAGAGACGACAGCATCCACCTTGCCTGTCTTTACCAAGTATGTCAGTTGAGCAGCAATTTCGCATGGCGCTACAATGCATTTAATCTTCTTTTCTATCAATTCCTGCAGAGTAAAGTCAGTAAAAGGTATAAACCATCAAAAAAAAAAAAAAAAAAAAAAAAAAAAAAAAGGGAATACTTACTGCAATGGTGGCAATGGCCATGTCATCTGAGATGTCTAATGATTCCACAATGCTAGACTCAATTTCAAAAAGCTCTTCTTGTTCCTGCAGATTCGAGTGTCTGTTTATTGCAGCATGACGGGCTCTACATCAAAATGCATGATCAATGACAATGATATGGTTATTTGATTGCACTACCAAAACTTACTTGCGATATTCATAATTCATGCTTTGCTTGAAAGGGAGAGTGAGACCGCCAAAGACCACAATAGGTGTTGCACCATTTTCTTCAAGCAACTGAATAAATTTCAGCAAATAGTCGTTATATCTGCAGGGAAATCTTGTTAATATAAGATCAACGGAATAGATATTAATACTTACGCATTGACGGGATGATTCCACGCAAGCGCCAACGTAGCACGGGAAGCTCCCTCAAGAAGAAAGTCATCACCATCGATGGCAACAGTTTTACCTTTGTATTCTGAGAATTTGATGGTTCTTTGGTTACGGTCAATCGATTGCAAAAGCACGCCAGTATTTCCCATAGTAAGAAAGTGTTTCATTGTAAGCTTATATTCTTTTTTGTTCTGTATTTATGAATTTAATGAGTGATAAATGAGAAAACAAGTGTGTAGCTTGGATATGAAGCAGTAAAGAAGACAGTGAAAAAGCTTAAAGCAAAATAGACTAGTTGTATATCAATGCATATATTTTTCGCGTTTTGTAGTGACGTCTGCATCCCATACTGTGCAATAGCTCAGTGCTCAGATCAGCCATTACGCCAAGCACACACACATGTATTGACTCTATATACTTGATACTTGAAACGCCACTCCTTTAAATTAGATTATCGGCAAGCCACCGCGTCCGACCTCTCCAATATATTGCCTTTTGAGGGGGGAGGGGGAGGGGGGGAATACATACAAAGCAAGAACGTCTTGAACATGAATTTGATCTGTTGATTGACCTTGATTAACCTTGATTAACCTTGATTAACCTTGATTAACCTTGATTAACCTTGATGCTAGGACTCATACATTGCATTTCTTGGGTTGACACTAGCACAAATAGTTAAACCGCAACTGCATTCATTCGTTCCTGATTTGCAGCTCACATTCTTATTACATGAGACATTATGCAATATATGAATGCAATATATGAATGCAATATATGAATGCAATATATGAATGCAATATATAAATGCAATATATGAATGCAATATATAAATACAATATATAAATGCAATATATGAATGCAATAAAGATGTAGAGGATACCTAAATGCATTCTATAATCAAGAAAATGCAACCTTTATTTTAAAACTAGAACAGCTTATTTTTGACACCAAATGTGCTCTTGGTATCGTACCTGCAGTGTATATTTACGTCAATAAAGGGTTGCTACTAGTAGATGTTGCGCTAATCTCTGTGCATTGCCTGTTGATGCTCAAAAATATGCAAAACACGGCAAAATTTGGATGCATTTGAGCAGTGGTTTCTGGTGGTAGAAGCCGTTTCAAGCTGTCAAAATAGCCCCAAATAATTGCTCTCATCTAGCATTTACTTGCTGATATCTTTGCTCAACTTTTTTTAGGACCCAAAAAAACATGGCCAAAAATCGACCAAAAAGCATGAGATACCCCTCATGGTTTTCATTGAAAATCAAACAATCGCGTTTTTTGACCTTGATAATGAAGACTTTTACTATGGTATATCATAAATCAAAATG